CAACCTACTGGGAATGGAGAGGAGTGCTGCCCAGCTGCCCTCATCATACATTGATGATCAGAAGAAAACAGTGAATTGCAAAGGGATGGCAGAGGGAGCCAAGTAAAAATTGGGAAAGGTATAGAAATCAAGTGTGGTGAGTGAGTGCGGTGCTGCCTTCTCAGTAGTGTCAACTATGTGTTGTAGAGCTTGAATGGCTGAAAAAAAAGAGGGGGAATTGGAAATGAGGGGTAGTAAATGGTGTGGGGTTGATCTGCTTGGGCCAGACTGATCTGAGGAAGCAGGATAGGGGTTTGCAGAAATAAAGGAAAATAAAGGACCTCTTCTGTTCCTTATGCTGTGGTAAGGCTGTTCATTCAATAAAGCCAACCGAGATTTGTGAATGCAACATTTCTGGCCCATGGTGCTCTGAGTGCACAGCCTCACTCAAAATTGCTCCAACAAAGTGCCTGCAATTCAAGTATTCGCTACTTTTTTTTAAAAAAATATTATTTTTATTTATTTATTTATTTATTTTGAGTAATGTAAATTCATCCTGAAGCCTGTTCACTTGAAAAATTGGTCTAAATGTATTTTGGTTTTCCTTGTTTTGAGGGACCATATTTTCACCTGTCAGTAGGTGGAACAGCCTGGGGTTTGCTCAAGGGCTATCTGTCACGTGTCCTTGCCAAAATTATGATAATAAAGTTATAAGTGCTTGTGTCCTTCTCTTGCTGGTTCATCCCTATTCCTTTCAGCCAACAGGTAGAGACCGTCAAGATGCTCCTTAGCATTTTTTTTTTGAAGATTTCCTACTAACTTTTCCTTCCCTTTGCTCTCCCTCATTGCCAGCATCAAGTCCTGCCCAAATAAGACTTGTGAATGGCCCTGACCCCTGCACGGGGCGACTGGAGGTGTTTTACAATGGCACCCTGGGGGACGGTGTTGTGACGACCACTGGAGCCTCGCGGAAGCCCGTGTGGTGTGCCGGCAGCTGGGCTGTGGGATGGGCCTGTCTGCTGTTGGCGGGGCTCGGTATGGGCGAGGAGAAGACCCCATCTGGCTGGACAATGTGCAGTGCAGCGGGACAGAAGCTGCTCTTTCTGAGTGCCGGGCACGGCCCTGGGAGATCACAACTGTGGGCATGGGGAAGACGTCAGCATTGTGTGCTCGGGTGAGTCTGGCTCGTACCGCGTCTTGGACCAGATGACCTCCAGAGGTCCCTTCCAACCTAAACCGTTCTGTTATTTGGTTCTGCAACAACTGCTGGAGACAGCTGAGGGATGAAATTATGGGCAGGACAAACTACTGTTCATCCTAGGAAGATGTGCTGCTAATGTCAGGTGGTCCTGATCACAAAGCAGCCCCATGGACCATGCAAGGTCAGTCTTAGAAGACAGGTTTCTGTCTCACACCGTTGTTTCCAATGGGTGCCAGATCAGAATTATAGAGTGGTTTGGGTTGGAAGGGACTTTTAAAGATCCAACCCTCCTGACATGGGCAGGGTAACCCTTCACTACATCCGATTTCTCAGGGCTCCAGCCAATCTGACCTTAAAGATTTCCTCTTGGGGGCATCCACCTCCTCTTCAGGAAAGCTGCTCCAGTGTTTCACCAGTCCCATAGTACAGAATGTCTTCCTTATATCTATGGCTTGAGTTCACCTCTCTGAATATCCCTGTCTGCAGTCATCTGCTTTGGAACAGTGCAGTGCACTGTTATAATGAGGTCTAATCAATATGGTTAAAAGTGTTGGGACATAAGTCATGCCATCCTAAAGCAGCATTTGCTGGAGCACTCAGTTCTCCATCAGCACCTATTTTAGGAAGAGATGGACCTCTTGTCACCCCCAGATGATGTTGTTGGCTGGGTGTCCTCTGATTGTGCTGTGAGTGTTGGCACCTGGCTCACAGATTTTGAGCTGAATCCTGCCCCTACAGGTAGGCAGAATTACTTCCCTCACATGATTTTGCAAAGAATTCACACTCTTCACACTTGCTCCAGATAACTTCCAAATGTTATTCTTGGATTCAAGACCTCTTTACATCTGTCATGGAGTCTGCATTCCCCTGACTATTTCTCAGCTTCAACATCTCCTGACTTCACAGGGAATAAACCCTTCATGGGTATACCCTGACTGTCAGACACTGTCCAGAAGGGCCTTTGAGAATAAACTGAGCCTAAGAATTGTAGGCAACTGCATGCTCAGCAAAGTTACTGATCATTTGCTCCTAAGCACTGTAAGCAGCTGGTTTTCCAGCAGAGGCTCTGACTGTTTTCTCCTTGGTGGTGTTTGCAGGGGCACCTGCTCCAAGTCTGACCCGTGCCAGGCTGGTGAGTGGCTCTGGCCCCTGCTCGGGCAGAGTGGAAGTCTTCCATGACAGCAGATGGGGGCACCGTGTGTGATGATGGCTGGAACCTGCTGGATGCTGAGGTGGTGTGCAGGGAGGTGGGCTGTGGCTCAGCTCTATCAGCTCCGCCTGGCGCTGCCTTTGGGCAAGGGGCAGGACCCATCTGGCTGGATGAAGTGACCTGTGCTGGGACAGAGGCTTCCCTTTCTCTGTGTCAGGCCAGTTCCTGGGGAAGTCATAATTGCAAGCATAGTGAGGATGCTGGTGTTGAATGCTCAGGTAACTGCCTCTCCCCCCCCTCCCCCCCCCTCCCCTCCCCCCCCCCCTTTTTTTTTTTAAGGGATTAGTGGAGAAAAAAGAAGAGTTTGAAATGTTCCTAGTTGTAGACATGTACATTGTAGCCCTGCAAATGGAGCTGGGAGAAAACCTGTGATGGGCTGATGTGTGCAAGGGAAACGAACAGGGAGCTTCAGAGGTGGTATTCATCCAGATGTTACACTCGTGGGATGAGTGGGGAGGAGATGAGAGCCCTAGGGAAGCCTGCTCTTCTCAGCTTGTGTCTGCAACCTTCTCACCCTCCAGCTGTGAGATTCTGTGATGATTTAAGCACTGGGCTTCCTGCTCCCAGGGCAGCTCCAGTCCTGGCCTGGATATCCAGATATTTGGTGCTTGTCTCTTTCCAGAACCAACTCAAGTACGTTTGGTGAATGGCTCCAGCCATTGCTCAGGGAGAGTTGAGATCCACCACAACCAGCAGTGGGGGACAATTTGTGATGATGGCTGGGACCTGAGAGATGCAGAGGTGGTGTGCCGGCAGCTGGGCTGTGGGATGGCCGTGTCAGTCCCTGGCAAGGCTCACTTTGGGCAAGGACACGCTCCCATCTGGCTGGATGAGGTGAACTGCACAGGGACAGAAGGTGCCATCACAGAATGTAGATTGGAGCCCTGGGGGGAACACAACTGCAATCACAACGAAGATGCTAGCGTTGTGTGTTCAGGTAAGTGACCAGGTCATGGTGTCAGAAAGGAAAGTGAATCTAATTTTAGTCTGTTCCCTGCATACATGTTGTTCTCCTTTGTGTATGATGCCATTGCAAGCAGCAGTGCTTGGGAGGTGAGGTAACTCCACTCCTGTAGGCATCAGCACAGATTATCTGGATGCACCCTTGCGTGTCTGTGCTAATCCTCTATCTGACACCGTAAAATGTCTCTTCTCAAGTGGCTTGCCATGTCCATCATGTCATCATCCTCTCTGTATGTTGAAATGTGTGCACTCAGATGAGTCATTTGGCCTTTGACACTTGCCATACGTGGCTGCAGTCTATTCCATTTCTACGTGCCAAATTTCTTTTGGATCTTTAGAGGTGGTGCAAGATTGGAAGATATTTATTAATTTATCTCATTCCCTTTTTAGAGCCCACAGAACTGCGGCTAGTGAATGGCCCAAATCGCTGTGCTGGGCGGGTGGAGGTGCTTCACCACCAGCAGTGGGGCAGTGTGTGTGACAATCACTGGGACATGGAGGATGCCAAAGTGGTGTGTCGGCAGCTGGGCTGTGGTGCTCCAATCTCTGCTCCAGGCTGGGCCAAGTTTGGCAGAGGCTACGATCCCATCTGGCTGGAGAAAGTGACCTGCTCGGGGACTGAGGCTGCCCTTAGTGAGTGCGAAGCCCAGACATGGGGAGTCCACAACTGCCACCATGGGGAAGACGCCAGTGTGGTGTGCTCAGGTAACCCTCTGCCACATTCCTCCTGCCTGTCTTCACGGAGAACTCTGCTGCCCCTTAGACACGGATGTGTCTTCTTCAGAAGGCAAGGGGATAATAATAAGATTCCTGCTGCCAAGAAGCGTTGCGAGGAGGATCCCATCACTGCTGCTTATCCCATTTTTCCTGGCTCATTTTCAGCTTGAGTGAATAGTCACTGAACTTCTTGCGGAGCTCCCATAGTGCAAAAACCTGTGCTGAGTCTCATGGGAATCCCTGTCTAGTAAAGGCATGATATCAGGGAGCTCAGAGCACAGAGTCACCATCTCTTGCAAGATCCCATGCCCAAGCTTGTCTCCACCAACTCTTCCTGAAGGTTTTTTTTTTTTTTTGTGTGTGTATTCCTTTGTTTCAGAACCAGAGGTGGTTCGGTTGGTGAACGGCCCAAGCCGCTGTGCTGGGAGAGTTGAAGTCCTTGAGCAGCGCCAATGGGGGACAGTGTGTGATGATGCCTGGGACCTGCGTGACGCAGAAGTGGTGTGCTGGCAGCTGGGCTGTGGGACAGCAACTTCAGCTCCAGGCTTGGCTTACTTTGGCCAGGGATATGGTCCCATCTGGCTGGCCAAGGTCAACTGCACGGGGACAGAAGCTGCCCTCTCCAAGTGCAGGGCCAGGCCCGAAGGAGTCCACCTCTGCCACCATGGAGAAGATGCTGGTGTGGTGTGCTCAGGTAGCTGTTGATCATCTGCCCATGAGCTTGTGGGTTCCAACACTGCAGGAGCTCAGTGGATTGCTTTTCCTTTCTTCTCTATGTCACTGCTCTTCCCACATGTGAATCTTGAACTCCAAGGCTAGACCGATGCTGAACAAGTGGGGATTCCCCCTCGCTGTCATATCAGGCACTTGGTCTCTCCTTTACCAGGTCCGGCACCAAGAGATGACGTGCTCTGCCTCTTTCCATTTCAGAGCCTCCTGAGGTCCGGCTGGTGAACGGCTCCAACCGCTGCTCTGGGAGAGTCGAGGTGCTGCATAACCAGCAATGGGGAAGTGTGTGTGATGATGACTGGGACCTGGATGATGCACAAGTGGTGTGCCGGCAACTGGGCTGTGGTACAGCTATCTGGGCTCCACGTGCAGCTCGGTTTGGGCTGGGGAATGACCCCATCTGGCTTGATGATGTGAACTGCACAGGCTCAGAGGCTGCCCTCTCTGAGTGCAGGGCCAGGCCATGGGGTGACAACAACTGTAACCACCGAGAAGATGCCAGTGTGGTGTGTGCAGGTAAGCCACCTTCATTCCTTCATCACAGAAGCACAGAATTTCTCGGTTGCAAGAGACCTCAAGATCATCGAGTCCAACCTCTGAGCTAACACTAGGAAGTCCTCCACTAAACCATATCACTAAGGTCTACAGCTAAACGTCTTTTAAAGACCTCCAGGGATGGTGACTCCACCACTTCCCTGGGCAGCCCGTTCCAATGCCTAACAACCCTTTTGGTAACGAAGTTCTTCCTAAGATCCAACCTAAAACTCCCCTGGCGCAACTTAAGCCCATTCCCCCTCGTCCTGTCTCCAGGCAGGTGGGAGAACAGACCAACCCCCACCTTGCTTCATGGTGCAGCTCTGGAAGGAGCAATGTTGGCAGCCCTGCTGGACTCAGTATGTTGCTGTGTCTCTTATGGGAAGCCTATGGATAGCTCTATTTGCTCGTGTCTCTTGCCTCTGTATAGAGACCTATTTTCAGGTCCCTTTACACATTGACCCTTCTCACTACCTTTGGTCCATGTAGTCTTGATGGACTGCCAGGCTCTTGCTCTGTATTTCCATAGCACTATGTTGCCATAGCACTTTAGGTCGATGTTCAGGTTTCTCCACGTGAACTACGTGGCTGAGCCACCCCCTCCTGTTCAAGTCCAGGGTGGCCTTGTTGATACAGCTAATGAATGTTGAATGAACTCCAGACTGGTGTAGGTCTTCCATTTGTCCCTGTATCCTGTCTGTTCCCTCCTCATGGTTTCTTTGGATGCCTGAGAACACATCAAATGGGATTAGATACCTCTGTTTATGCCAACGGGAGCCTTCACATCACATTGTACCTGGCTACCACTCAAGGTCCTGTCTTCTACTTGGTTTTTGACCTGCATGTGTCTTTTGAATTCCAGGACCACTCCAGCTCCAGCTGGTGAATGGCTCCAGCCGCTGCTCTGGGAGGGTCGAGGTTCTTCACAACCAGCAGTGGGGGACTGTGTGTGATGACGGCTGGGACCTGAGAGATGCAGAGGTGGTGTGCCGGCAGCTGGGCTGCGGGATGGCCGTGTCAGCTCCAGGCTCAGCTGAGTTTGGGCAGGGCTCCAGCCACATCTGGCTGCAAGGTGTTGAGTGCACAGGGACAGAAGCTGCCCTCTCTGAATGCAGCTCCAGGATGGGGCAACAGAGTTATTGCAACCATGGTAAAGATGCTGGTGTTGTGTGCTCAGGTAAGTTTTTTCTTGAATATCAGTATTCAGGAGAGCATTGAGTGTGCTAGAGGAAGGAAGAGCATGACTTTGCTGGTGACTCACTCTTCCCCTATTCTGGGTAATGCTAAGCCCCACAGAAGAGTTCAGGTCGCTGTTCTGCAGAGGTTTGGTCAGTGGCTGGGCTTGCCAGTGAAACCTTAGGGAGATGGGAGATCCTGAAAGAGTTTGAGCTGGTGTTGGGAATGAGAATCTGAGCAAAGCAATGGGAGACACAACCGAGCCTCCAAGGGATGGGAAGAATAAGGCTTTGTTTAGGGATCTAGAGGATGGGTTTTAAAGTTTGATGTTATCAAGAAAACAAGTAAAAAATGTCAGATTAAGAGCAGGTAGGAAGAAAGGCTCATCTTACAAAGATCAAAAAGGGAGATTTTTACAAATTGCTCTGTTTTTATTCTTTTCCAGCAAGCATGCCTGAATTTTCTCTGTCACAGAAGTTTTCTTATTATAGTTGGTACTAATTACATCTTAGCTTTAAATATTCAAAGTCCCTCTGGAGTTTGGGGATGTTCAGTATAATAAAGGAATCAGACACCTCCTTCACAAAGGTCCAGGTAATTCAACATCTCTGAACAGCATGAGAGCAGCAGCATGCCTGCTTTCACTTTGATGCTAAAGGAGTCCAAATTGCAAGGTTGTTGGCTAGTGCAGAAGCTTTTTGGCATGTCATTTTCAGTGGCTGGAAATGCATACAGAAGTTCCTCAGTTACAAATGTCATAAAAGGTACAAAAATCAGTGACATGCATTAGCTATATGATCTCTGTGAGCAGTGCAGACATGGATGGAGGCTTCCAAAAAGTGCATTCATTTATTTTTTTTTCCAGATCCTGTGGCACTACGACTGGTGAATGGCTCGAGTTTCTGCGCTGGGAGAGTCGAAGTGCTCCACAAGCAACTGTGGGGAACCGTGTGTGATGACGGCTGGGACATGAATGATGCTGCAGTCGTGTGCAGGCAGCTGGGCTGTGGGGTGGCAGTCTCAGCCCCTGACAGAGCTTGGTTTGGGCGAGGGCATATTGCCATCTGGATGGATGACGTGAACTGCACAGGGGGGGAAGACAACCTCTTGGAGTGCCTGGCCAAACCATGGGGGGAACACAATTGTGACCACGGGGAAGATGCTGGTGTGGTGTGCTCAGGTAAGGTGGCCCTGTTGGTATGGAAAAGCCTTTGGGCATGCAGGTGTCATCTCCTTGCTGAATTAGTGCTGCTCTGAGAGTACATGCTTGCTGGTGGCTGAGGAGGCAGAGACAAATGGAAAATGAAGATGGAATTTCCTTCAACACAAGCTGAGTCTGACCTTGCTAGACTCCACCTGACCTACAGGATTAGTGGATCCATGGTCTCTGTGGTCAACACCATGGTCACCATGCACCATGGTCAACAGTGTCATCCCAGGATGTGGGTAACTTGAGTATGTGCTCAACACAAGTTGCAGGGATGATCATGACAATAGGGATAAAAATGACGAAAACCTTTCAGAAAGGCTGAAGGAGAAAAGACTACACCATGGGGAATATCCTTACAGCTGAGCTGGGAAGCTGAGAGTCATGATTGGCAAGACTTGTCCTGGCATTCCCATTTGCTCCACTCTTTCCATCCACTTTTGGACAAATCTCAAAATGTGTTCTCCTCATGGCCAGTAAAATAGCAAGTTGTCTCTAGGACATCTGTACGCAGTGAATTATCCTGGAATGGATGCACTTGCCTGGGAACCACCCAGACTGAGGTACTCTCCTTTATGCATCTGGTACATCCTGCAGAACACTCCATCTTAACTGGTCACCCAGGTTTCTTTAAGGAAAGAAACCCGTGGTTGTGGGATGTGGTTTGCAGAAAGGACCATTTTGCAGTCATCCAGCCCTGCCAATGCCCACTGCAAATAAGTTGCTCTACAGAACAAGCAGTCAGACCGATGGCACCTTGAGTGGCCTTGACTTCCCCTTGAGTGGTCCACCAAAGTGGTCCACCTCTGAGGCAAAGGCAGCTGTGATGCACAGGGACCTAACAGAAGCTCTCTTGGTGTCTCCTCTTTGGAATCATATATGACAGAATAATACAGATTGGAAAGGATCTCTGGAGAACACCGATCTAGTCCTCCATTCACTGTGAGACCAACTAAACCTTGTGAATGGCCTTGACCAGTGAAAATGTAAAAGTCCCCAGGGATGAGGGTCCTAGTGCCTTTCTGGTCTCTGTTACAATATTTAACCATCCTTATGTGGAAAAAGAATATTTTCCGCTATCTAATGTGAATTTCTATTGGTGCACATTGTGCCTGTTTCTTCTTGTCCTTGTGTACTGCTAATTATCTCCTCGATTAGCTCTGGATGAAGGAAAATTTGCTTTTTCCCTACAGGCTATGCTTCAATCACACCATCACAGACTCTGCCACTGCTCCCATTGCTGGTCTCAGTCATTTGTCCAGTGTTGATACTGGTCTGTGGGGCTGTTCTGTGCCTGAAGAGGAGGCAAATGCGAAATAGGACTTCTAGTCCCTCTCCAGGTGAGCTCCGTTGTGGATGAAGAGGGAAATGAAGTTTCCAGAAGGGTATGGTTGGAAGTAGGATTGCTAAAATGTTGATGTCAGCATACTTTGGGCAGATTTCTTTCCTGTGGCTCATATTGAAAGGGACTTCCTATTCTACTTTGAGTCCTTTGGTTCCATTCTCTTTTCTCTTTCTATCCACTGTCCCTCTTTCACATTAACATCTTATTTCCAGCTGGGTGGAAATATGATGCTCTTGGTGGTGGGATGGTCCTTCAAGTGGGAGCACCTCCTTGAATGCTCCTCTTTGTTGCCTGCTCCACTTGTTCATTAAGCGGGAGCTCTGAGCTTTGCTCTGTTCCCAGCTCCCCCTTGGGAAGGATATCGGGGATATTTCATCTTTATCCAACAGCTGAGAAAGGATCAGGAACTGTGTCTGTGCCTGAGTTTTTAAGGATGTGGTGGAGACTCTTGGAAACCAGGGTTGAGTGGTTGGAGACACCTTTGTTGAACATCTGCATGTTGTCTTTTTGGGAATGAGGGATGGGGTTGGGTATGATGCTGCCAGTTTTACCAGCGTTGTTCTCAAGCTTTTTCACCTCAGGAAAAGGACAGGGCAGTGGGAAGGCACCAAGACTGAGCAGATCCAAAGGGCTGGGTTGTCCAGAGATGTTCCTATGAGTGGTGTGTTGGAGTCCAAAAGAACATGCCCATCTATCTCACTCATGGCAAGGTCACTCCTAGGCCCCTGTGTGACCCAACCAAGGAGATATCTTTTCACAGAATCACAGAATCACAGAATTTCTAGGTTGGAAGAGACCTCAAGATCATCGAGTCCAACCTCTAACCTAACACTAACAGTCCCCACTAAACCATATCCCTAAGCTCTACATCTAAACGTCTTTTAAAGACCTCCAGGGATGGTGACTCCACCACTTCCCTGGGCAGCCCATTCCAATGTCTAACAACCCTCTCAGTAAAGAAGTTCTTCCTAACATCTAACCTAAAACTCCCCTGGCGCAACTTTAGCCCATTCCCCCTCGTCCTGTCACCAGGCAGGTGGGAGAACAGACCAACCCCCACCTCACTACAGCCTCCTTTAAGGTATCTGTAAAGAGCAATAAGGTCGCCCCTGAGCCTCCTTTTCTCCAGGCTGAACAAGCCCAGCTCCCTCAGCCGCCCCTCGTAGGACTTGTTCTCCAGGCCCCTCACCAGCTTCGTCGCCCTTCTCTGGACCCACTCAAGCACCTCGATGTCCTTCTTGTAGCGAGGGGCCCAAAACTGAACACAGTACTCGAGGTGCGGCCTCACCAGAGCCGAGTCCAGGGGGACGATCACCTCCCTAGCCCTGCTGGTCACACTGTTTCTGATACAAGCCAGGATGCCGTTGGCCTTCTTGGCCACCTGAGCACACTGCTGCCTCATATTCAGCTGACTGTCCACCATCACTCCCAGGTCCTTCTCTGCCTGGCAGCTCTCCAACCATTCCTCTCCCAGCCTGTAGCTCTGCTTGGGTTATTGCGCCCCAGGTTCAGGACCCGGCACTTGGCCTTGTTGAACTTCATGCAGTTGACCTCAGCCCATCGGTGCAGCCTATCCAGATCCTCCTGCAGAGCCTTCCTACCCTCGAGCAGATCGACACACGCACCTAGCTTGGTGTCATCTGCAAACTTACTGAGGGTGCACTCAATGCCCTTGTCCAGATCATTGATGAAGATATTAAAGAGGACCGGCCCCAGCACCGAGCCCTGGGGGACGCCACTAGTGACCGGCCTCCAGCTGGACTTGACTCCATTTACCACGACTCTTTGGGCCCAGCTATCCAACCAGTTTCTAACCCAACGAAGCGTGCGCCAGTCCAAGTCCAGAGCAGCCAGTTTCTTGAGGAGAATGCTGTGGGAGATGGTGTCAAAAGCCTTGCTGAAGTCAAGGTAGACCACATCCACAGCCTTTCCCTCGTCCACCCAGCGCGTCACTTTGTCATAGAAGGAGATCAGGTTCGTCAAGCAGGATCTGACTTCCATAAACCCATGCTGACTGGGCCTGATCGCCTGCTTGCCCTGCAAGTGCTGCGTGATGACTCTCAAGAGGATCTGCTCCATGAGCTTCCCTGGTACTGAGGTCAAACTGACAGGCCTGTAGTTTCCTGGGTCTGCCCTCCGGCCCTTCTTGTAGATGGGCGTCACGTTTGCTAGCTGCCAGTCAACTGGGACCTCCCCCGATAGCCAGGACTTCTGATAAATGATGGATAGGGGCTTTTCCAGCTCCTCTGCCAGTTCTCTCAGTACCCTTGGGTGGATCCCATCCAGCCCCATCGACTTGTGCACATCCAAGTGCCGTAGCAGGTCACCAACCAGTTCTTCGTGGATAGTGAGGGTCACATCCTGCTCCCCATCCCCTTCCACCAGCTCAGGGTACTGGGTATCCAGATGACAACCGGTATTGCCGCTAAAGACTGAGGCGAAGAAGGCATTAAGCACCTCCGCCTTTTCCTCATCTCTTGTAACTAAGTTTCCCCCCCGCATCCAGTAAAGGATGGAGATTCTCCTTAGTCCTCCTTTTTGTGTTGATGTATTTATAAAAACGTTTTTTGTTATCTTTAACGGCAGTAGCCAGATTGCATCCTGTTTCTTTGCCAAGTGCTGAACCTTTGTTTTGAAAGGAATGCCATCTGTAGGCTCTTTGCATGTAGGAGGAAGCTTGGGTGGGTGGATCAGCATGTAGTTTTGATGGTGGGAAAAATCTTTGGGATGAAGGGTGCTGCGTGTGGACCAAACGTTTGATCAAGGGTGGTTTCTGCAAAGGAGACTTCATGTCTGAGTACTGGCAGTCAACAGTGTATACCCTGTGCTGCTGGTATTAGTCAAGTCAACTTGATTTGTGCTGTCTCCAAAGCAGTGAGCATCCTCAATGGTGTTGTAAAAGAGGAGGAAAACTCAGGCAGCACTGCCTAGGATGCCTAGATCGACCCACTGACTGAATCCTTGTGGTCTGCAGGCTTTGTACACATGGACCAGCTGGCTGACATGTCCACCTAGATGCCTGGAGCAGAGCAAGTGGAGGCAAAGGAGTCTCACGCTGATGATGCCAGCAACAAGTGAGCTCAGTTCCTGTGACCATCCCAGATACAAGACTCCAGCTGATGCAGCTCCATCCCAGTGCACAGCCCTGTCACCATGAAGGGCCCTGGATGATCCCTTCTCTACAGAGTGAAATCACCAGAGATTGACCCATTGTCAGCTCCATGCCCACATCAGCCAGCCACCCGAAGTGATACAGGGCATGAAGCACCAGCTGGCAGAAATGGTCTGTGTGCACAAGAGAAGTGATGCATAGAAATATTTCAGGTTCCTGTTTTCATTTTTTTTTTCTTGGTGCATTTGTGAAAATAAAAAAATAATAATTCTGTAACACATAAGCAATGTTTTACTGGTTTTTTTCTTTCTTTCTTTTCTTCTTCTCCTCTTTTATTTTTTTGTTTTTATTTTTTTTTTAGTCAATGGAGGCTGCAAAGCTTTTCCCTACATATATGCAATGGCTTGTTTCTGTTCACCTGTGAAGCTGAGTAGCTTTACTAACTCCACCAACTGAAAGCTCAGGTGAGGCCTCACATAGACATTTAGAGCCACCTTAGATGTCCTAGGTCTCAGACGCTGGCATGGGACTGTCAAATAGGACAAAGGACCTACAGGTAACTAGATGTGTCTCTGTGTGGGCAGCTAGACCATGCTGAGCTCTTCCTTCTGCTGCATGCCCAAATGTTTCTGCATGTTGTCCTTGGAGAGTAGTCTTCTGGGGCACCTGAGACAACAGTGCTCTGACAAAAGAAGAGCTTGGAAGGCACAGAGATGCGAGCTGGATATGCAGAGGGATGCTGGCTGGGGTTTTAAGCAGCACTGGTCATAAAAAGATGTGCTGGGTTCTCCAGTGGCTAGTGATACAGCCCATCTCACACAACCCAAAACAGCTGCTTGGAAGCATCAGAGAAAGCCTCAGCATGGGGACTCAGGCTGTGACGGCTATGATAGCTGTGATGAGTTAAAAGCATGAACACCTGGAAGGCCGGGGAGGAGGGGAGGTGAGCAGGAAACAGGATGCCTGTTGAGTCATAGGGACTTAGAAGATGAAGGCTTGGAATGCCCAGGGATGATTTAATCTAGAAAACAGAAGATTACTTTTGTTACAGGTAGGAATGCACCTTATTGCAGGCACTTTGAGATGATGCTGTCCTGGTTTCAGTTAGCACAGAATTAATTTTCTTCCTAGTAGCTGGTGGAATGCTGTGTTTTGGCTTAGGATGAGAAGAGTGCTGATAACACCCCGATGCTTTAATTGTTGCAGAGCAGTGCTTATACTAAGCCAAGGACATCTCAGCCTTTTGCTCTGTCCTGCCAACGGACAGGCTGGGGGTGCAGTAAGAGCTGGGAGGGGACAGACCCAGGACAGGTGACCCAAACTAGCCAAAGGGGTATTCCATACCATCTGACGTCATGCTAAACAATATATAGGGGTGGCTAGCCGGGGGAAGGGGGCCGGACTGCTCGGGGTTAGGCTGGGCATCGGTCAGCGAGTGGTGAGCAATTGCATTGTGCATCACTTGTTTGTACATATTATTATTATTTCCCTATTATCACCATATTATTATTATTGTTATTATTGTTATTATTATTTTGTTATTATTATTTTCCTGTCTTATTAAACTGTCTTTATCTCAACTCACGGGCTTCACTTTCCATTTCTCTCCCCCGTCCCAGAGAGGGAGGGGGGAGGGTGAGCGAACGGCTGCGTGGTGTTTAGCTGCCGGCTGGGTTAAACCACGACAGATGCATACATTGGTCCTGCTGTCTGCTAATGAGCACGATAATGGTTGTTACCCTTGTGACCTAGTGACCCTAAAGAGGTCAGGGTAATGGAGAGGTCTTTCTCCAGAATGCAGGCAGTGCTTGCAGAATTAGCTTTTCTTTGTTCTCGTTCCTGAAGCTGCAGTTCTCACCCACTTTGACACGAGGTTATCTTCTTCCTAGGAATCACAGTTCCCTTTTCAGCATTTTCCTGGCATGGTTTTGAAGAGTTCAGCTGCAGGGTCCCCACCCATGGCTGGCTAGTGACCTTGTGCTGCTGCAGAGCTTCCAGTCCTTCATCTGCTCAACAAAAGAACGATTCTGGAAACTTCCCTGGATTGCTCCAGTTTGATGTGAGCTGGATACGTGATCAGGGAGGTTCATCTGGCTCTTTGCAGGGGTTTGGGAAGTAGAGGCATTTGAGATAGGGGAGCCCACCAGTGTGGTGGGACTAGTAGTCCATCCACCACCCAGCAGCTCCTCAGGTTTTATGAATCTACAATCAGCCCATCATACAATTTATGTACTTTTGTTTAAAGGGTGGCAAGTGAGAGTTAAAAGTGGAATAATGCTCTCTTAATGATAGAAATGGGATCTAGGGACCTTAGTCTATGAGTCTAGAAACACTGAGGCAAGTAAGGGTACCTTGCAAAAAGAAATTCACATGTGTGTAGGTCCCCAAAATGTCTGAGCTTGGAGTGTGCAATTTACACACATGCACTTTATAGCCTGTCCCTGAAGTCTCTTTTCAGTGTCATCTGCAAATGGGCCATGGGGTAACCCCAGAACATGCCCTGCTGTCCCAGGATGCTGTTACTTCTCCAACACATTGCCTTCTCTGTGGGGTGATAAATGAGGGTCCTTGCTAACAGACAGGCATCTCTGTGGGAGTTTCATTTTTATGTTTCTTGAGTATCACTGCAGCGAGGATCCCATGGGAGGCAGCTTCTTCAGGAGGCCCTCTGGGGAGGTTCAGTATGGGGGACACCAAAGGATGAGCAGATGAAGGGGAGTTAGAGTCTGGGCAGGCTCAGAATGGGAAGAGTTCTTCATGACCTGCTCCCACATTCCCTGTCCTCTCTCACTTAACCATTTCTGAAGCCATGCAATTGCCAGTACTGGGGCATCTGAACTTAAAAAATTAAAGCTGTGAGCTTCCTCTGTCCTTGTTATGGCTGATGGACTTACTCTGGCTCAAACCATTCCCTGAGACCTCTTCTTTACCTGTATTATTTATACCAGTTTTCAATAGATTAGTTCATTGTTGAAGGGGAGAATGAGAGAATTTGTCTGCTGCAGGTTAGCAAAAGACACTGAAATGCAAAAGCTGGGAGGGACAAGATGAGTCTGTGTTAAAAGCCTTGCAGCAGCTGGGGAGAGCTAACCCTGGAGATGCTGGCACAGGCAGAGCTCAACCATATGGAAAGGCTCCATGGGCTCAAGTGCAGATGTCTGTGCTGGACTGCTGCTAGAGTCACTGGGAGTGTCAGCAGAGAAAAATGAACCACATGAGAAGTCCCTGATGGTTTCCCTCATCTTGTATTCCAGCCTCTCAGAAAACCATACACAGAGCAGTCCCGGGGTAATGCTTCTGAGAGTGCTTGCTCTTGAATAATGAAGTGATTTCCTGCCATCTAGCTATACATCAATGAAATGCAACAAAAAGGAATTGATAGTACAACACATCTGGCTTTGAATGTTTCATTTTTCTGGTACACAACTGCTAGCATGTTGCCTGAAATCATTGCCTCTGTATGTCGTAACAGCTAAGGAATTAAGGAATCCAAAGAAATGTTGTATACTTTAAGAAAGGTGTCAAGATGAAGACAAGGGGTTTAATTTTGCCATGATATAAAACTCTGGACTTTCCACGTCTTCTGTTCTGCGAGTAGTTCTGGTTGCCACATCCCAGGAAGGATGTACTGGAACTAGAGCAGGTCCAGAGACTGCACAAAGGTCTGGGACCTTCTGGAAGGTAGCGGAGTTGGGGTTGTTCTCTTCTCCCAAGCAACAAGCAATAGGACAAGAAGTAATGGCCTCAAGCTGCACCAGGAGAGGTATGGATTGGATATTAGGAGAAATTTCTTTACTGAAAGGGTTGCGAGGCATTGTAATAGGCTGCCCAGGGAAGTGGCTGAATCACCATCCCTGGAGGTATTCAAGAAACGTGCAGATTTAGAACATAGTAGACTTAGAACATGGTTTAGTGGTGGACTTTAGGACTAGGTTAAAGGTTGAACTAGATGATCTTACAGGTATTTTCCAACCTAAATGGTTCTACGATTCCATGGAGTTCATACATTGTCACCCTGTCCTTCTGCAGCTTCCCCAGCTTTACTGCAGGCCCACTTTAGGTACTGGAAGGCTGTTCTAAGGTCTCCCCAGAGCCTTCTCTTCTCCAGGCTGAACAACCCCAACTCCCTCAGCCTGTTTTCACAGGAGAGGTGCTCCAGCCCCTCGATCATCTCTGTGCCCTCCTCTGGACTCGTTCTAATAGGTCCATGTCCTTCTGATTCTGGGGGCCCCAGAACTGAGCACATTACTCCAGGCGGGGTCTCACAAGAGCTGAGTACAGGAGGAGAATACCCTCCCTTGCCCTGCTGGCCGTGCTTCTTTCCATGCATCCCAGGATGCGGTTGGTTTCTGGGCTACAAGCTCACATTCCCAGCTCATGTTGAGCTTCTCGTCAACCAAAACCCCCAGGCTGTTCTCCTTAGGACTGCTTTCAATCCATCCTCTGCCTGTAGTTGTGCTTTGGATTGCCCCAGACCAGATGCAGAACCTTGCCCTTGGCCTTGTTGAACTTCATGAGGTTTGCACAAGGCCACCTCTCAAGCCTGTCCAGGACCCTGTGGATGGCATCCCTTCCCTCCAGCATGTTGACTGAACACACAGATGGTGTCACTAGCTAACTTGCTCAATCCCACTGTCCGTGCCACGGCCAAAGATGTTAAAAATCCCAGATGTTTTTAGCATTTGGTATATTTGTAGAAACAAACAAACAAACAAAACACAAAAACAAAACAAACAACAACAACAAAACACCCTAGCTCTCTGTGACATACTTAGAATTCATGTGTGTCTCCCTGAGAGGGGCTGAAGGCTCTCAGAGAGCAGGAGCTGAATGGATGCAGTCCTTGGGGCACTAAGAGGAGGAAGGGCTCTGGTGGGTGCATATGAAGGCATCTGGATGCAGAAAAAGGTTGCAGAGCATCCCAGCAAAGAGCACAAGATGCCAGCATTTAGTCAGTTAGTATTCAGCAACGAACATCTCCGCTCACAAGAGGCTGCCTGCTTCTAGGAACCACTTTTTCGCAAGCAGAATAATATAAGAAATAAAAAAAAGGTTCACAGGAGATTTCTCTTCTGTGACAGTTTCAGCTATGTCTTGGGTCTTGGCAGAACACAGGGACTGCAGAAGGAGCTGGTGTGGGTGCTGCAACAAGGAAGCTTTTTCTTGGCTGGAAAGTGGGACATATGTGCGCAATGAGTCTTGCATGTGTGCAAGATTGCATGAGATCTTGGAAACCCTGGTGCAAAGGGTTAATTATGGACAGACTTGCTGATTGGGTTTCTGTTAGGATGTGAAATTTATGGGCTGCAATATTCACGGGCTGTGATGCAGCAATAGGAAGTGTGGGAAATGGGTGGCTGTGTCATGAAAGAAAAACGTCTTGGCACGGACAGCTCTGTTCACTTGCCAGAGAGGAGCTTTTCCAAAAGACATGATGGATAAATGGGGCAAGAGACATCCTTTCATTTCCTTTCAGACAAGCTGCTGCACCTTATATGTTTTTAGTCAGGCTAAATTGAGGAGGAAGGCCGAGGTGGCTCATTATACTATTTGCTGAAAGCCTGAAGTGTAAGCACAGGGAAAGGCTCAGGGTGTTGTGCCAAAGCATCCCATGGTTCAGAGATCAGCCAGGAAAATCTCTGAATTCACTTATACTGGGGGTCAGAATCAATGCAATAGGGCACCCATAACCTGGACATGCTTATAACTAAACCTCAGCAGTTCATTCATGATTTCTGGAACCCCCTCATTCTTTACATGATACTCCCAGAATACAGACTGTGTATTTTATGTGTCTTTTAGTGTGAGGGGTCAGGTCTCATCAACACAATTTCTGATAGTGGCCTTGGGGACAGACAGACTTCAAATGGAGCAAGCTCTTCCATGTATGTAAAGGACCTGCTCCTTAGAATTCCTTATTTTGGCAGGGGAAAGGAGACTTTCCTTTCCTCACCTATATGGTGAGGAAGATCTTACCTTCAGCCCTGAAGAAAGAGATCTGGGGGTGCTGGTCAACAGCAAGTTGAATGTGAGCCAGCAGGGTGCCTGGCAGCCGAGAGGGCAAACATCATTTTGGGATGCTTTAAATACAGCATAGACAGCTGGTAGAAAAAATAAAAAATAAAAAAAAAATAAAATAAAATAAAAAAGAGGTGATTCTCCTGCTATATATTACTGAAGCCTCACTTTGAATATTGTGTGCAGTTTTGGTCTCCACATCAAAAGGATGTGAAGATTGTGTCCAGAGGAGGGCAACAAAGCTGGTAAAAGAGCTGGATGGCATGTTCTGTGAGGAGAGGTTGAGGACACGTTTTTTTTGAGAAAACTCTACTCTACTCTACTCTACTCTACTCTACTCTACTCTACTCTACTCTACTCTTCTCTACTCTTCTCTACTCTACCCCAATTCTACCCCACCCCATCCCATCCCATCCCATCCCATCCCATCCCATCCCATCCCATCCCATCCCATCCCATCCTCTGGTTTTATGAGGGTCTCAGTGAGAACTGAACTCTCCTAGGACATACTTCTCCCCACCTTAGCATCAAGGACTCCATGTGAAGCACCCACTTTTCCCCCAGCTAGCTTTAATGGGGACCTCAGGGTATGGGCCTAAATGAAGCCCCAGCTTCAAAGACATTTAAATTAAGGGAAATGATTTCCACTCCTTTTCAATAGATGAACATATATGCTTATCTGGGACAATGGTGGTTGTTTATTAACATTCCCTGAAGAACAGGAAGGCTTGTCTTTTCCCAAGGCTCCAAACCCCCAGATGTGAGAGTTGCAAACCTTCCTGCTGCAGGACCAGAGCTGGCTGGAGGGTCAGGGAAGTGGGGATGAAAGGGGGAGTCTCTGAGCAGGTACTGCTGCAGCGGAGAGGCCACTTAAACCAATTCAAACTGGAGGGCTCGATCCCAGGGACAGCAGGGAGGAGGGATCAGTGCAGGAGGAGGGATGAGCATGGGACAAACACAGGTCAGAGGAGGGGACTGACCATAACCTTTCTGGCAGTGGCATTGTCCAGCTCAGCTTGCAGTTCTCACTACAAGGATAACCTGCCCTAAAACTACTGGCATGGGGTGCTCAGGACATTTTCTGCCCCTGCAGATCACCCTGGCTGGTTGTGCTGGAGCAGGGCTCCTCATCTACTTGGCATGCCTCTGTGGTGAGTAGCTCATGCATGGGGGAAGGTGCATTTTAGTAGACCATGTGCATGGGACGAGAGAGGTCTGTGATATGTAGGAATGGGGGGTCTGGGCTTGCAGACAAACAGGGCAAAGACTCCTTTGACCTGCCAGGCTTTAAAAGGAAGGGAAAATGGCAGATGGGGAAGGAGACCTTATTGGCCAGGTAATTATTTTGGCCTCTGTGTTGTTGCCCTTGTGCAGAGTAGTTGGGAAATGTTTGGAGCCTTACCAACCTGTGACAGTTAGGACCAGAAATTGCATATTTGTGTTGGCCACTTCTTCAGGGCCAGCCTGTATATTTAGAAATATGGGGCCCAAAGTCCTCTTTCCTCCAGTGCAAACAGGAACAGGCACTTCTACTACTCTCCAACCCACAGAAAGGAGGTGAGTGGTTGTGCTGTACATCCTCTAGCAGGTGGGATGCTGAGTTGCTGTTATTTTTTCCTGCTTCTGCCTACTTCATTTTTTGTTCTTTTTTTTTTTTTTTTCAAATAACATCCCTTGGCTTTCCAGTCCACCAAAATTCATTATTTCTGTGCACAGCAGGAGCGCTTGCTCTTGTGCATGATGGGCAAAAAAATCTGATGCTCTGTTGTTGGCTCCATATCACAATATGTATACAAATGTAGTTAAAATGCAAGGCTGCACACAGACAACTCCCATTGCTGTCTTAGCACAGAAACACAGAATCATGGAATGGTTGAGGTTGGAAGGGACCTCCTTTGGTCCTGCACCTCTGCTCCAACAGGGACACCCAGAGCAGGGTGCCCAGGACCACGTCCAGGTGGCTTTTGAAGATCTCCCAGCAGAGATACTCCACAACCTCTGGGCAACCTGTGCCTGGGCTCCATCACCTGCACAGCACAGATGTTTCCTGATGTTTAGACAGAACCACTTGTCTTCTAGTTTGTGCCTCTTGTCCTGGCACTGGGCACCCCTGAAAAGAGCCCAGCTCCATCTTCTTTGCACCCTTCCTTCAGGGATTTATGGGCATTGATAAGATCCCCTCTGAGCCTTCTCTTCTCCAATCTTTCAACCTCTCCTTGTAGGAGAGGTGCTCCCTTGATCACCTTGGTGACCCTCCGTTGGATTCTCCCCAGCATGTCCATGTCATGTCTGTCTTGGACTGGGGGTGCAGCACTGGACCCAGCACTCGAGGTGCAGCCTCCCCAGTGCTGAGCAGAGGGGAAGGATCACCTCTCTTGACCTGCTGGTGATGCTTTGCCTAATGCAACAGCCAGCTGACAGACAATCCCTATGTCCAGAGTTCTCAATCCAGACTGCAGTGTGGTCTTTTTTTTTTGTTCCTGAATTTGTTTGGGAATATCCAGTAAGAATATCCAAAGCCACATTGAAGATTGATGTCTTTTATTAGGAATATGGGATTTGCAGAGCATTTTTTTCTCCTAGATCTGGATTTTTTGGGGTTTGCCTACCAAAGGAGAAGCATGTTGGTGGTGCACATAAACCATAGCTATTTGCAGAGCCCATGTGAAGCTAGCACAGGTAGTGTAGGCTTTCTCAGCTCTTCTGCATGGGGCTGTTTCTGCATTCTGTGCAGAACCAGTTGCATCCCAGAGGGTTCCCCTCCGCTTGCTGGATGGACCGCACCGCTGCGCTGGCCGAGTTGAGGTGTACTACAGCAACAGATGGGGCACGGTGTGCGATGACCAATGGGACCTGGATGATGCCAACGTGGTGTGCCGTCAGCTGCACTGTGGCATCGCCTTGTCCACCAGCAGACCTGGCGAGTTCAGGGCAGGGTCTGGCCCCATCTGGCTGGACGATGTCAACTGCACGGGGACGGAGGTGGCGCTTTCCTACTGCAGAGCGAATGACTGGGGGAAGACCAATTGCCACCACGGTGAAGATGCTGGTGTGGTTTGTGCAGGTAACACCCTGAAGAAATTATGGGTTGGGAGGACACAGTTAGATGTTTTGCGGTTTATCTCATACAGCACAAGGGTTTGCAGGTTTGGAAACGTTAGCAGCCCAGGAAATCAGTGTTAATTGCATCTTGCAAGGGTCCTGAGATGATGAATTTCCCCTAGGGGGTGTGTACTCTCCAAGATCTTTGTTTTGTCTGAATTTCTGGGGGAAGTGGACACAGATAGAGATACAGCCACCCATTCTGTTTTGCCGACAGGCTCCATAAAATGCATCCCTAGGCAGAGGAGAGGGGCCAGAAGGAGACTTTGACTCCTCCTTGCTGCCACCAATATAATGGATACTAGATCATTTCCATGCTTTTGCCTCTGGCAATCTCCAATCAGCTTGGGATGCTGGAGAATGTCCAAAGAAGGGCAACAAAGCTGGTGAAGGGTCTAGAGAGCAAGAATTATGAGGAGAAGCTGAGGGAGCTGGGGCAGTTGAGCTTGGAGAAAAGAAAGCTCAGGGGACACCTTACCTTTCCACAATTACCTCAAAGGAGGTTGTAGTGGAGTGGGAGTTGGTCTCTTCTTCCGAGCAACAAGCAATAGGACAAGTGAAAATAGCCTCAAGTTGCACCATGGGAAGTATAGTTTGGATATTAGAAAAAAAAATATTAGGAAAAAAAAAAAAACATACACACACACAAAAAAAAAACAAACACTAAAATGGTTGTGAGACTTTGGAATAGACAGCCCAGGGAAGTGGTTGTCACCATCCCTGGAGGTATTCAAAAAATGTGTTAACGTGGAGGGACCTGGTTTAGTGGTAGACTTGGCAGTGCTAGGTTAACGGTTGGACTTGATGATCTTAGAGGTCTTTTCCAACCTGAATCATTTTGTGCTTCTATGATTCTATGTTCAGATGGAACCTGTTGAGTTCCAGTTTGTGTCCATTGCTTCTTTTCTCAGTCCAGAGGTAGCTGCATGTTAGCGATTACTGGGTGCAGCCAGCAAACATGGTGGAGTGCAGAATGGTCATGCTGGATGTTGCAGTGCCCCAAGGAGGGGCAGAAGAGGTTTAGGTTGGATATTAGGAAGAATAATTTTCTTTACTGAAGTTTTCTTTACTGAAAGGGTTGTTAGGCATTGGGATGGGCTGCCCAGGGAAGTGGTTGAGTCACCATCCCTGGAGGTCTTCAAAAGACATTTAGATGTAGAGCTTAGCGATACGGTTTAGTGGAGGACTTGTTGGTGTTAGGTCAGAGGCTGGACTGGGTGTTCTTGGAGGTCTCTTCCAACCTAGATAATTCTGTAATTCTGAGAAATGAGGGACAAGGAAGGGTTTCAAGGTACATCTCCTGTGCTTCTCGTAGAGTCAGCCAGCCACCACCAGGACTCCAGAGCTGGTTCCACAGAGCTGCGCCTGGTAAACGGCCCAAACCGCTGTGCCGGGAGAGTGGAGCTGCTGTATGGTCATGAGTGGGGAACCGTGTGTGATGATGACTGGAGCTTCACAGATGCCAAAGTCGTGTGTCGGCAGCTGGGCTGTGGGACGGCAGTCTCAGCTTATAGCTCAGCATACTTTGGCCAGGGAACAGGCCCCATTTGGCTAGACAACGTTCAGTGCAGTGGGACAGAAGCTTCCCTGTCTGAATGCCAGGCCAAGCCATGGGGAGTCAATAACTGTGACCACGGAGAAGATGCTGGAGTTGTATGTGCAGGTAACCACTGGTAGATAATATCAGGCTTGATACCAGAAGAAGAAGTTCAGTGGAGGATGCTTGGCTCCAAGGACTAATGCCACTTTGACAGCATTAGCCAAGGGTGAAAGGGTGACCTCGTTCCCTCTCTTTTTTTTCTGAAATGCACTCCTTAGAACACAGGTCATCCTTTTGCAGTAAGTAAGGAGCAGCAGTGATGATGAGGGGTAGGTAGCATACAAAAAATATGCTGGTATGGGCAAAAAGAGCATACACCAAGGACAGAGGGAGAGCACAGGGCTGGGTGGCAGAACTGCTCCCCAGCAAGGTCCCAACCCTCTGTGCTATAGGACCAGCAGCTTACAAACTCATGGGCAAAAGTGAGGAGTCCTGGGGCCTTTTTGAAGAAAGGAAAGAAGCAAGGGGGTCTTCAGGAAGCTGGAGGTTGCTAGAGTCACCAAGCCAATGTTATAGGTTCCTGGACCCCTTAAAACCAGATTGCAGCAGCTTACAGGGACAGTTTGCTTGTGTTCATGTTGAACATGCATGGGCTTTGAGGTCACACAGTTGGTTTATCTACACACCTCAACAGGTTTGCATGGACATGAGAACCCTCTCAAGCAAAACACGGGGGAGTACCCCCTGGGGAAGGTGCTGAGGGCATGGGTGGCATGTGGATGTGCTTTCAGATCAGGTCTGATGCTCCTTTTCTCTCTCACCCTGTGCCACCAGAAGGCACAGCTGTCAAAGTGCCAGCTCAGCTGCGCCTGCAGAATGGCCCCAGCCGCTGCGCAGGAAGAGTGGAGGTGCTCCACGAGCATCAGTGGGGGACGGTGTGTGATGACGGCTGGAGCCTCAGCGAGGCCACGGTGGTGTGCCGACAGCTGAGCTGCGGGACGGCAGTCTCAGCTCCGGTTCTGGCTCACTTTGGGCCAGGGTCTGGCCGTGTCTGGCTGGATAACGTGAACTGCACCGGGGCTGAAGCCGCCCTCTCCGAGTGCCATGCCAGGCCATGGGGATCCAACGACTGTGACCACGGGGAGGATGCTGGAGTGGTGTGCTCAGGTGAGTCATGTTCATAAGTACTGTGCAGCTTGGGTGCAACCTGATCATGTCCTCAAAAGCCAGAAATGGGGGCTTTTTCCACACCCTGGTGAAAAAAAATAAATAAATAATAATAATCAGAGAATGGTCTGAATGCCACACCAGGTGATGCTATTCCCTGTGCAAGACCTTAGGAAGGTTTTGTGCAGAAAGAAGCACAGTTAGAGAGCCATTCTCCTATCCCTTTCTGATAGCACTAGCTGCATAAACTCATCTGTCAGTGCCTCCTACCACTTTTTGTGGTGGGTATTGATCCCAATACCCTTTGTTGGGCACTGAATCCCAGGCTCTGTAGCTGTGGTCCCTTTTTATCTGAGCTGAGAATCTTTGTCAATGTAGAACATTTCCCAGGCCTCTTGAAAGGATGTTCTAGTTTTTTCCATGGCTCAATGCATTTCAAAGCCTGTCTGCAGCTGATGATCAGGTATGAATGTGCACTTTGCTCCCTCCTCAGACACGGACACATCGAGGCACCGTCTGCTGCGGCTGGTGAATGGATCGAACAGCTGCATTGGGAGAGTTGAGGTTCTTCACGACCAGAAGTGGGGGACCGTGTGTGATGACACGTGGGACATAAACGATGCTGCAGTTGTGTGCAGGGAGCTGGGCTGTGGGACGGCAATGTCAGCACCGGGCTCAGCTCATTTTGGGCAAGGGTCGGACCCCATTTGGCTGGACAATGTGCACTGCGTGGGGACAGAGTCAACCTTTGCGGAGTGTGGGCTGAAAAGCTGGGGAGAGCACAACTGTGGCCACAGTGAGGATGCCGGTGTGGTGTGCTCAGGTAAATCCACAGGGACCAGGGTGGGCCATCCAGGACAGGCTGAGTTAATTCCTGTCCACTCGACGTGGGGTTGGACACCAAAGCTGTCCTGCCTGAGACCTCACCCCCTCTGCTCTCTGCTGCAGGCACCAACCCCTTGCAGCTGCGGGTTAAGGATGGTCCAGGTCCCTGCTCAGGGCGTGTGGAGGTGCTGTACAATGCCACCTGGTACGGCGTCTGTGACAGTGACTGGAGCTTGCTGGAGGCGCAGGTGGTCTGCAAGCAGCTGGGCTGTGGGCCAGCACGGTCTGCACCCATCGGAGGCCAGTTCAGCCCAGAACATGGCCACGCTTTGCTGGAAGGGCTGAGCTGCCGCGGCTCAGAGAGTCTGCTCCTGGAGTGCCAGCATAGGAACATGGGTCCGGGGCAGTGCAAGCACGGCTTTGCAGCTGGAGTGGTGTGTACGGAGATGGAAGGTGAGTGCCAGGAACCTCTGTTGTCCTACTGCAGATGGCACCGCTCTTGCTGAACTAGTGGCCAACCTAGTGTCTAGGATGGGCAGAGCCAAGTAGCCACTGCAGTGATAGCACACCGTGGGGTAACGCTCCTGTCTCTGTGCCAGTCTTAGCAGAAGTGATGCCAGAAACCTCCCTGACAGAAACCATTAGATGGACAGGATGGAGGCACCTGGAGGAAAAAAGCTGTAGGTGATGGAGGGGGATTAATTAGGAGAAGGTGTGGATATCATGCTGATATCATGCTCCCTCAGAAAGTCTCCCTCCATGGGCAGGGAGAGACAATTCCTAATGCACAGGGATTTCTGTTAAGGTGCAGCCTCTTGCATCTAAACTAGTTCTGCCATGCCTTGCTGTATCCCACGTAGCATGGGTGTTTGGAAATGCCAAGGGTTCCCCTTGTGGATATGTTCTCTTGGCATTAATCCAAGTTGGGGGGTCCTTGCACCCATCCTACAAAAGTGGAGGGCAAGCCAACAGGGGTAAACCCCAGCCCCATGGAGTGCTGTGATGGAAGATGTTGAGAGTCCCCCTAAAATGTGCAGCAGAAAGGAAGGGTGAGCAGGAACCCTGAGGGATGGCGCAGGTCTGACCATCCAACCAAACTGCTCTGAGCTTAACTCTTTCCACAGATCTCACCCAGGCCTGCTCAGTGCTGTCGGGTCTGCTTGGCGTGGTGGCAACACTCTGTGGGATCCTGCTAGTCCTGTACCTAGTGAGGTGTGGAAGACAGGCTGGGCGCTCCCATGGTAAGAGCAGGACCTCTGTGCATGGTACATCCGGTGTCCCTACAGGGCTCATGGTGCTTTTGGCCTCACTTCTTGGGCTGGGGTTGGGGTTTGCGCATTGTTGGTCTGTGCAACACTTCTTGGGTTGGGATTTGTACCCTCTGAACATCACCCTGCTCCTTTGTTTTACAGAAAAATCACAAGCAAAGAAGGTGGATGATGCCGGGACATCATCTGAGGCTTAGGTGGCCACACTCCTGGTAATGAAGGCAAGGCTCCCCAGGACCCCAGAAGGCAGCAAAGACACTGTTTTGTGGAGCCAGAGCAGAGCAGCCCTCCAAGGATCAGCAGAGACGATCTCCTCTGGCAGAGTCCTGTCTTGTGTGCCCTAAAGCCCCCGGCCCACTGCACTGAGCTTCTGGGGGTCCTACTTCCCCCACGGTCACACACAGCACCATAAATCCCCCAGTTTCCAAGCCAGGTCTTCTCAGAGTGATAACCCCTATCTGGTCCTCCAGGTAGGCTCCAGCATCCCAGCTCCATCTGCTTGCACAGATGCTTCATTCCCGTCACTGCAATCCTGTGCCTTCACCCAACAGCCACCCCTTGCCATCACCCCAACAGTCATCATACTTTTTCCTCTAATCTCCCATGGAAATGGCTTCATGATCCAAGAAAAAGAGAGCACAGTGCTCTACTGCACTGCACATAGCTAACTTTGCAAAAAGAGCAATGCACTTTGAAGTCTGTCCAGCATGGGCTGGGAAGTACCTCGTCTGTTGTATTTATTCAGTATAGTTTTGAATACCAGTAAAGAATCCTGAAACCTGAAAGAACAAGAATGAAATATTGTATGCATGTTTAGGGTTATGTAGTAACTTGGCCTGAAGTTTAGGCAAAGCGTATGTGATGAAAGAATGGGTTCTTTGGCTACAGAGGGATGATTGGGTCACATATTGGAGACTGATGATTGCTAATTCTGGGTGAGATATGGTCCTGGCCAAAACCAAGGAAGGGTCTGTGGGTGGTCACATTCTTAATAAAGCAACACATGTGTCAGGTGTGAGCCCCAAACCACCCACCACTTTGGTGAAGCCAGAGGGTCCCACGGTCAAGATTGAGGAACATCCCAGTGCCACAGGGAGGCAACAAATGACCACAAGCTTCATCAGATCGTGATGAAGCCACAGAGAAAGAAGCATTGTCTTAGGGACCAAAGAGCCTACTTGACATGGCAACATCTCAAATTAGCTGCTGGAAGAGGTAGAAAAAGCTGGCAAGGATCTCACCAGGTAGAAGACAAAGAAGGAAGAGAGGGGCCATTAGGTACATGCAGAACAAGATGAGTATTTAGAGCATTGTGAGGTGCAGCTGAGGACATGACAATGAAATACAGAAGGCAGGAAATGGCATTGCAGGTTCTTTTCAGCAGTGGAGAGGGCTTGGGGAATTAAGCTAGACCTCCCATGCTCTCTGTTCAATGACAACGTTGCAGGATCTGTTCAGTCCTTCCAACAGCAAGGTTGCCTTTGGGAAGTGGTGGGGCAACGGGGTCTTGTTATCCTCCTCTCCTGGATTCAGCTAGGATAGAGTTATTTTCCTCCTAGTAGCTGGTAGAGTGCTGATTTAGGGTGAGAATAATGTTGATAACATGCTGATGTTTCAAATGTTGCAGAGCAGTGCTTACTGAGCCAAGGGCTTTTCAGCTTCTCACACTGCCCTGCCAGCAGGCAGGCTGGGGGTGCAGCAGGAGCTGGGAGGGGACAGACCCAGGACAGCTGACCCAAAGTGGCCAAAGGGGTATTCTGTACCATATGGGGTCATGTTGAACAATTAATACAGGGGGCTGGCCGGGGTTGGGGGACTGGCTGCTCAGGGATAGGCTGGGCATTGGTCAGCGGGTGGTGAGCAATTGCATTGTGCATCGCTTGTTTTGTACACATTGTTAGGAGTATTATCATTATTATTATTATTATTATTTTCCTTTCTTTTCTGTCCTAATAAACTGTCTTTATCTCAACCTGCAGGCTTGCATTTCTTTGTAATTCTGTCCCTCATCCCAGAGAGGGAATGGGAGTGAGTGGGTGCTGCCAGATATGTTAAGCCACACCACCTACCACCTCTCATTCCCTTCCAGCCAGCAGTTGAAGCTGTTATCAGTTTGCATCTTTCTACCTGTCCTAAGCCTCAGCCATGCAGTCCCTGGCCCCTTCTGTCAATGTGTGGTTGCAAGGTCATCTTCTGGTCCTCCCTGGACATCCTAGGACTTTGGGATTTCTTATCCTTCTGCTGGCACTTGAATCTTTTAATTTTTCTTCTGGCTGATCCGGCAGACCCAGTTTTCCAGTCTTGTTTGTCCCAGAGTTTACACCAAAGGCTCAGCACTCCTGAGCTCTTATAGGTCTGTGCGTCTGCACATGAGTGCCTCAGAATAGGAGGAACTTGGACCCAATTGTCTGGGGTGTTTTCACTGCCTCGGGAAAGGAGGAAAAGACTGGGGCCCAAGTATCAGAAAGCACCAACTGTCTGCATCATTGTGTGTGTTTAATCACAGTTTGGAGAAGACCTTTACAACTGAAAAAGATCTGAGTTTGGGCTGTGGACTACTCTGCAGAGATTCCACAATATCTCAGGAAGGGGTTTCAGCCTTCCCAAGGGGACACAGCACACAAACTCAAAAGGAACAGAACAGACATAGGAAGACGACGCATTTCCAGAGCACCTATTTGAACAAACTACTGAAAACTACCAGCAGAAGCACCCCTACTCACAGCTGCATTGGCCAGGTCAGGCTTTGACAGTTTATAGCATTTTTGTGATGGTGTCGGGAATTTCTTTGTTGCTGGCCTCTTTGTTTACAAAAGAGAGGCACAAAGTCCTTGGGCTCACTGAGCCTCAGGACAAATGAAAACACCTTTCCCAACTGCTCTACTTTTTATTAGCTTTGAATCGTTTCCAGCTGATTTTTTCACCCACTCATTCTCATACCAGTATTTCACTGTTTTTTAACACACATCTTTTTCCCTTTGGTCTGCAGCCCCTGCTCTGCTCACTCTCAGCATTCCTCTGCAGTTTGGACTTCTCTTATTTTCTCTTCCTATAGGTAGTGATCTTCTCTTTAATACCTCTCTTGGGTTTTGCCAGGCTGAAGAGTTCAGTTCAGCCCAAGACCTCCCTAGCCATGCTAGGTCCTCCTCCCGTAACATGCTCCGGTTTCATTTCTTATTTTTGCAGACTTGCACTTCCTGGGGCAATATCCTTTCTCATCCCTATCTTCAGTGCACCAGTAGTGCAGCATCCACCACAGCCTTAACATTCCCATTCGGAGCAACAAGTGATATTTATCTAATGACTTTTCAAACTCATTTTTCCAGTGCCATGCTTACTCTGGCTTCAGGCCCTCTTCTTGCAAAACATCAACATGCCACAAGGATGTGCACTCTGCAAGTGATGGGAGAGAGGGGACAGCAAACTCTACAGCTCACCTTCTTCCTCTGTTGAGCAAGAAAATAATGTCCATTTTCCCTCCACCTATGAATGGCCCGAACTGCTCTGCACTACCCTTCCAAATGGTTTTCCGTTGCTTATTCTAGTGGAAACCTACACTGGGTTGGGGAAAGTCCTGGATCACAGACTCTGCAAGTTTTCTTCATGTGTATGAGGAATTTTCTTTCCTTCTCTCCTGGCTGGAGAGGTGCTTCCTGCCCAGCTCAGCATCATATTAGCTCCAGCCTTCACAATAAAGGCATTTCCAAAATTTAGTAACATATTTGCTTGTAGAAGGTGGTCCCTTACACCTGAAACCCCAATAAAATACATTTTAATGAAGCTAAAGTAGCTAATTTTCCCCACTTCTGTGCAAAAAGGCTGCATTTACATTGTCAGAGGAAGGTCTCCTGCACTATCCCCAGGACACTGCTGGACAGCCGAGGTGCCTTTGGGGCTGTCACGTAGAACACGGGGCCTGGGTGCAGAGGGAGTTTTGTTTGCTCTGCCTTTTCCTGGAACAGCTCTCCATTTCACAACCCAGTGACAGGATCAGACGGCGGCACAGAGCAGAGGGTCACCTTCTGGCATGGATTCACACAAAGCCCAAGCCAATGCCCTGTGGCCTGGGGGCAGAGGAAGAGGAAGGCTAGCCAGGCAGGGAAAAGCACAGGGCAAAGGAGGGAACAGGAGGAGGGTTTGCTGCTGAAATGCCCATCACTCCCAACCCTGGGCATCTGCCTCGATCCCTCTCCATCCCTCCTAGTCAGCCAGCAGGACACAGAGCTCAGCTGCTGTCTCTCACCAGGACTTTCTGCTCCAGCTTCCAGCCCATGGCCAACCTGTGAAGATGGGGATGCCAAGTGGTCTCCATCCCTCCCCCAGGTACCCCTGGGGCAGAAACCAACCCACCTGCTCCGGAGCCAAGAGCGTGGGGATCCTCCTCCTGATGGTTTGCCTTTGGGGTGAGTGGTGTTTGCCTTTGCTTCTGATCCCAGGTGCCCCTCTGCTACGTGTGCTCCTCCAGTGTATTCATTTGGTGCTTTGTGGAGGACGGCTTGGTCTGGCCAAGGGTCCTGGGTTTCATTCATCAGTCTGGGGCAGGAAGGAATGGCTTGTGATTGTTTTGGAGGCAGAAGAAAAGTCTTTATGTGCAGCTATCCCTGCAGACTGCTCTCAAAGTCATGTATTGCCTATTTACTGCTACACATGTGGTTTTGCCACATAAATGAAGACTTGGGACTTAAGAGTGGAGAGAATCATGCTGAGTTTTGCCTCCTGAAGCTGTACCATAACTATGCATGCTCTTCTGCTCTGCTTAACCTTGTCTTATTCCGGACCTTGTGTGGCAAATTTATGGTATTGCAGGGTGGAGAGGGCCTGGACAAACTCAACGCCCCTGTACACAGCAAAAAGGGGCAGCTCCTTGTAAGATGAGGGGGTGACAAGTAGGGACCACAGACCTCAATTACCAGGACAAGGCTGGGTGCACTCTGCCAAGCTGTGGTTTGTCCACCCAGGCACGGGCAGTCAACGCACCTGAGACTGCCCACAGTAAAAATGAAATTTCATACAAAGGCTCCCTACCGAAGGTAGTGCTTTCAGGAAACATGCCAAGAAGCTCTGCTAAGTCTCAGCTATGGGGTTGATCTGTTATTGCTTATCAATGGGTAACTCTTGGTAAAAATGAAGAAAATGAGCAAAAGACCTTTAAGACTGCTTTTAGCCTGGGGTAGGAGAGCTTGCAAACTGAGAAGTGAATGCATGCCGCGCACCTGGTTCAGACTCATCTTAAATTTTAATAATATAATAATCTTAATTTTTAGGGTTGTCTTTGCAAAGATATTTTCATGCTCCCCAGGGCACATCCCTTATAAATAAGAGAGTTGAGCTACTGAAACCTGCATGCAGAGTGCCAGCTTGTCCCCTTTGGCAATGCTACAGCTACCCAGACCTTGCTTGGACCTGGGAATGACTCAAGGATTTAATTTGTAAACTGTTTCTTCCTCTTTCTGGCCTCAGTGACTTCCTGAGTGCTGTATCTGATCCTTTGCTTATCATCTGGGGAAATCCTTGCAGCTTACAGACCAAGGGTATCAGGCCATCACTGAATGTCCTAACTCAGGCTTGTGATATATCTTTTGGAGAGTGACAGGCCCCCACAGAAGGCAGGTCCCATTTTGGGTGGGCAGTGTTGCCTATTGCTCTGCACTGGTATTAAAAGGAGAAGAGGAGGAAAAAGTGTTTAGCTGCTCAACTTTAAGTATCTTTGGAGCATGGGGCACCTGGCTTAGGGAGCACATAGACACCAGCTCCTGACAGAACTTATGGGAGCAGCAAAACTGCTGGACGTCAGCACAGATCAGTGCCTGAACACTTTGGAAATCATTATCTGCAGTCAAAAAGGTATTTACAGAATGCAAACACAGTCCTCTTGAGCATTTTTTATGTGGACCTGGTTAGGAACTTGCAGCTAACTTATGGCTCCTTTCTGCACAGTCTCCACTTTTTTTAGTGCTCTTGCTAAGTGTATGTGAGGGGCTGGAGGCAATCTTATGCTGTAGATCCTGTAAACTGTGAAGACCTTCCCATAGCTGAATCACTTTTCCACTTCTCTCAACTCTCTGTGTAGTTATACCACACAAAGTTACTCTATGGTGAAACTATATCTTTGTTACTGACAAACAAGCATTTGCCTGTCTTTTTACATGAGTGAGAAAAAGACTCCTAGGGTGTCGGATCCACGTTGACATTAGGATTATTTAATTCAGGCATTTAGATACAAACATGAGACTCAGCTGCCTAAAAACAGACACCCAGGACCATCTGAGATGCTTCAGGACATGTAGAATCGTAGGGTATACCAAGTTGTAAGGGACCCACAAGGATCATTGAGTCCAACTCCTGACTCCATGCAGGGCAACCTAAGAATTAAACCATATACTTAAGAGTGTTGTTAAAAGGCTTCCTGACCTCCAGCAGGCTTGGGGATCTCCCTGGGGAGCTGGTTCCAGGGCCTGACCAGGCTTTCAGTGAAGATCTGATCTCCTAGCTGAACCTAGAAGTTCATGGAGGCAGCTCCATGACATTCCCTCAGGTCCTACTGCTGGTCACTAGCAAGAGACTAGCTTCTGCTCTCCCTCATGAGGAAGATGTAGGCTGCAATGGGGTCTTCTCTAAGCTGATGCTAAGTGTAGGATGTTCAGCTACTTCTCTGAAACCCTTTCTGAACAGCAGATAGGGGACAGCAGGCATCTCAAACGCATAAAGAGTTGAACCCCATCTACTCTTAGGATGTCACCTCCTTCTCCTTCTCCTCCTCCTGGCTCTGCAGGCACAGCCTCCCCAGATCCAGAGGGGCTTCGTCTGGTGGACGGCCCCGGCCGCTGCGCTGGGCGAGTGGAGGTGCTCCACAATGGGACATGGGGGACAGTGTGCGATGACAACTGGAGCGTCCATGAGGGACAGGTCGTGTGCCGCCAGCTGGGCTGTGGGACGGTGCTGTCCGTCTCAAAGGGGGCTCGGCACGGAGAAGGCATGGGCCAGATCTGGCTGGACGATGTGAACTGCACGGGGACGGAGGCTGCCCTCTCTGAATGCCAGTCCAGGCCATGGGGACAGCACAACTGCCACCACGTGGAAGATGCCAGCGTTGAGTGCTCAGGTAGTCCCAGTGCCCCACCGTGCAGCACCTCTGGGTCTGTCCCCCATGCACAGCCACCCTACAACTGATCCTCTCGGGGTGTTTGCAGACTCCAGGACCTCGGAGTTGGGCACGCTGCAGCTGCTCAATGGCCCCAACCGCTGCGCGGGGAGAGTGGAGGTGCTCCATGACCACATGTGGGGCACTGTCTGCGATGATGGCTGGGACCTCATGGATGCCACTGTGGTGTGCCGGCAGCTGGGCTGTGGGACGGCGCTGATGGCCACCAAGGGGGCTCACTATGGGAGAGGCCAGGACCCCATCTGGTTGGATGAGGTGAACTGCACGGGCACAGAGGCCACCATCTTCGACTGCAAGGCCCGTGCATGGGGGGTCAACAACTGCTACCACGGCGAGGATGCTGGTGTGGTGTGTTCAGGTAACTCTTGCTTAGACCTTCCAACACAGAAGGCTAAAAGTCAGCACCCTAAAATACTTGTAGGGGTTTTGAAAGGGGTGTCTGGAATGCTCAGAAGCACTGGGGGCATGAGGTGCATCTTGGAGTGCTCTCCTGCAGCATCCCTTTGCAGAGCTGGAGAGCACTTGCAGCATGCAGGCAGGCAAGTTGCAATGAAAAGACTTCTCCCACCTTTGCAGCCATGTGTCCAGTGCTGAGCTGCAAGACAAGTGAGCTGTCTGGGCTTCCCCTCTCACTGGATTCAGATGACCATTTGCAGTCACACGCAGGAGTTACCAAGCACCTGCACCAAGATCTATTGGTCTTGGGGACTATAGGCTAGTCAGCAAAAACCTTGCAAAGTTTTCTGCAGCTATAACTCACCCCAGCAAATCATAGAATCAGAGAATGGTTTGGGCTGGAAAGGACCCTTAAACATCACCTAGTCCAACATCCTTGTCATGGGTAGGGACATTTTTCAATAGATCAGCCTGCTCAGAGTTCCATCCAACCTGACTTTGAACACTTCCAATGGTGGTATATCCCATCTGTTGGCTTTTCTGGCCCACATGTGCACACAGCTGGCTTGTATCCACTTTTCTTCCACCACTGTCCCAAAGTTCTTCTCTACAGAGCTTGCACGTGGCCTTGTTGAACTTCATGAGGTTTGCAGTTCCTGCCCATCCAGGTCTGTCTCACCCGTTACCTGAGTGTCAGAGGTGTTGAAGGAGGTTTTAGTGCACGTGCACTAGAGGATGCCCAGCTCTGTCAAGGAGGAGCAGGAGCAGCTATGGCTCTGTCCTGTTTATTGCAGCCTCAGGAGTGTCCATCTCAGCGGAGCTCCGCCTGGCCAACGGTACAACGCGCTGCAATGGAAGGGTCGAGGTCTTCCACAATGCCACCTGGGCAGCCCTCTGCGATGACGGCTGGGGGCTGGCTGAGGCTCAAGTGGTGTGCAGGCAGCTGGGCTGTGGGACAGCGCTGTTGGCTCCCGGTGGGTCTCATTTTGGGCAAGGATCAGGACAGATGTGGCCGGGCAGTGTGAACTGCACGGGAGCAGAAACTGCCCTCTTTGCTTGCAAGATGAGACCCTGGAGCAACAGCACGCATCATCCTCGGACATCAGCTGGCGTGGTGTGTGCAGGTAACCACCTTGGGAATGGCATGGGGGGAGAGATGCTTGGCTCATCACCTTAATTTCTGCAGCATGCTTAGATAATATGGCCTCTTTGTGGCTGCCCTGTTGTCAGGGGGTGTTTGGGGTTGGACATAGTTCGGCTGTTCACCTTGAAGGGTTGATGAGAATGGTAGAGTTGCAATGGGATATTTCAAGTTTCGTCCCCTCTGCCATAAGTTTCTGGAGCCAAACATCTGGCTGGGCAGACCCTTTTCATGGTCATTAAATGAGCCTAAGGTCATGAGCTTGAGGTCATTAAATGAAACGCTCAGCTACAGTGGCAGGACAGACTTCTCATGCTGCAGAAAGAGACCACTTGTGGGTATGGTTTTGCCTTCTCTTCTTTTTGCTCTTTTATTTAACTCAGAGGGTGACCAGGTCCGGCTGGTGAACTACGGGAGCCGCTGCGCTGGAAGGGTTGAGATCTTTCACAACAAGCAGTGGGGAACTGTGTGTGATGACAACTGGGATTTGCTGGATGCCAACGTGGTGTGCAGGCAGCTGGGCTGTGGGAGAGCCCTCTCAGCCCCTGGATGGGCTCAGTTTGGGCAAGGGACTGGCGTCATCTGGCTGGATGAGACGAATTGCACGGGGTTTGAGTATGCCCTGTCTACCTGCTGGGCCAGGCAGTGGGGCATCAATAATTGCTACCATGGGGAAGACGCTGGTGTGGTGTGCTCAGGTGAGCACTGCTCCTTCTACGTCTCTCTACGTGTCCCCTGGAGCAAGGAGGATTGGTGGGAGGTGCCAGGACAGATGGTTTATGCCCCTTGTAAGGCTGAGCTGGGACCCAGAGTCAGCATCAGCAGTCAGTGTGGTTTTCCTGGACTTGCCCTATAGCTGGTGAATGAAAGAGGTCCCTTCTGAAGTGTTTATTTAGGATGGTGGGAGGAATTCCTGCAGGGAACCCTATTTCTCCCCATAAACTCCCCAGGCTGACCAACTCCAACAGCAGGAAGACCGATATATTAGGGGCAAAGCTAGTGAAAGCAACCAAGATTTTCTTGCACGAAATGGGTCTGGGGTCTTGTGCAGTGCAGGAGCAGTGCAGGCCATGGGAGGGGTTTTGGGTTGCAGTGAGAAGCCCTCCTGTTCCCACCTCCTCCATGCATTTTGGTGGCTGGAAGAGGGACCAGGAGCTTAATTCTGACAGGATGAGCATGGGTGAAAATCTGTAGCCGTTAGAAGGGATGTATAACTCCCTTGGATGTTTGCAGATGCGCTCATCCCCGAGCCCGCTCGTCTCCGACTGGTGAACGGCTTTCACCGCTGTGCTGGCCGAGTGGAGGTGTTTCAGGATGAGGAGTGGGGAGCTGTGTGTGACCATGGCTGGGATAAGAAGGATGCCGAGGTCGTGTGCCGGCAGCTGGGCTGTGGGACAGCGCTGTCAGCCTCGGGGGAAATTCACTTGGGTGCTGGATCTCTCCACACGTGGCTGGACAACGTGAGCTGCGAGGGGACTGAACAATCCCTCATGAAATGCAGGGCAAGCCCATTGGGAAAAAGCAGCTGCAGCCATGGGAAATACGCCAACGTGGTGTGCTCAGGTGGGTTTCAGTGTGCAGTAGCACTTCTCCCACTGGGAGTGGGTTAGGATGCTGGGATGCTCTGCTATAGCCAGGTCCTCTCTCCCCTGACCCAGCAGGTACAAGGTGCCTGCTTTATCCCATGCTGTTGGACCAAATACTCTCAGATCCTTTGAGAGGTGTCTCCAAAGGAGTATGAGGTGGTGTGGGTTCAGAAGCAACATAGCCATGATGCTCTGTGCAGCACTGCATGTAAAAATGAAGGGTCCCTCATCCTCCTGCATGGACCATGGATGGATTTGCAGGGGCTGCTCTGAGTTTCTTGTCTCCTCACAGGCTCTGCTGTTTCCAGCCTTGCCCCAGTCCGGCTGGTGGACGGCCCAGGCCGTTGTGCTGGGAGAGTGGAAGTGTTCCACAATGATCAATGGGGAACCGTGTGTGATGACAGCTGGGAGTTCCCAGACGCTGAGGTGGTGTGCCGGCAGCTGGACTGTGGGGTGGTTATTTCGGCCCCACGGAGGGCTTACTTTGGCCAGGGACAGGGCCCCATCTGGCTGGACGACGTGAACTGCACAGGGACGGAGGCTGCTCTTTCCGAATGCAAGCTCAAGGGATGGGCTGTCCACAGCTGTGATCATGATGAAGATGCCAGCGTGGTGTGCTCAGGTAACCGCCACCTGTCACAGCACTGGGAGCACCACGGCAAGCATTACTGAGGCTTGACTCGGTGTCTTCATGTGGTTGTAAGGGTTTGGGGTACAGGAACAGTTTGCAGCCAGCCTGGAGACCCTTGCCTTTGAAACCAGCTCCTCATGGTCCATCTTGGTGGCTTAGAATAGCACCTAGACATTAAAGCCCAGGAAAAATAAATGGCTTGCTCATTTGCATTATTGTCACAATAACAAGGTCCCTGGCATGCTTTTAACTGATGTTATTCACAAATCCTGGCAGTTAGCATGGGCCAGAGACCATTTCTAATAGTCTGGACTATGCTGGACTATAGTCCATTCTAATCAAGCCTTGGGTAACAATCTCATCATTTATTTTTTTATTTTTTATTTATTTATATTTCCTCCCCCAGCCATTTTGCATCACATCTGAAAATCCGTCACTGTCTCTTGCTGTGAAAGCATTCTCAACCCTCAAAGCTGCTCAGCCTCGTGTGTAAAGCCATTTGCTGTCAGCCCAAGGCTTTGGTGAGCAGAAGGTGCCTCCTTACATATTTATGCCTTTTGGTGTTGCAGGATCAGGCATTTCCGACCTCGGAGAGCTCCGCCTTGTGAATGGCTCAGACAAATGCTCGGGGAGACTTGAGGTTTTTCATGACCAGCGCTGGGGGACTGTCTGTGCTGACGGCTGGGACCTGGCCGAAGCCCATGTGGTGTGCAGGCAGCTGGGCTGTGGGGCAGCACGCTCGGCCACGGACTCGCCCCAGTTTGGGAAAGGACCTGACCTGCTCTGGGTGGATGCTGTGCAGTGCACTGGGACGGAGCGAGCCCTCTTCGAATGCAAGGTCAAGCTCTGGGGAGCCCAGAACTGCAAGTCTAGGGGATATGCAAGTGTCGTGTGCTCTGTGGCCGTAGGTCAGTGTGGGTGAGTCAGGTACCAGTCCTCCCCCTGGGGAGGTTGTGCCACCTCTTGTCTGCATATTCACTCTTTCCAGCTCCTCCTTGTCTTGGCTTAACCACTGCTTGTTTCTATGGTTCCTCCAGAGAGCATAAAACCTTTTCCTTTTAGAGGTCTGCCAGTACTTGGCTTATGGCAGGAAAAGTGCTTGGAAATCCCATACCAAGGATTCCCTGAAACCTCAAGCCTGTAAGAGCCTGATTTTATGATGTAGGCATTCTCTAAGGGACCATCACACACCAAAAGCTCTGATGCTGTAGGGCAGGGAGTTATTCTGCCTGTATTTTTTTAATCACTGCTCTTCAGCCATGCTACCTTACAGCCACTAGTCCCTGGGGAATCCCTTCCCTTTGCCTTATTCAAGTATGTGTGCACTGGGTGCCTTGTTGCCTGGTCGTCCCCGTGAGAATAATCACATCATGGACCCACCCCCCTAATAATTAATGCCTTCACCTCCTCTCCCACGCAGCATGCTCACTCCTGAGAAAAAATGAGGCATCAGAAGTGAATGCTGCAGGGAGAGGGATGCTCTTAGGCCAGATAGTATCATTACTGGAGGGGCTCTTGGGGTCCTGTGCTGCAGGGAGCAGAAAAGGGTCTCTCTCCTAGAGAGGGTCTCTCTGCTAGAGTCCTTGCCTGTCTGCTGGGATGGATGCTAAAATCTCAGTGTGTGTGCTGAGGAGAAGGTGAGCATCCTCTTCCATGCTGCCAGGACTTTGAGAGTTGATGGTATATGTGATAAAATGTCCGTGCTGCCCTCCCTGGGATCTCAGTGCCTGTGTACCTGTAGTCTGGAGACTCCAGAGTTATCCCTTTCCCCTAAAGCAGGACTTTATTCTTGAATGGGTGGCAAAGACTTGGCCAGGCTCACAGGGCGAGGTCCTAACACTTCTGATCCAAAACATGCTCATATATGCATGTCCTTAGTGAGGCAAATGAGAAATGTGCTGGTGGAGAGCATGAAAGACCCCTGGATGGGGAGGTACACTGCGTTGCTGGTAACCAGACAGGCAGGAATTTCTGGGACTTATTCTCATGCCAATTCCCTTTCCAGATGCAGACCTGGGCAGCCCAGAAGCCCTGCGGTTGGTGAATGGTCCCAACCGCTGCTCAGGGCGGGTGGAGGTGTTCCACAGCTGGCAGTGGGGCACCATCTGTGATGACGGCTGGGACCTGAACGATGCCAAAGTGGTGTGCCGGCAGCTGGGCTGTGGGACAGCGGTGTCAGCCCAAGGGTTATCTTCCTTTGGGCAAGGGTCTGGCCCCATCTGGCTAGAGGGGGTGAGATGTCTTGGGACAGAAGCAACACTTGCTGAATGCCCCTTCAAGCCCTGGGGACTCCACACATGTAGCCATATGGAAGATGCCAGCGTTGTGTGCTCAGGTAATCCTCATTGCGTGCTTTTTTTACATATGGGTCAAGTCCTGTCCTGCAAGCTGCAGGCTGGGAACAGTTTGGGAACAAATAATTCTGGTGTCCAGAATTTTCCATTTCAGTAGAAACCACATTAAAGAACAGAGCTATCAGACACATAGACAAATATGGACATGGACATGGGGGAAAAACAGCATGGTGTAAGACACACCTTAGTGTCTGGAGATGTCCAAGGGTGTCCAAGGTATTTTCATGGGGCAAAGCACCTGTAGCCTTCTTGGAGTGGAAGCTGAGGGGTACAAGGATGCTGCCTGAGTGGCAGCAGATGCAACTGCACCATGCCCAGGGGTAGGACAGGCAAAGCGGATTGTGCTGCCAGTGCTTCTAAATGCTAGGTCATGCAGATAAATATGGAAAGATGCACCAGAACAAGCCTTTGCAATGCAGTGCACACACTGGCAGCTTTGAGCCAGCTACTACCCATCTAGCTTTTGTCTTGGAAGAGAAACCTCCAGAGACAGATCAATGTGGTGATCAGCAGTCAGGAAAGCACAGGATCAAACAAACAAATAAAAAAACATCCTTTGCCATGTGCAAGCAGGCTGCAGCAACGCCATCTACACCCACTGCTGGGATGCTCATCCTTCGCCAGCCCTGCAGATGCTGAGACATACAAGTGGGAACTCATAATGCCCATTTCTCTGTGTTTTTCAGGCTCAGGGATCTCCACAACCACCACGCTTCGGCTGGTGGGTGGTTTGAACAAGTGCATCGGGAGGGTCGAGATGTTTTATAACAACGAGTGGGGGACAGTCTGCGATGACAGCTGGGACATGAGCGATGCCATGGTGGTGTGCCGGCAGCTGGGCTGCGGGACGGCTCTTTCAGCCCCAGGATCGGCTCGGTTTGGGTGGGGATCCGGTCGCATCTGGCTGGATGAAGTCAACTGCACAGGGGAAGAAAATGACATCTCCCAGTGCAAAGCAAAGACTTGGGGTGTCCACAACTGCCACCATGGGGAAGATGCCGGCGTGGTGTGCTCAGGTGAGACTTGGGCTGGGGTGGGCAGGAGGCAGGCTTACGGCTGGACTTGTGACCAGAGCTCCTGCACACCTGGGACAGAGAGCAGGGCTTGTAAGAAAGATGGAGAAAGATATTTCACCAGGGTTTTGAGCAACCTGCTCCACTGAAAGATGTCCCTGCCCATGTCAGGGCATTGGAGTAGATGATGTTTAGGGGTCTTCTCTAACCCAAACCATTCTATGGGTTTGTGACTCTCCCCAGAGGAGATGTTGGGGTGCAGTGGAGGCAGGTTTAGGCTCCTTTTGCGGACCAATCCCATTTGCATCTCTTGGATCCTGTGTGCAGCACCCCTAAGCCAAATTTCACACCTGGTGTTTATTCCTTTGGTTATTCATCAGTGCCTAGCCATAGAAATCTTTTTTATATCCCGAATGTTATTTGTGTCCCAGCGCAGGTCCTATGTAGGATGCAGTCAGTGAATGAGATGGGGTGGGACAGAGGGAGGTGCTCTGCAATGATGCTTGTGTGAATTTCCCCGGCATCTCTACAAATGCAGGAAACTCGAGCTCAGCCGAACTGCGGCTGGTGAACGGCCCCAGCCGCTGCACCGGGAGAGTGGAGGTGCTGCACGATGGGCTGTGGGGGACGGTGTGTGACGACGGCTGGGACCTGAATGATGGCAAAGTGGTGTGCCGGCAGCTGGGCTGTGGGGTGGTGCTGTCAGCCCCTGGCAGGGCTCGCTTCGGGCAAGGCACCGGGCACATCTGGCTGGATGACGTGAACTGTGTTGGGACTGAGAACACCCTTTCCCACTGCCGAGCCAGCCCCTGGGGGCGGAATAACTGCAACCACAGAGAAGACGCCAGCGTGGTGTGCTCAGGTAAGCTGCACTCCTGCAACGTGGCGCATCATGGGGGACAGTGCTACGTTTGGGTGTCCCGGAGTCAATACGTGAACTCTGCGATCTTGGAGTCAACGTAAGGGCTTGGAGTCAATGTAAGGGCTTTCTCCTTCTGAGCTCACTCCACTGGATTCCTGGCAATGGATTTAAACTGAGAGGGTAGATGTAAATGCCATAAAATAAATAAATTTTTCATGATGGGGGTAATAAGAAATGGGAGCAGGTTGCCCAGAGGAGTTGTGGATGCTTCATTGTTGGAAGTGTGCAAAGCCAGGTTGGATGGGGCTTTAAGCAACCTTCTCTGGCAAAACATGTTCCTGTCTACAGCAGGGAGGGGTGGATCAGATGAAGTTTAAGGGTCCCTTCCAACCCAAACCATTCTACGATTCTATGATCCCACATCCATGACTGTGACAAGCTCTAAGCCTAGGAAGTAATTAGCCTGAAGCAGAACGTCCCTGTTCCTAAAAGACAGATCCATCCTAAAGGATGGGTCGTATTATTCCCAGCTGAGCAGCACTGACTGCAGCCCAGAGGTAGCTTCATCAGCTGTCCTGGAGCAAATTGCACAAGAGAAACTTTCTCTGCCTGAAAAAAAAAAAAAACTACTAGGATAGGAATAACAGAGGTACGAACTGGCATGCATTTCTCCAAGGGCTTACCCCTGATTGTGTTTTCAGAGCCGGACACCTCAAAATCCTCCTTACTGCGTCTGGTGAATGGCCCCAACCGCTGCACCGGGAGAGTGGAGGTGTTTCATGACGGGCAGTGGGGGACGGTGTGTGACGACGGCTGGGACCTGCGGGCTGCCACCGTGGTGTGCCGGCAGCTGGGCTGTGGCAGGGCTGAGTCTGCCCCCAGCGGGGCTCGATATGGGCAAGGCACAGGGCACATCTGGCTGGATGACGTGAACTGTGCCGGGACTGAGGACACCCTTGCCCACTGCCAAGCCAGACCCTGGGGACAGAATAATTGCAACCACGGTGAAGATGCCGGTGTGGTGTGCTCAGGTCAGTAAAATTCTGCAATGAGAGGCATTGCAGGGGCCAGGGTGGGTGTAGGGGGTCTGTTCTGCACCTTACTGCCATTAGGGTGATGCTGCAGTGGGCTGGCGCTGGATTTCTCTGGTTTTGGGCTTCAGCCGAGGGGCAGACTCCATTTAGCTGAACAGAGTGGCCTGCACCAGGACAGAAAACGCCCTTTTCTGAATGCCTGATGAATGATTCCACAGCCACCTGGATGATGCTGGTGTGGTGTGCTCAGGCGAGCTGTGGCTGCCCTGTTGCTGGAGGCCGGAGGGTGTGGGACTTGCCCCAGGAGGGCTGGAGCAGGATGGTGTAGGGAGGGTGCAGTTCATTTGCAGTAGGAAGGACTCTTTCCCCTCTCTGATACCCATAATGATGGAAAAAGGGAATATCTACGAGAACTCCCCCTCTAAGTGGTCCCTGCACACCCTACAAGACAGCAGGATCTCAGGGGTCACTGGATCACAGAATCATACAAAATATCTAGGGTTGCATGGGACCTGTGGAGGTCATCTGGTCCAACCTGCCCACCCAAACAGCCCCTCAGAACAGGCTGCCCAGGAGCAAGTCAGAAGGCTTCAGAAGATCTCCAAGGTGGGAGGCTCCACAGCCTCTGTGGGAAACCTGCTCCAGTGCACGTGATCCCGAAGGATCACCCATTTAACGTGAGGGCACCTGCATCCTACAGACAGGTGGACACCTTGGTCCTGCGGGTGCAGATGTCAGTAAAACATCTAGGAGAGCCTTCCAACCCTCAGCACTTCTGACGCATGGTTTTCTCACCACGTTTTGCAGTGTTGTCAAACGCTGGCATTGCCAACAGGTCAACCATTCGGCTGGTGGACGGCCCTCACCGCTGTTCCGGGAGAGTCGAGGTGTTTCACAACCAGCAGTGGGGCACCGTGTGCGATGACGGCTGGGACCTGAATGATGCCGCAGTGGTGTGCCGGCAGCTGGGCTGCGGGGCAGCCGTGTCGGCCACAGCACATGCTTCCTTTGGACGAGGGATGGATCCCATCTGGCTGGACAGAGTTGCTTGCTCCGGGAGAGAAAGTGCCCTCACCGAATGCAGGGCCAGGCCCTGGGGAATCAATAGCTGCAATCATGAAGAAGATGCCGGTGTTGTGTGCTCAGGTGATGCTCATAACCCCAGACACAGGGATCCAGAAAAGCACGGGTTGGAGTCCCCTGCCCAAAAGCCTTCTCCTCTCTGAACTGACCCCTTTATTCAGTGGGAGGCAGATTTGCTGGGCATGGGGGCCCTTTGCTTTGCAGATGCCCCTGACTCCTCCACCCCCACATCCCAGTAGCCTAGGCCTACCTGATTTCATACAATCATAGAATATTCTGGGTTGGAAGGGACCCACGAGGACCATCAATTCCAGCTCCTGGCTCCACACAAGGAGCTGACCAAATGTTTTTTGGATAGAGAGTCTCGGGGCCGTGGCCACTTCCCTGAGGAGCCTATTCCAGTGCCTGACCACCCTCCCAATGAAGAACTTTCTCCTCATATCCAACCTGAACTTTCCCTGATGAACCTTAAGCCATCCCAATGAGTCCTATTGCTAATCACCAGAGGGAAGAGATCACCTCCCCCTACGCTTCCCATGTGGTCCACACTGAGGTCACCCCTCAGCCTCCTGTTCTCTAAGCTGAACAAACCAAGTGACCTCAGCTGCTCATAAATCAGGCCCTCTAGTCCTTTCCCCATCTTTGTTGTCCTCCTTTGATCACATTCTAATATTTTTATATCTGTCCTGATTTGATTTCACTTTACCTGGTTGAATGGGATGTTGAGGCTCATTTGTGATTTGGGCTGTGCGGGGACTTTGTAAGACCTATAGGACACCAAGAAGAGGACTCCCCAAGGGAGTAAAGGCACCAAGAAATGGATTTTTTTCCCCTCCCTACAAGGCACTGACCCAAGAGGCTAACTATAGGGATCCTCTGCTTGCAGACACGAGCATCACAGTGGAGGCACAGGTCCGCCTGGTGAATGGCCCCAACCGCTGCACCGGGAGAGTGGAGGTGCTGCACAACGGGCAGTGGGGGACGGTGTGTGACGACAGCTGGGACCTGCGGGCTGCCACCGTGGTGTGCCGGGAGCTGGGCTGTGGTAGGGCTGAGTCAGCCCCCGTCAGGGCTCACTTTGGGCAAGGCACCGGACGCATCTGGATGGATGATGTGAACTGTGTCGGGACTGAGGACAACCTTGCCCAATGCCAAGCCAGACCCTGGGGACAGAATAATTGCAACCACGCGGAAGATGCCGGCGGGTGTGATCGTTGTAAATTCTGCATCATGGGGGTCAGGGGGGTGTGGGTCTGTCTGGAAGGAGTGAGGTGCAAGGCAGAAACTGAGCCCTGTGCCAGGCTGAAGAAGCCAAGCACCAGCAGATGCTCTGCTCATAGCCAAAAACCCATAGGAATCCCCCATGGCACCAAGTGGAAGCAAGCCTGAGTGTGGGCATTCCTCTGTGTGCTCCCTGGGGGGACAAAGCAGGCATTCGGGGAGAGGGGAAGGGGGTGGGGGGGGTCGGGGGAGGCGGAACGGAAAGTAAGGTCAAGGAAGGAAGCCGACGCTTCCTTCCTTCCTCCTTCCTTCCTTCCTTTCCTTACCTTCCTTCCTTCCTCCTTCCTTCCTTCCTTCCTTCCTTCCTTCCTTCCTTCCTTCCTTCCTTCCTTCCGTCCTCCTTCCTTCCTTCCTTCCTTCCTTCCTTCCTTCCTTCCTTCCTTCCTTCCTTCCTTCTTTATTTTTCCTTTCTTTTCTCTTTCTTCTTTTTTTTTTTATTTTTTTTCTTCCTGTTGTTTTTTTTTTTTTGTAATGTCACGAGATGACAATTCCCCATTCTCTCCTAAACAGCAGGCCACATATTTCTCCTTGCAGACTCCAACACCACGGAGTCTGTGCAGGTCCGGCTGGTGAACGGCCCCAACCGCTGTGCCGGGAGAGTGGAGGTTTTTCACAATGCACAGTGGGGAACTGTGTGTGACGACGGCTGGGACCTGAGTGATGCCAAGGTGGTGTGCCAGCAGCTGGGCTGTGGGACAGCAGTGTCGGCCCCGGGCAAGGCTCATTTTGGACAAGGGGCTGACCCCATCTGGCTGGATGATGTGGAGTGCACGGGCACCGAAGCCAACTTCTCCCATTGCATCCTGAACGGCTGGGGGCTCCACAACTGCAACCACGAGGAAGATGCGGGAGTCGTGTGCTCAGGTGATCCTGGGGGTGATAAAAAATGCTCAGAAATCCCTAGCATCATTCTCCTGCACTGGGATGGAGTCAGCTCTGACACGTGCAGAAGTGTGAGATGATGGGGATGTTCTTGTAAGGGGGCATTCATGCAAGGGAAGGGCATGGGTAGCACATTGCACATACACCTGGAGCACGTAGGCACACACAGTCCATGTCTCTGTGTCTCTCCATCCCTGTGCTGCGTGTGATGAAGTGAAGGAGCCCACCTCACCCCCTCTGCTCTCCGCTGCAGGCACCAACCCCTTGCAGCTGCGGGTTACGGATGGTCGGAGCCCCTGCGCCGGGCGCGTGGAGGTGCAGTACAACGCCACCTGGTACAGCATCTGCAGCAGCGGATGGAGCTTGCTGGAGGCAGAGGTGGCCTGCAAGCAGCTGGGCTGTGGGCCAGCACAGTCCGTGCCCACGGGAGCCCATTTCAGCCGGGAGCACCACCGTGCCTTCCTGGAGGGGCTGAGCTGCCGGGGCACGGAGTCACTCCTCCTGGAGTGCCAGCGGAGCAAGATCAGCCCAGGGCCGTGCAGGAACGGTGCGACAGCTGGCTTGGTGTGCTCGGAGCCGAAAGGTGAATGCCCAGAACTTCCTATGGGAACTGGCAGTGTGGGGTGAGAGGCAGGGCTCACAGTGAGGATAAACTGGACAGGCAGTGCCCTCCACGCTGCATCTCGTGGGACCGAGCTGCTTCTGCACAGAGGTCTGCCTACAAGGAGGGAGAGTTTGATGGTTTTGGCCCCAGAATGGTGTATGCAACCCTGGCGTGGCTATTTCAGTGCAAAAGGGGAGATATAAAGGTTGGGGCATGTATTTGCCTAAGCAAGCTCCCAAAGGCCTTCCTTGGTGGATATTGCTTGTTATCTACATGCAGTGAGCTCAGTATCACTGTTGGGCATATCAGAGATGTTTGTATGATCTTAGAATAAGCCAGCATCTGCCATTTCCTCTTGAAGCTCTCAACCTTCAAAGACTCTCTGTGCTCTCTTCAGGACCTGCCCCCTTTCCTGAAATATGTTATAACAGAGGTAGGACAATTACGAAGGATGGATGAGGGCCAGAAGTATGCCTTTCTTTTCCTATGCATAGCCTTGTACTCCAAATGCTAAAGGGAACAATGCACCAGGGAGGTGATGGAGCTCTTGTAAGAGCAGGAGTGCAGCAGGGATGAGGAACACAAAAGGTTTCTCAAACCCCACAGCTTATCGTATACCTAGGGACGTGATTATCAGTGGGGTATAAACCCTGTTAAGGGTTGCAGCGTCCCACAGTCCTCACACAGTGCTGCAGAGACCACAGCGCTGCAGGGCAGTGCAAACTGGTTCAGAAAGGGACCAGTTGTGCTCATGGTGGGAAGCAGAGAATAATTAGCTCTGGCTATTAAAACACAGGTTTTAATACTAAACATAATTAAGGAAAGCCCTGCTCTGTCACCAGCTGAGATGCTGGGGGGACCGGGTCAAGTTTGGTCTGGTTTTCTTCCATCTGCTGCTGGCTGGGAGCAGGATCCTGAACTGGGGGTGCTCTCCCCACAGGCTCTCCATCGTCCTGCTCCGCGCTGGTGGCACTGCTTGCCCTGATGATGATGGCGAGTGGAGTCCTGCTGTGGCTCTACCTGAAAAGGAGGTGCATCGGCACAGACCTAGCTGCAGGTGAGTCCCCTCAGCTCATTTCAATGTCCCCATCCCCATACATCAGACCCAGAGATCTGAGGTGATGCAGCACCCAGAGATGGGGTCACCTCAGCTCAGCTTAGGGGATTCCATCGCCCCCAGGCCAGTAAACATTGCGTGTCCTTGTCCCCTTCTGCTTTGCAGACCGTGGGCGCCCCAGGGAGCAAGGTGCCTCTGCAACACCTTTCCAGGCTCCAGGAGCCATCTACTACCCAGCCAAAGGAGAGTCTCCCGAGGATGCCGACACGGAGATGACTCAGCTAATGAAGGAAGATGCTGCCCCGTGATGCTGGCACAATTCCTGGTGCAGGAGTGGCCCCCGATACGGCACATACCTCCCCCTCTCCCCTCTTCCTCATGCACCTCATTCTTCAGTGCAGGACCTTTCTCCCCCAAGCTCCTGCAGACCTGCAGGAAGCCCTACCACGCTTTCCAGGAGACTGCAAAGCAGCAGCTGATGGGCTGGACATTTATAAGCTTTCCTTTACCAATGACTTATATAGCCCTAAAACAGCTGCCCAAAGGGATGCCAGTCTTCTGAAGGTTATTTAATCCATTTTGGCACTCTGCAGTCAGCCTAAGGGGTTCTCTGGTGGCAGCAGCCAGACAGAGCAGGATAGTCTGGTGGCCCTGCAGCCTGGCACAGTAGCACAGAACCCAAAACATGAGGAAAACTGCTAATGAATTAAAGGAGAAGCATCCCCATCCATCCCAGGTGTGATGAGTGTGAATGCTATGAGGGATACGTGATGCTTTGTGCTTATCTGCCAAGGAGCCAGCAAGGGCTGCCCAATGCTTCCTGCACTGGGGGGGCTTCCCCAGACCTTGCAGATACAGGCAAGCCCCCATTTATTGCCCAGCCCAGGTGCAAGAGCTACAAAGCTAACTATTCCTGGCTGCATTAGGCAAAGCATCGGCAGCAGGTCAAGGGAGGTGATCCTTCCCCTCTGCTCAGCACTGGGGAGGCTGCACCTCGAGTGCTGGGTCCAGTGCTGAGCCCCCCAGTACAAGACAGACATGGACATGCTGGGGAGAGTCAAGGGAGGGCCACCAAGGTGATCAAGGGAGCACCTTTCCTATGAGGAGAGGCCGAGAGATTGGAGAAGGGAAGGCTCAGAGGGGATCTTATCAATGCCCATAAATCCCTGAAGGAAGGGTGCAAAGAAGATGGAGCCAGGATCTTCTCAAGGGTGCCCAGACACAGAGTGGAAAACGGGACAAAATTCACCTCCAGAGACCATTTGGGAAAACATCCTGGGGAATAAATTGGCTCAAGGTTAAGCCCAGAATAGATCATGTAAGTACTTCCAAGCAGTGGTCTACTGGCTGAGTAGTCCAGAGCACTGTCACAGGTGCAGACAGCCTCCAATACAGACATTTATAGCACAAACACTTGACCTAATGCATACAGAGCCTTTTGTGCAATCCTTAGCGACTTCTGCACCTCATGAGATGTTAAATGGGGTGGGGATATCAAGTGGAACTGGGTACAGAGAAGCAGAACGCATGGCAATACCCTGCCTTTTTCAGTCTTGCCAGTTCATGGGCTTGTTGTGCCAGAACATGTCCAGCCCTACTCCAACTTCCCTGGAGATGAATGACATCCCAAAACTGGGAAACGCATAGAACTGAATTAATGGAAGGTGAAAAATCTGTTTTGCTTCCCTAGTCCCCCACGTTTCTCCTTTTTCTCTTGCCACTTCAGAGGGGCTGTTTTCTTTCCCAGTGTTCATCTGTGCTAGTCTGCCTAGCAGCTATAGCTATATAGCTGCCTAGCATCATTTGCAACAGGTTACAAGACATTTGTAGCAAAATAAATATCCACTGCCTTCATTACTTGGCCATATGATGAAAAACAGTGATGATACATGGTATCATCATATATATTTCATATATACTCAAAAATATATGAACATGCATTTCATATATGTGCAAAATATGAAAAAGTATGATGAATATATATGAATATATATGACATCTATGAAAAACATGATGAAAACCAGTTTGCAGCAGTGTGCAAACGCCAGCCAGCTACACAGACATGCTATAGGTACTGCACCTCCGAACACAGTGATCTGTCAAGGAACTGAGTCATGTCAATCAACTGCATCACGAAACAAACTCCATGTCCTCCTTAGATCAAAGCCCTGAAATTAGGAGCAATAAGAAAATAAACTGAAAGACCCCATCCAAGCCTTCTGATGCTCAGCCTCAGCCCAGGTAACCTGTCCTCTAGGTCTTACATGATAAACTCCAGCTCACTGGGTATTGGAACAAAATTGAGATCATTCTTTGGGCCACAGCTGAGAGGGTAGTAGGGGTCTGCAGGACATCCAAGTAGCACAAAACCAGAAGTAATTTCCTCCAGCAGCGAGGCCATACTTTCCCCTAATAATGTCAATGCTAGGCAACACACGACTCCAGCTCATGAGAACACCTTTAATTTGGAGATGGGTGTCTGGTAACAGCTATTCTGTGGAATGAACAACCACAGAGGATCCTTTTCGGCTACCACGACAGCACAGTCCAGCTAGCACCAACCAGTGTCACTTGAGATGCCCTCAGTCACCCCAGACACTCACAGGGGGCTGGTACATTGGATATAGGGTCTATAAGAGATGCATGCTCCCTTGGAAAAAAACAGCTTACGGCCCTGGATACCCCAGGTCATCTCTGATGGCCTCAGGATTTGAATTCGACTCCAAGGTCTCCATCAGCTGCTTGTAGCTGAGGCTTGAAGTGCTCAATTCAGCTGCTCCTACACAGGCAACAATTGCCACTGGGGATACCTCCAGGTGTGTGGCACAGCTGCAGAAATAAAATGTGACACAGAGGAGACCTGGAGTGACACAAATGACACCGTATCTTCTACCCCTCCTGCCACCACGGTCATCATCGGTCCTCCAAATCCCAGCCCTCAAGTTCTTGTTCATCCAGAGTTCACCCATTTCTCTATGGTTAGGGGCAAAGGGACAATATTGCTATAATGTACATCAAAAAGGTGCTTTATTAATGCAACAGCTTCAGTGTCCCACCAAGCTTTAAATGGTGAAGGACATTCTCTCCCTGCTGTCTCAGTCAAGGAGTGCCATTTCTGCTACCCCTCCTAACCCCAGCCATCACATTCAGCCCGCTCCCACAGCCACACCATCCATCCAATCTCCCGAGGGCTGCTTGGACAGCGCCTTCTCCAAGCTTTGCAGAAAGACAAGGACAGAGTTATGACCTCGCTTTCAATCAGCTCTCAGCAAAATACCTGGAAAGCCTACAGTCAGCTGCAGGGATGGGAAAAGGGCAGACCTAGCACACGCTGTGGTGACAGATGCCCTGCACACACACTGCAGGCAGTCCCACAGCACGCAGCACCCTGGTGATAAGCCTGTGACAAGAAGGGACTGCAGTGGGCCACCCTGACACCCTGGAGACAGAGAAATGTGGATTCAGCAAGAGGATTCAGGGGCTGTGCTGGCGCTTTGTGGGCATCTATTCCTAGGAACACGTATTGTTGCTTTTAAGCAGTGTTTCTGTCCTCTGATCTCCTAACTACTGTGAAAATGTGAAGGTGATCTGGGTAATAAATGCAAAGAGGCCAGAGCCCCTCCAGTGCCCGTCTCCAGAGCTGAAATGGGAGGAAGCTGGGAAGCCCTGGAGTGAGGGAGAGGCCAGCCTGACCAGGAGGCCCATGACCCTCCTTACAGTGCATCCTCAGAAGTGTAAATCCAAAACAGAGCTTGCTGGAAAGTTTTTGCATTGAATATCTGCAGGACACGGACTTTGAAGCAGTGAAATCCAGACCTGAGCAATATGCTAGCAGTGAGGATTCTGAGTTAGATACACCAGCTCCTGAGACTGTTAATCCCCCCCCAAAAAAAAACCCTCCCCATCCACAAGGTCGCCAGGCTCATGCCAAAAGCCCAGAGGCAAGCAGGGATTCAGCCAGATGCCGCAGCGGGCTCAAAGAAGCAACGAGGCAAAGACATCGTTAAATAACTGTCCTGTAATTAGTGTGCAGAGTGCTGAGGAGCACACCTCCCCTCCCGCCCCCAGTGCTACAGGAACCATACAAAAGGGGGATGGGGTAGGACCAGGATCACTGGGAGTCCGAGGGTTGGCACCTCCAGGCCCACAGCGTGCAGGAAGGTGCCCGTGACACCGGGCCCCTCCAAGGCGGCTCAGATTGGAGGCCGGTGCTTGCCTTCACAAGGAAAGGTCCACGCACCACCCTCTGCCCAGCAGCAGGAGCAGCCATCAGTCAAAGAGAACAAATCCAGACTTCGGTGGCGGCAGCAGCTCGGGTGGCTCTCGACCTGGTGCTGTCGTAGGACGCACTGGGCACACACAGCACGGGAACAAGGAGGATCCAGCGCTGGTTTTGTGTGCTCACCCCTTCCTCGTCCAGGTCCCACAGGCAGCTAGGAACAGCTTACAGCACGGGTTGTCCCTTGACAAGGCTCCCAAAGTGGATCACAGCATTTGCACCCCCCTCTTCTGCTCCCTACCTGCCTCACCGGCACCCTGGGGCAGAAAAGAGGGTTAGTGTTTCCAATCCATGGTGGGCTCCTTCCTCCAGATGGGCTGGGAGAGGCAAGACAGTAGCTCCCAAAAGACACTCCACCACCAGCACAAATTGGGCAGCACCTTCTCTTCCTTGCTCCAGCTCTCCGAGGGTCACCCTTCCACTCCCACCCCTTCCCCTGTGCCTTGAGGCCAAATTTTAAATGAGAACACACAATCTGCAGCCAGCACAACCCCACCTCTGCTCCCTGCCTGGGGGGAGAACCAGGCTGCTGAACAGAGGCAGCCTGCGTGGTGCTGTACCAGCAAAGCGCCCGCGTGGCCCCTGCACAGCAGGGCGAAGGGCACTGCTTTCATCATTAACCTGATCGGTAGCAGCAGCGTGAAATATGGACGGAACACTAAACATTCATTAGAAGGAAAGGGAGGTGCCTGCACACTGCTGTTCCCCACCATACTTTTCACTGATATACACCTCCCAAAAGATGGATGGGGCTCCTGCTGCAGGGCTCAGTCACAGGCAGCAGCGTTCCCCTGCTTTGAGGGGCTCCCCAGGAACACTCAGCCTACACCTTGCACTCCAGGAAGGCAGCAGCGTGGCCCCAGAGCACCAGGCAGACGTGCTGACGGAGCCTGTTGGAGGGCCAGGCTGAGCTATGCTTACTGGGGTGACTAAATTAAGTCCTCTTTGCAGCACTGGGGGGAGAAGAAGCATCCCTTAGCATCATGCCCAACAAAGGGCTTGCCACGGCCTGGCTGATGCTGTTCTTCAGAGCTCTGGACACTGGCTCTCAGCCGCACTGCAGCCTCGGCCAGCCCAGATCACCTCTGGAAGCCACCACGGCCTCCCAGCAGGACTCGAAGTTGCCCAACGGGGGTGTGCCACAAGCTACAGCTCGCTGCCACCGGCCAGCCTGCGGCCAGCAGCGCTCATGGACGGCACGCCACCTCCCTGCGGGCAGCACCGGCTGGGAGACAGGATCCTAAACCTCAGAGCTCAGTTAGGACCCCTGTGGGATCACCTCTCTGGGAGGAGTACGGGGAGAACGGCACATGTCAGGGTTTGGCAGAGAAAAGCCATGCAGCTGAAGCCCTGCTGGGTTCGGGCTCGGGAGAAGAGCTGCAGCAGCACCCACTTTTTGGGCTCCTCTCCAGGGACGCTGCAGCAGTCCCCTGCACACCTATGGGAACACGTGCTGCGGCAGGCCAGCCCGGGGCTCGTCTGTTGCTGCAGACATGCTTGCAGCACACTCGCTTATGGCTGTGGGCTTCTTGGCCTCAAAACGCTCGCGCTGCGCACGCCGCTGTGGGGCTCAGCCGTCGCGGTGCACGCGCTGGTGCTGCAGCAGGTTGGATGGGTGAGCGAAGCCTTTGTCGCAGACGCTGCACTTGTAGGGGGTCTCGCCTGTGTGCACCTTCTCGTGCACAGCCAGGTAGGCCAGGTCCTTGAAGAACTTGTGGCAGAAGCTGCATTTGTAGGGCCGCTCCTGGCTGTGCACGCGGTGGTGCTGCAGCAGCAAGGAGGGCCGGGCGAAGGCTTTACCGCACGCCTCGCATTTGTAGGGCCGCTCCCCAGTGTGCGCCCGCTCGTGGATCACCAGGTAGGACGACTGCTTGAAGGCCTTCCCACAGGTTTTGCAGACAAAGGGGCGCTCGCCCGTGTGCACGCGTTCGTGGGAGGAGAGGGCGTTGGACTGCTTGAAGCCCTTGCCACAGAGCGGGCAGACGAAGGGGCGGTCGCCCGTGTGCACGCGCTCGTGCACCTTGAGGCTGTGCCCGTAGGTGAACTTCTTGCCGCAGACGCCGCAGACGTGGGGCTTGTCGTCGCAGTGCTGCCGCTGGTGCAGGAGGAGGGCGTTGGAGGTGGGGAAGTCCTTCCCGCAGTCGGCGCACTTGAAGGGCTTCTCGGTGCAGTGGGTGAGCGTGTGGCGCTGCAGCTCGTAGGGCGTCTTGAAGCTCTTGTCGCAGCAGGCGCAGTGGAAGGGCCGCTCGCCCGTGTGGATGCGCCGGTGCTCCTGGAGGTTGGAGGAGCGCTTGAAGCGCTTGCCGCAGAGCTCGCAGCGGAAGGGCCGCTCCTCCGTGTGCACCAGCCGGTGGCTCTTGAAGTCCGAGTGGCGCTTGAAGGAGGCCTCGCAGAGGTCGCAGCGGAAGGGGCGCTCCTCGTTGTGCACCACCTCGTGGCTGAAGAGCTCCCAGGCCCGCTTGAAGGCCTTCTCGCACACGCCGCACTGGAAGGGCTTCTCGTCCACGATCACCTCGCGGATCTCGAACTCGGCCCCGCTGCTGGCCACGCTCGCGCCCCGCTTCAGGTGGGGCGGCAGCACCACTGCTGCCTCCTCCAGCTCGCCCGCTGCGCCGCCCAGCACGAGTTTGGCGGTGGAGTAGATGCCGTGCTCGTCAATCAGCTGCACAAAGTCCGGCTTGGGACGGGCATCCCCGGGAAGAGGCGGCTCAGGGGAGCAGGACCGGGAACCTTTTCCCTCCTCCTCTTCTTCGCTGCTCTGGGGCATGAGGGGGGCCTCCTCCAGCCCGTTCTCCAAATGGCTTTTCTTCTGTCGGAAGTCACCGGCCTGTCCCCAGATCAAGCGCAGCCTCTTTCCCCGGGAGGGCCCTGGCTCTTCGGCTCTCTCCCCAGGTCCTGGAGATGCCGGGGCCGGGCTCGATTTGGGCTTCAGGTAGAGCCGGTGCTTCCTCCGGAACGGCCTGCGGGGCTGCAGCTCCCCCAGTGCCTTGGGCTCGGGGCACGGGGCACCCCCCTCACCCTCTCCTGCCTTCTGGCTGGGGCTGTCCACGTCCTGAGGGGTGAGGGAACCACGTCCTTGCCAGCAGCGTCCTGAACGGCGAGGAGAAACCTGCCTGTGCCTCTCTGGGGAGTCTCCCGCCAGCTGTGCCTGGGGGGCGTCCTTCTCTGGAGTCTCCTCCTGCTCCTCACCTTCAGGCCCATCTTCGGAAACGCAGACACGCCGCAGGGAAAAGGGGGGCTCGCAGGCTGGAGAACCTGGCTGCTCTTCCATGGCTCCAGGCACCGGCTGCCAAGCCAGACAGGACCCTCTGCAAAAATCAGGAAGGGGAGAAGATAATAGAGGTGACCCATCACCAGGCAGGACTTTACAAGAGGCATGGAGACAAAGACATGAGCTGAACAGCATGCGGGGAGGTGTGCCACATGAGCAGGGACCGCAGAGCTTGCGAAACCTGCGGTCAGCGATTCCTCTTTACCTTAGGGAAATTGAGTTGGCTGGGTGGCGCTGGAGGAACAACACGGATCAATACTTCTTCGAAATCTTTTTACTGATTAACCTGTGATTAGCAACTGAACCAAACTGCTGGTGGTTATCCACCTGCACAGCTGACTGCCCACTCACCCACAGCTACTCGGCTGGAGCAGTGGTTGAGAAGCCAGCCTCAGCCCCCTACCCAGCAGCTGGGGGTCGTACCAGCTCGCCAGCAGCTCCCAGGCAGGGGTTTAGGAAGCTCTGTGCAGCCCTGCAGCCTGTCTGCCACGAGTTTATCAGCTCCCATGGATTTACCAGCACACCTTGTCTCCTTATTGGGCAGTTTCCTGCCTTCTCAGCACAAACACCTCCTTTTTTTGGCCACTGTTTCTCTGGGCTCCATTCAAACCCATGGGTACCCCCCAAGCTTGTTCACAGAATTCATGCAGAACTGGCCTCGTGACACTGGTGTGTGGCCTGTACGGAGAGAGACGGTGTCCCTGGCTGGGGCAGAGCAACCTTCAGCCTCCACAACGGCCAACAAGCCAGCCTTCAGCCTTGAAGTTGTTGCCCCAAAGGCCCTGTGGGGAGGAAAGCCTGGAGACAGCAGTCGCATGCATGCTGGCCAGCTCTGCCCTGCTCCGTAGAGGCACCAGGATCTGCCTCACACACCTCCTGAGCCGGATCTGCAATCCAAACCACATGTAGATCAGCTCAGACCTGGCCAATAACAAGGGAGGAAAACAAGGCTGAAGGGTGATCTATCTCCTGGTACAGTGCAATCCTGAAACGCTGCATCAAATCATGCTTAAAAGTACCTGACGCCCAGCAAGAGTGATCAGCTGAGATGAGGAGCTGCTCCTCACAGCTAATTTCAAACACCCAGCTTCACCTCTGAACTCCGAGGCAGGTGGCAGCAGCGGGCAGGTCCTCAGGAGCAATGCTTGGGCTTTAAGAGCATTTGAGCTCCACATCATGCAGAGGAGAGCATTTCTGCTGACCTAACACCAATGTTGAACAGCAACTGCTGCAAAACTAAACATGAAACCATCCCACAGGTCCCTTCCACTTCAGAATAGGCTCTACAGGCTTGAACAGAGAAGTAGCTACCAGGGAGTAACAAGCAGAAGAGGAGCTGAAGAGGGGAAAGACAGATGCTGAGAAGGCACTTGGTTAAAGTTTCCCCAGGCCTGATGAAGTTGCAGACAGCTGGTGCTGCTGAACCTGCAAGAACTGATACACTCCAGACACAAAGACTCTGCTGAATCTGTCCCAAGGCCACCAGCGCGCACTGGAACCAGCACCAGGTTGTGAAACTCAGGCCACATCCCCGAGGGACGAGCCCCTGTGCCCCTAACACTGCTGGGGACAAGGCTTCAGCCAGGCAACTGCAAGGGAAGGCAAAGGGCTGAGATGTTTGCAGGCAGAGAATGCACTGTGTGAGGTTAAATGCTATTAATAACAGCACGATTCCATAAATAGCAAGAGCCTAATGAATAAAAGGTGCTCCAAGATCCATTGCTTATTATCTGTGCCTCCCGCCCCCACTCAATCTCAAGTTACAAAAAAAAAAAAGTCACAACAAAACTGAGTGGGTTTCAATGCAAGATTTGGTTTCATTGCCATAGAGAAAATATGATCAGTCCGAAGCTTTGTTAGTCCCTCACTCACAGCTGCAAACAAGGGTGGGCCTCAAAAGGGCAACTCGTGTTAGTTTAAGAAGGTAGCAAGCTGAAAACAAGGGAAAAGAAGGTAGTTGTTAAATAGATCACACACAGCAAAGGGTGAAAGGGATGGGAATTTGAATGAATCAGAAGGTTAGAACCAAAGAAAGCCAGTGAAGGATGAAACCAGCAGAAATCTGTACCCAAGTGACCACTTTTCATCTCCTGCTGAGATGGGTACGTACCAGTTGCTTCCCTCACCACGCAGGCAGTCCATCCCTTAATTTGTCATGCACAAATAAGGCTGGAAGCAAGGATAAGGGCTCAGGACTGCCCTGCTCACCTTCTGGGATGGATCTGGACCTCCCTTTCAAGCCCATAACTCCTGGTCTTGTATTGAGGCTTCAGAGCTCTCACACAAGACTTTGGGTTGAGTCCTCAGGGTGACCAGAAATCCCCCGAGCAGACTCTGAGCCCCGTAACCAACACCTACACTTACCTCTAGGTATTTAAAAAAACACCACAAAAAAAAAAGAAGGAATTGCTTGCTTGTGGAAGAAGAGGTGGTGCAGAGTCCAGACTGACCCAACACCATAAATTCACGTAAGACAACAAACCACTGCTGCTGTGCCTCAGATTTTCGTGCCCAGCACAGATGGGATGCAAAGCACAGAGTCCTAACGGGGAAAGGAACTCAGCAAGACACTGACTTACCCCGTGCTGCGAGGGATCCTCCTCCAGCAGTCGGTTTAAACCACGCGGTGTCGGAGAGGGCTGCTCTTGGTGGCACATGCGCATGGTCACAGCAGGAAACCTAGGGGGCCACACCAGGCAAGAGGTCACACATGGGTGTTTTGTGCACGGAGACAGCTGAATTTGCCACAGTTTTATTGCCTGCCCCGAGCCCTGCCATCCCAGAGCCCACAGGGGTGTGGGGAAAGGACCACGGGGCTGCACCAGGGCTCAGCCTGGCAGCATGGGAATGACTGCTGTGAAAATGATGGTTTGTGACCAAGAGATTTCCACAGCCTTGGCCCAGAACTGGGGGAGAGTTGAGGAGACTGCTCGTAATGCAGGAAGGGATGAAAATACCTGCTGGCCTAGAGAGCTGAAGAGACAGGAAGGGGTGAAACAGAAAGGGCAAGGTGAAAAACGGGCGTCTGCTTAAAGAGAGCTTCTGAGTGCCAAAACGGAGAAGATCTGGGGGTTAAAAGTGACTAAAAGCATCAAAACGCTGCGGGAGAGGCAGTCCCAGTGCAGGCACCACTGACACCAAGCAAAGTCCTGGTGAAAAGCACTTGGGAGAAGATGGTGCAAAGCAGTTGAGAGCTGGAGAAGGAGCAGAGGGAGTCCTGGGACTGGTCAGGGGAACCTGTCCTACCCACGGCTATCTAACATCATCGAGCTGGTGCTGAGAAGGAAGAGCTAACTGCAGGCTGTAAAGATAATCAAAGATAAACTAAGAGAACGGATACGTGTCAGAGAGGAAAAAGAACAGCTTAAGCTGAAGGATGGTGCTGGCATCAGAGCAAAGAGGCACAGTACAGAGATGGGTGAGAATTAGGATGAATTAGCTGCAGCTCGGTAGGAATGGCTGAGAAAAAAAAATATTCCTTTCCCCCCCCCTCCCCAAGGCAGCTGGAGCATTTCAGTGCTCTGGCTGGAACCAAGATGCGCTGCCAGCCCCACGGCACCACCTCAGGGAATGGGCAGGGTTAATTGAAGCAGAGAGGCGAGCTTGGCAGCCCCTGTGGGGGTCTTTCCTCAGGACCTCCCCCTCCCCAGTGGGCAGTCAGCTCGAAGTGAGCCCTGTCAGCTCGCTGCCTGCCCCCCGGCATTACAACCAGACCCTCCCTGTTGCCATCCCCTGCTCCCAGTACCAACACAGCCCCGCAGGACGCTTTGGGATGGAAAGAACCTTAAAAGCCATTTAATTTCACCCTCCTGCCCTGGGGGGTGAAATTTCCCCTGCCCTCCCACCAGCCCGGGCTGCCCAGAGCCCCATCCAGCCTGGCCTTGAACATTCCTATGGATGGAGCAGCCACAATTCCCTGGGCAGCCTCCTCCAGCGCCCCGCCACCCCCTGAGCAGTGATTTTTTTCCTTACACCTAACCCAAATCTAATTTTTTTAACCCATTCCCCTCACCCTATCCCCCCACCCCTAACACCGAAGCCCCCTCAGGCACGGCCAGGCCGCTCCCAGCTCTCCCCGGACCCTCTCCGGCCTCAACGCCCCCAGCTCCGGCGGAGCGGGGCCGCGGCCCCCTGCCCACCACCGTGGGCACCCCCGGTACCCCCCCGATACCCCCCCAGTCCCCCCCGGGCCTCACCTCGGGGCCGCCCCCGCCGGGCCCCGCCGCCTCCCCTCACATCCGGCCGGTGCCGCCTCCTCCGCCGCCGCTTCCGGCCGCGCGCCGCGCCGCGGGGAACGTCACTTCCGGCGGCGGCAACGGCGGCGGAGCGGGGGCGGGAACGGAGAGGGATGGAGGGGGGAGGGAGGTAGAGAGGCGGGGAGAGGGGAGCATGCGCAGAACGCGCGGCAGAGAGGGGAGAGGCAGCGCATGCGCAGAGCGGGGGGGGGCGGGGGGGCGCATGCGCAGTTAGCGCCGCGCGTTGTGGGGGGGAGGGGGGGGGTGCATAAAGGCACAGTGTAATGGAGGGTGGGGGGGGGGACCTCAGTATCACCCAGTCCAGCCCCTGATCTAACACCAACCAGTCCTACACTAAAACACAGCGCTAAGTACTACACCTTAACGTCTTCTAAAAACCTCCAGGGGTGGTGGCTGCACCCCCTCCCTGGGCAGCCCACCCCCGTGCCTCACAACCCATTCGTTAAATAAGTTCTTCCTAATATCCAACCTAAACCTCAAATTTAGCCCGTTCCCCCTCGTCCTGTCACCAGTGGGAGAATAAACCAACCCCCACCTTGCTGCAGCCTCCCTTAAGGTATCTGTTAATGCCACAGATAGAAGAATGGGGGGTTGCTTAATCGCATTAATGCTTTTTAAATAAAACAATCATAATTATTAAAGCCCAGAACAGAAAAATATCATTAAAATAGATATTGCTGAGTGTCTTTGCTTACTACTGTGCAGATTAACCGAAACAAGGGGTCTCGGGGGCCCCTCACAGAGGACGTTTCCTGGCAAAAATGGGGAACCCGTCTCAAAAAACAGCTGAGACCGACCCTGTGGTTTGGACAAGAGCCAAGGAGCAGCCGAGTCTGCACAAAGGCAGGGGGTCAGCCAGGGGTGATGAAGAGGAGTTATTGGCCTTCATCCCCATGACTCCCCCCCACTCAAATAAAACAACCAGCAGAAGGCATCGCGCAGGCGCAGACGGGAGGGGTTTATGGAAATGACTTCTTGGAGCTAATTTTAATACAAAGCAGGGATAGGTTATGAATATGTATAGGCATATTGGGAAACTTCATGCATATGTAACGCTTTGCTGCAAAATAACCAAAGCAAGTCACTGCGTTAGGGTGCGAGTGCCTTTGGGAGCTATCCCACATGCTCCTGGCGCCGAAATAAACCACATACCTACTTTATAACTCATTTGCTTTGAGTTGTAGAGTTCTTCCACGAATTACTGTCACCAGGCACGTGGGAGAATAGACCGACCCCCACCTCACTACAGCCTCCTTTAATGTGGCTATAGAGAGCAATAAGGTCGCCCCTGAGCCTCCTCTTCTCCAGGCTGAACAAGCCCAGCTCCCTCAGCCACTCCTCGTAGGACTTGTTCTCCAGGACCCTCACCAGATTCGTCGCCCTTCTCTGGACCCGCTCAAGCACCTCGATGTCCTTCTTGTAGCGAGGGGCCCAAAACCGAACACAGTACTCGAGGTGCGGCCTCACCAGAGCCGAGTCCAGGGGGACGATCACTTCCCTAGCCCTGTTGGTCACACTGCTTCTTATGCAAGCCAGGATGCTGTTGGCCTTCTTGGCCACCTGAGCACGCTGCTGGCTCATATTCAGCCGACTATCGAACAATACTCCCAGGCATGCGCCGTCAGACGTGTGGGGGGGCAGTGGGGACATGCATGAGCGTGGGACACGTGTGTGTGGGATATTGTGTGTGGGATATGTGTTTGTGGGTAATTCATGTGTGTGGCAATGATGTGCAGGAGGACACGTGTGGAACATGTGTGTGCGGGACATGTTTGTGGGGTGTGTGGGTCACACATGTGTGTGGGACACGTGTGGGACATATTTGGGACATGTATGTGTGGGACACATGTGGGATATGTTTGTGGGGCACACGTGTGTGGGATGTGTATGTGGGATGTGTGTGTGCGGGACACACGTGGGACATGTTTGGGGGGACACGTGTGTGTGGAACATGCGTGTGTGGGACGTGTGTGTTGGATGTGTGAGTGTGGGACAGTCATCTGTGGGACATGTGTGTGTAGGACATGTATGTAGGGGATGTGTGTGGGACATGTATGGGAGACACGTGTGTGGGACACGTGTGGGACATATTTGGGACACGCTTGTGTGGGACACGTGTGTGTCAGATACGCATGTGTGGGTAACACGTGTGTGTCAGGGATGTTCAGGAGGATGCATGTGGGACGTGTTGGATGTGCATGTGTGGGACACGTGTGCATGGCGGGGATCTGCAGGAGGACATGTGTGTTGGACATGGGTGTGTGGGGGACACGTGTGTGTGTGGGACACACATGTGCATGGCAGGGATGTGCAGGACCACACACGTTTGTTAAATACACGTGTGTGTGGTAGAGACATGCCTGGAGCACATGTGTGTGTATGGAACACGTGTGTGCATGGCAGGGACGTGCTTGGAGCATATGTTTGTAGGGATGCGTGTGCAAGGCACGGACGTGTCTGGAGCACATGTTTGTGTGCCTCTGCAATTCCTGGTGCTCGGGGATTTCCAGGCAAGCCCATGTTCATTCCACGCGGAAGCTCTGCGAGCTGTTTTAACCCCCAGCGAGGTACTTTACCCTCCCGTCATGGTCTCAAAAGCCACCATAACACACGGAAGACAGAGTAATAAAATACAGCAATGAGTGACTGCAGGGAGTGCGTGCCAGCTGCCCGGCGGCCAGCCTTGAAACCACAACAAATCGCCCCAAATTCCTGCAACCCGCCCCTGCTGCAGCCCCAGCAGCAGCTCCCGGAGCAGCTGGGTGTTTAGTTTGTCGGCTGTGACTCACTGTAAGAAAAGCTGGTTTCAGATGTCAGCAGGACAGAATTAACAGGAAAAAATATATATTGAAAAAAAAATGTATTTTCCCATTCCTCCCCCGCCTCCCCTCCTTTTTCTGAAGGTTGTGCCAAGCAAGACGGGTGTGCGGAGCTGAGGAACCACGATCCCAGGAGGTGGAGAAAGTGCCAGTGCACATTATCGGGGGAATTCAGCACCGAAAAAAAGCCATTGTTCTCCCTCAGTCTGGACAAGAGATTTTATTTCAGGAAATGGAAATTGTGACGGCTGAAAACTTGAGATGCTGGAGCCCTCACTGCCTTCTTCCTTCTGCATTGGTTATGATCAACCCCAAAAGCACGAAGGGCAGCTCTCAGAGAAATGTGTTGATTTATTTTTCTTCAGTATTTCCTAATTTCTCAGCTTTGGAGGATGGAGATCTGTAAAACTTCAGTGTGAAATCTGAAAATGATTTGTTTCTTGGGTTGCCTGCCCAGTTTGTCAGCAGGCTTGGTGAAAAGGGCATGAAATCAGAGGAGACACATAAATTAAAACCAAACCTGCACGCTTTGTGCAGAAACTGTTGGGTTCCCAACGTGGGGATGAAATTCCAGGACATGGAGCTTTGTCACTATTTTGGCAAGTAGGTGAAAGCCTGGGGGTGCCTGTCCTTGGAGATGTCCTTGGGGTGAGGAAAGCAGTTGGGTGTATACTTTGGCGGAGGCCCCTGCGTCTCCTCCACCAGCACCTTCAAGACGGCTTTGTTGTTGTTGGACATGGTGGCTGAGATGCTGTAGGTCCTATCGGATACAACGATGGAGGAGTTTTTTTTGTCCAGCACCTCCTTCCTGTAGGTTTGGGACTGGGGTCGGTCCCCACGCATAGACCAGTAGAGGCTCTCCAGGCTCCCAGAGATGGTTGGCCCTTGGAAGATCTCCACCGCATACTGGTGGTCAAATATCGTGTTGTTCCTAGGGTTGTAGAACATCACCGTGAAGGAGAAGGGCTCCGAGACGTACAAGAGGGCTCCGGATACGCCCCAGGCGCTCAGGTGGCGTTTCACAAAGACGCACATCTCCCTGGACTGGGGGCTGATGGATGGTGACGGGGGCGTGAAGACTTCACCGCTTTGGCAGAAATAGCTGTGGGGAGACCAGAAATAACCATAAAATCAGGCTGGAAGGTTTCCACGTCGCTCCCGAGTTAGCTGAAAGGAGGCGACAGCGAGGTGGGATCGGTCTCTTCTCCCAGGCACCAAGAGGAAATGGCCTCAAGTTGCACCAGGGGAGGTTTAGGTTGGATATTAGGAAAAAATTCTTCACTGGAAGGGTTGTGAGGCATTGGAACGGGCTGCCCGGGGAAGTGGTGAAGTCACCACTTCCAAGTCACCACTGGAGTGTCACCAAGTCACCAAGTCACCAAGGAGTCACCACTGACCCCAAGGGGTCAGTACAGGGTCTGGCTTCATTAATGATCTGGATGATGGGGCAGATTATAGCAACACAAAACCCCAGGGGGTGGTGGATACACCAGAGGGTCACACTGTCATCCAGAGAGACTTGGGCAGGCTGGAGACGTGGGTGACAGGAACCTCATGAAGTTCAACAAGGAGAAGTGGAAGGTCCTGAAACTGGGAGAAACAACCCCAGGCACTAGGAGGCAACCAACTGGGAACCAGCTTGGCAGAAAAGGCTCTTTCCAGTGGCACCCAGTGACAGGACAAGAGGCAAGGGACACAAACTAAAAGAGGAGAGGTTCCCTTTGAGCATCTGAACATCATTTATGGTGATGGAGCACTGGCATGGGTTGCCCAGAGAGGTGGTGGAGGCTCCTTGGAGATATCCAAAAGCTGTTGGGACGTGGTCCTGAGCAGCCTCCTGTAGGTGCCCCTGCTTGACATGGACAAAACGACCTCCAAAGGTCCCTCCGAACCTCAGCCCTTTCACCATTTTGCGATCCCAGACCCTGCAGCAAACGGTGGGTGGGAGTGGATGGGGTGCCCTTTACCTCGGATAAACAAGCCCCAAGGAACCCAGGCATTTGTCCAGCCCTGTGTTTTCTCAGAGCTGAGCATTTTCTCTGCAAGGTGTGTGCTAACGAGGCTAACAAGGCTCTGGCAGTCCCCTCACCCCGCTGGCACCAGCCCAGGCTGTGGGTGCCTCTACCTCCCGTCTGCTTCCTTGTTCCCCCTGCAGCTTTTCCGCAGCACCTTGTGCACACCAGGTTTTGCTGCTCTCAGATTCATGCCCAAGCTTTGGGGACGTTGTAAATCCGGGGGCTGGTGGGCACCGTACAAACCTGGGATTGCGGAGGGTCACGCTTGTCTTGTTGGTGATCTCAATTCCCACGCTCCGGGACTGGGGCACGCTGAGGAGGATCTCCTCGAGGTCTCTGTGCTTCTCCATGGGGTCAGGCTGCTGGCGCACAGAAAAGGACAGCCTAGAGGGGTTGGAAATCCAGAGGGAGAAGTGCAGTGGGGTTTGAGGGGCACAATCTGCCTTTGGGCAGGGTCCAGGCTGGAGCCAAGCCCCACTGAAGCAAGCTGACACATCCATCTTCAAAATAATGGCAGAGGGGACAGGCTGGGGTGGGCAGCAGAAGTAGGGAGCTTCTGATTTCTTTGCTCTGATTTCTCATCCATTTCTTTGCTCTGATTTCTCATCCGAGCCATGGGAGAAGGAGATGAGAGGATCCAACCCTTCGGTGTGGGGAGATGAGGCAGCATGGAGATGCCCTAGGGAGCTTGGTCCTGTAAGTCCACATCATGCCCCACTGATGTGCTGGGATATCCCAAGGGCATCTCAAATAAAAAAGGACTGGTGTGGGTTGGATGAACGAGGCAAAACAAAAAACCTACCGAGACACCCCAGAATAAGATGTCTCGGACTGGAGCTGGGCTCTGACAGCAGAGGTGAGTGAGAGAGAAAAAAAAACAAGCACAGAAATCACTCCTGGACCCCAGCTCTGCTCTCCTGGGACACACAAGAGGACCCTTACCTGGTGCTGCCCAAGTTGTGCAGATGGGGAGAAGAAACCCACTGCCTCTTGGGTTCCCGGGGCTGCGGATGGAGCCTTCTGGGCTGCCCTGCTCCTCCCTGAGAGCCCGATCACACCCAGGGCAGGCAGGAGGCAGGGTGAAGTGGGGGTGTTGTCTTGGGACATGCAATCCTCTACGGGTTCTGGTGGGGGCAAAGTTGATTTTCTCCCCAGCACCTGGTACGCTGCCATGGTTTGGATTTGTGATGAAAACAGCAACGACACACCAATGTTTTAGTTGTGGCCGTGCGACACTTACATGGGGCCAAGGACTTCTCTGCTCCTGATGCTGCCCTGCCTGCGAGGAGGCTGGGGGTGCACAAGGAGCTGGGAGGGGACAGAGCCAGGACAGCTGTCCCCAAACAACCAGAGGGATGTCCCATGCCGCACAGTGTCATGCTCAGCAATATAAGGCCAAGGAAAGGAGGGGAAAATGGGGACGTTTGGAGAGATGGAGTTGGTCTTCCCAAGTAATCCTTATGCAGGATGGAGCCCTGCTTTTCCTGGAAGTGTCCAAACACCTGCCTGCTGGTGGGAAGGACAAAATGAGTTTTGGTTTTGCCTATTAAACTCTCTTTACCTCAACCCATCCCATTCTGGGGGATTCTTTTTCTCTTCCTCGTCCCATTCTGGGGATAGCGAGCAAGTAGCTGAGCCCGCTGGTGCTCACCCACGGCAACCCATCCAAGATGCAGGGATGCAGAAGGATGGGTTTCAAAGTCCAGGGGCAGCATTTCTGACCACCAGCCCGCGAGGCTGCAGTGCTGCTGGCACTTGTTTCCCCTGCAAGAAGTGGATGAGGAAACAAGCCCTTGTGTTTGTTTTCAAACAAGGAGCCAGTGTTTGCCTTCCAGATTGTGTGGCTCTGATGTAGCTGCTTAGGCAACCCTCAGCTGTCCTTATAAATCACCACCTTCCCTTCCTCAGGACAGCTGAGAGCATTTTAGCTGCTCTTTGTATTTATGAACACCCATTTACACTCCTTTTATTTGCCCTCTTTTTTTTAAAAAATAAAAATTCTTGAGTATTTTCCCTTTACCTCCTTGCTTCCCTTCCCCCAAATTCAGAAGTCGCAGCAGCTCTTGCTGCACTATAGGAAACAGAGGCTTCCCCATAGTTTTTTATTGATGTGGGGCACAAACCAGCTGAAAACCTCCCACCTGGAGGTCAGAGGATGGAAAGGGTTGGGGTGGAAGGGAAGGGATGGAGCCCGGCTGCTCCAGCCACTTGTTTTGTCCCTTTTCTGCTTGGTTTCTGCTGCTGGGAATCCAACGCATTTCCTGTAATTGCACAGCTCAGTGCCTGAAGCATTCAGCCGGGAACCCCAGGGTGATTTCTGCTGTCTGTGGGCTAGGATGAATCTTAAGCTGTACCAGGCAGCTTCCTAAAGCTGTCAGAGTCTTGGCTCAAGCTCTGGGTAAATGCTCACACCTAAGGAGGCTGTATTAAGGGCTTTGTCTCAGCACCCACCCCTTCCAGCTCAGATTCGTCCTTGCAGGTGAGCTGTTTCGGTTTTGCTGTTTGCTAATGTGACCCAGGAACATTTCCAACCCCTCCTTCTCCCCTCTACAGAGCAGGGTAAACAGCTGAGGCTGCCTTCAGGGCATGGCTGTTTTGCTTCACATCCCTTGTACTCCCAGCACAGGGACAATGAAAGGAAAAAAACTAACTCAGCAGCTCTCCCTGGAGGTGCAGGGGCCCTATTTTGAGTTGGCAGCACGTGGGCAGAAAAGTGTTGCTCAAACACATTCCTCAGCAAGGCAGAGGGGGTCACATCCCCAGGGGATGTGGCTTCATCTGAGCCTGAAGTCTGCTGGAGGCTGCACCAGCAAATCCCACCTGTAGGATTTCCTGATGGGATTTCCTCCTGCTGTGCGCTACAGCCCTGGCTGCTGGAACCAAGATACATCAAGATAGCAAGGGAGGATGCTTGATGTCAGCGCAGCTATTGCACTTGCGGAGGGGGAGTTTCCTGAAGCCAGCACTTTGAGGAAAGGATGAATTTGAAACCTTTTGGAGGAGATGAAAAGTAGAAAAAGAAAATCAATGCAAGGAAAGTGCAGTGTTGCAGGTAAGTTTTGTACATACTTGTTTCAGGATGCTTTTCTTTAAAGTGAAGACTCTGTGCAGTGCTGGGGAGCTCATTCTTCCATAAGCACTGCTGTACAGTTTGGAATTAATATAGAGCAGGGCAGCAGGGTCACTCTGTGTCTTATTGTGCCAGGTCAATGTGTGACCCCTTCTCTCGGCAAGCTGTGAATCTGTATGTAAAAACTTGCCAGTAAATGTCCTGTTTCTGTGTGCTAAATGTCCTATTTCTGTGTGTACCCCTGCTTTAGACCCTGGAGCCCAGGTGGGCATGGGTTTGGCGTGTACATATTCACATGCATGAGGCATCCCAGGAGAAAACCCCGCTTTCTATAGCTTTTTGCTGGGCAGGGCTTTGGTCCGAGGTCAGTGTTGGCCCATTTTCTCACCAAAACCAGAGCCGGTGCCACAGAGCCAGGGACAGCCCTTCCCAAACTAAGCTGCAGCAAGCCAGCAGCTGGGAGCACCAGGGGCCACAACCAAGGTCCCCTTTCCAGGGCTGATGGTGCCATCCTGTGGCTACAGCTGCTTTCCCTGTGTCTCAGCCTGTGCAGCCCAAAGCAGTGCTGGGACCAATCCTGCACTGGGCAGAAGCTCCAAATCCCCTTCCTGCTGGTTGTTGCATGCCTGAGCATCCTCCAGATTGGTGTCTGTGTGCTGGGAACATGGTGATGCCAGCGGTGGCAGAGGGAAAGGGGTGAGGTGCTGCTAGCCCACTCATGTCCCCGTGGGAGGACTGGGATTTCAAGCAGTCCCTGTCTTCAGTCACATCCTGGTTGCCTCTAGACTTATGTGAAATAGGGATATGACTCCTAACCAGATTTATCTTGACTATAGAACACCCAAGCTTAAGAGAAAGGACTTAGAGCAGACAAATTAGGTGCAATTCAGATGCTTAATGCAGCTGTTTACTCTTCTGCAGTGGCAGGTGTTTATCGAGCCAGCTGTGATGCATCCCCATTTTAGTTGCATCCCCCATTCCCAGGAGAAATGCTGTTTCAGCAAAAACTCCTGCTCTGCTCCCCTGGAAAACTGGAGTCGGCTTTAGTTTTGCTGCTTCCCCTGGGAAACTGGAAGCTTTGCTGCAGTGCCCTATTTCCCATTCTTATTTGCACGAGAAGGCAAAGGTGTTGCTAAACGGGCTGACCGCAAACCTTATTTTTAAAAACAAGTTTAAGCTGCAATATGCTTTTAAAACACAGTGAGCTGCACTTGGGAGGAAAAAGATGTATTTGATACATAGTCCTGGGTTCCTACTATTTTTCCCAGGCAGAGCAATAAGCATTTTGGAGGCACAGGGGTGACAGTATCAGGGCAGTGGCAGGCACAGGATGTTTCTGTAGGCTAGACTACAGCTATGTTGCTGGCTGGTCTTGGTATTTGATCTAAATTCTCTTTGCAGTCATCTGGAATAAATGTACACCTCCAGGACTCACTTCACCTCACCTTAGGGAGACATCAACATCAATTGTGTTGAGCCAGGTCTTCTGGTACATGTTTCTGCACAGTGACAGCAAGGGTATCTTCTGTGGTTGGCTTGGCTGACGCCATCTGCACTCCAGCTATGTGAATTTGGGTAAGTTAACACTGTTCTGAGCTAAAGCTGGTTTTAGCTCTGCTGTGTTTGGTTCATTTACTGCCCCGGCTCCCCATGATGCTCTCCAGCTTTACAGGACATTGTCTTTAGACAATGATCTGTAGATCTGTAAATTCTGCTAATTTAGATAATGAGTAACAGCACCTATGTGGTTGACCTGGCCTCCTAGTGCCATGCAGAGCAGGTCTCTGCACCAAGCTCTTTAGGTATGGAGATCTACTTCATATCAGCCTTTGTGTCACGTTTGTATGAGTTAAGAAGTAATCCATGTTGTGCCTGGGTCAAAAGTACTGATAATATCGTAAAGTCCTTGCTTTTCTTATCTTGTAAGTCTGGTATGGTTATTTACGTGCTGATGTACTTTCATCTATGTCTTATCTAATGTACTAAGGTTGCTGAGAGATTACAATTTGTTTTCTAAAGAAACACCTCAGGCTGCATTATCGTAGCTTTTTAAAATGTTGTTAAATATACTTTGGCTTCTGGCTTTATGACAAAAAGGTCAAGAACAGGGAAAAAAAATCTCAGATTTTCTTCTTTTAGTAGCTTTTCTGCTAGTAAAAGAAGGTGAACCTTGGCACACTGCAGGAATGAGGCACTAAACTTGCATGGGTTTATGGCACATTGCTTTTTCTTTAAAAAGCCATTTTTTCAAAAAAATAAAAATAAAAAGTGCAGCTGCAGCCTGATCCAAAAGTACCCTCTGAAAACAGACTGAAGAAGGAAAATAGAGCAAGAAGCCTTAAAATCCCTAAAAATGCATGAAGCCAAAACATCTGCCCCACTCTCATCCCTGAAAAGACAAACACCTGTGACCTGCTGGGAGCAGGGGGCATCTTGTCTCAGCACAGCTCTTGCTCTTTCTCCACTGTTTATCCTCCAACCCTGAGCTGATAAATGGGGAGAAATGAGCCCAGATCCTTGGGAATTGAGCCTTGGAGAACTCCCTGGGGTCATTCTCTAAAGGTAAAAGACTCACTTCAGCATCCAAAACAGCTACCTGCTGGGATCCCCCTCTCAGCCCATAAATACAGATGGGTTCTGGCCCTTTATAGCTTGATGGCATTACAGTGCACTGTGCACCAGTGTCTACTAAAGCCTTATACTTCTGTGCATCTGACGTGCCAGGCCATTGAATCTACACAGTCCAATAAACTCAGTTGTTCCTTTCCTCCCTCTGGCTGGAGGTGGAGCCCCTCTAATTCTGGTCAGAATCTTCATTTCTGTGTCTGGAGGACTGCCCACTGGAAATCAGAGCAGCAAATTTCTTAGAACCCCCCCCTTCTCTGATTGTTTTTCCTTGCAATTCACGTACTCATGCCTCTAGTGTTGAGGTAGATTTTCCATCCCATTTTCTCATGTCTTCTCCATGGTTACATAGGCAAAACCACAGGGTGGCACAGGGTGGCTACCCACTATCTCTTACTACATGAATGGAAGGATGCTTACCCCTGATAGCTGAGACACTGTTTCATGCAAGTGGGAAGGAAAATATATTGTCTTTAAGCTGGTGGACATCTTTTCTCCCAAGCATTCTCTTTGAGTTGGTGAACCTCTTCAGAAAGCTTCTCCACAGCTGAGATTCTATAGGGATGAGGAGAGACTTTCTTTGTGCTGCTGGAGTTGTCTAGTCAATTTATCCACTGTGGGTTCCTCATGGTCTTTTCAGGTCATTACTGCCAATGAGCTGGCACATAATAATGGTGTGCTCCATACAAACTTCCACCACGTGGGTCCTGTACATTTGACTTCACCTGTATCTTTGGATAGATATTTGTTGTCTAGGTCATCATAAATCACCTCCATCATGGCTAATTCTCATGGTTAGATTCCCCTGTCCATGGTGGTCTGCTTGCCTGTTTCACATCCAAGATCTTCCTTGAAGGGACACCTTTCCTGCAAGCCCAACAGGAGACACCTCCAGAGGGTGAAGATTTGTGCTCCTCTTCCCATTGCTTTGCAATGCCCCCTTCCCTAGCAAGGGATCCCAGCTGCCTGGTTCCTGCCCTCTAATTCCAGATTATTGGCTTCGCTGTCCCAGCACCAGAGCAGCCAAGTGACAAGGTGCTCACCTGGACAACAACCAAAATCTTTTTGCAAATCTCATAGCCCAAGGATATTCAAAGTTTTGAAGAGCTATCGTAACTCACCTGGAGGAGAAGGGGGAGATGAAGGAGAAAGGGAGAGTGAACAAGTGGGAAAAATCCCTAGATTGGCTCCCTGAAGAGAAGGTAAAAGTTGTAATTATCAATAGTTTCTGAGACGTGGTTTCTGAATTATGGAGCTGGGGGCAATGCTGAGTACAAATACCAGATTAGTCTCATGATCAGTAATTTTATCATACCATAAGCCAGCATTACACCGTACACTAAAATAATAACCCTCTACCAACCCCTGGAAAGGATAAGCAGCAAGACAGGGAACACATACAGTAAGTCATGTGCTATATAACTCAGTTCAGAAAACAGACACAGCAGACCTGAGATTTAAAATAAATAAATAAAAAATAAACATTGTGATTAGCAACTATTAAACTGGTCTAATGTTTGTAACAATTTCGCTCACCCTCCCTGCCCAGTGATATTCTTACATATCTCCATGGATAGGGACTGCACTGCTTCCCTGGGCAGCTTGTCCCAAGGCTTGACCCTTCCGTCCATGAAGAAATTTGGGTCAGAACCTGGGAATGAAACAGAAAAAGATGAAGCACCAGACCCCAGCCTTGCTGCATCCAGTCCCAGGACCCAAAGGGTTCAGGGTATCTCTTTACTCATGCCTGTTACTCTTTTATGATGTGTTTATTCCTTGTTTTATGAAGTATAGGTATACAATTCTTAGAAAACCAATTGTGTCCTCCAAAGTGTCAGGAGAGTTGCTGTCATCTCTACATTGATCCAAATGTCTCTCTTTCCTTTTTCTTTCCCAGAGTTCCAGTTATTTTCTCAACACTGAATACCACAGGGTGCGGGAAGAGGATTGCACGGGCTGCACTGAAGAAACAAGCTCAGAGGCAGATAATGAAGCACGTCTGTATGCAGGGGGCACAGCTTGACATACAGAAATACTGACAGTAGGAAGAAATCAGGATTTAAGGCACTTTCAGCTTGTGCAGGTAAGTAATATCAAGTAATATCTCCTCAGTCTTTCATATAGGGAGAGGCTTTGCTGATATACCAGTTTAGATTTTTTTTTGTCAGCTGTAATAATGTTCAGCAATGTTAAATGCATTATTTTTCCCAATCCATGCTTATATTTTTGAAAGGAAAATATGTTATTAAGGCATGCTTAAATAAAACTGCCTTAATTTATTTATTTATTTATTTATCTAACTATCTCCCTTCCTCTCTCTCCTGGCTTTCTCTTGCTGTACTTGACACATCCTGAATCCACTTAGGAGACCTTGCGGGTAACTTGTATCTGGTTGCCCTTGCTGTACTTGCACCGGTCTGCAACCAAACCCTTCTGGCAGCAGTACCAACCAGATGTCTTCTGCACCTAGCTCTGCCTCGATGTCTCCTTCCTAGAGTGGATGCTGTACTGCAGATACCCAGCCTGGAAAGGAACAAGGGCAAGGAGCTACCCGTGTCAGAAAATAACAGGGGCACAGCAAGCACTCCCCAAGGAAGGAAAAAAAAACTCATTGGCATCTTATGTATGTTATTTGGAGCTGCTTTCTGCTGCAGCTGCTACCCACAAAGCACCAACCCCTTGATAATCCCTGTCTGCAGCCACATTTATTCAGTAGCAGTGAAGGAGAAAGCTCAGGAGAGGGAAAAAAAATATTTTTCCTGCCCCACAGTTAGAAGTGATTTTGATTAATCTCCTCGTCCAACAGCTTTGGAGGAAATTACAGCCAGGGAATCAAATGGAGAAGCAGGGGGAACCATAGCCTGGTTTGCATCAATCCATGAAGACTCCATGAAAAGATTTTAAGTGAGGGAAACTGAGGAATGGGGGAGGTTGAGGCAGAGAGAGGGAGGGAGGAGTGGAGGGAGAGATGGACCTTGGGGAACTGTTGCAGACATGCAATAAGAAGACCAGGAATCATGGAAAGTGTTTTGAGAGGATATGAAAGATATGACAGTGTGTGACTGGAGGTACACGGGGTGGTGCTGGTGGAGAGTATGGGGACTATGATCATGAAGACCTTGCAGGTGCAGAAATTTTCAATTCAGCTGCAGAGAAAAAAGTCAAAGATGATATTGAGATGGATGCATGCATTGCCATCTCTGTTAGTCTTTAATACCTCTGTTGCTACCTTTTCTCTTTTTGTACCACCTGTATAAGGTCTGGGCAATTCTGGAGGTTGTTAAAGGACATTAAGGGCAAATTAAAATTCCTGCATACAAGTCCCAAGATCTAAGTTACTGAAAGGGGCAAGACCCTTCACAGTGCTTGTGACTCTGCAGGCCCTGAGCACTGGAAGCAGCATCTCAGCTCCACTGTAGGGTTATGAAGATGGTTTTCCACCAGCAAGGCTGGCAGATGGCTCATCCTCTGTGAAGATGTGATTTGTGCAGTCAGTATGAATTGCCCATTCCAGCAGAGCAGCCAACAGTTTTTAGAAATTATGCTTAAATAAGCAAAATATCTCAAAATAGGTGCAAAAAGTGTGTTTTAGGACAGCTTCTTAGGATTATTCTCTGGGTAGTGTATTCTCTAAGCTACAGATGTGGAACGGCAGCTGTGTGTTTTTTTAAGGAGCAGCCAGCCCCTGTCTCTTGGAAGGACTGACCCTGCCACTTGCCATCTGCAGTTCCTGAAGCCATTTTGTTTGGTCACGACTCTGCTAACCAAACCTGTCCTTTGGTATTTGCTTTGGGGAATTTCTGAGATGCTTCTGCCACCTTTTATCCTCATGCCAAAGTTTCGGTACAAGAGGGCTTAGGATAAACCAATAGCATGGACAATCACCATCAGGATTTACGTAAACCTTTTCAAAGAGCTCAAATACAAAATTACCCGCATTGTGTAACATAGCCTCTTAAACCAATCTCCCCAGCACAAGAACAAGGCAGGGAAATGTAAGCCTAATTGTTTGCAAGGGCTGCAAGTAATTCCAAGGACCCAGGGATAATCCAGCTCTTTGAATTAAGTTTGCCAAGAGGCAGAGCAAACAAAGAGATACAGGGCTGCATGGAGCTGCTCCAGGCAGGGAATAAAAGAAATGCAGGAACTGTTTGAAAAGCCACACCCAAACCAAACAGGTTTGCAAACAAGCACAGTCAGAGGAGGTGAAGGGGTCTCTGGAGGCGCTTCAAACATTCAAAATAAGATTTTCCTTCATGTCTCCGCAAGCTGCTTGGACTCTGACAACACCTCGGTGCTGCAATTCACTTTGTTGCCTTCTTGGGAGGTGGGGAACGGCTTGGTTTGGAGCAACTGGTGTACATGGGGACACGATGACGTAGTGACACGGACTTCCTTGTGGCTTATCCCAGTGGGGACCATTGTGTTCACCAGCCTGGAGGACTGCATTTATAAGCACCTGAGCATTAGACATGTCAATTTCTTTATGCATCCCTTTATGTTCAGAGGGGAAGGGCAGAGTGTCATGTCTCAAAGCAGCAGGCATTTGATGTTCCTCATAATCCCATCCGGATATGCTGCTGCTCAGGATCACTTATCACTGGACCACCACTAGGTGCCTCCAGAGGAGACCCAGAAGCCTGCCTTACGCTGAGACAGATCACCCTTCTGCAGTCTACATCTAATTAACAAGTCATTAGGTACCCAGAGAGGGTAGTGCATTACCACTGCATCGCCTTTAGGTGAGATCTGTGAAAAAAATAAATCTCTTTTCCTTTCAGTTCCAAACCTGATATTGACTTTTGGTTCCTTATTTATTTTTAATTTCCACACAACTAGGGATTTGGTCTTTTTGGAGCTGGAGCAACAGGGTGATTGCACAGGTTGCTCGGAAGTGTGGCATGTTTGACTTCTGTTCCCCTTTGGCATGAATGTTTTTTCTTTAATGAGACCACTCTGCTATCATAACCTTAATTAGGTTAATTTACATTAAAGTAATAATTTCAATTAATGACTCTAATTGATTTTAAATAATTTTAATTTCCTTTGAATTCAGGTTTAATTGGATTCATTTGGGGCTTCTTTCTCAGTGCTCAAAAAGGAATTTATTATTCATACATCATAATTACATTTTAAAAGACAAGCATGTCTTAATTCTTTCTTAGCTTTTTGTCCTGGTTTTGGATAGGACAGAGTTATTTTTTCCTCCTAGTAGCTGGTATGGTGCTGTGTTTTGGATTTAGGATGAGAATAGTCTCTATCCTAGCCAAAACCAGGATACTTTTAAATACTTCTTACTTTCTGTTAATTGTGCTGTAACAAGAATAATTTGAAATTGTTGCATATTAGTATTTTTACTTGACAATCTTGAAAATTACAGGTTTTTCCTTAAAGTTTGATTTAAAACACTTGGTTACATTTTAAAATCCTCTCTTTTTTCCTTTTTTTTCCTTTTTTTCCTTTTTTTTTTTTTTTTTTTTTTTTTTTTTTCCCAGTAGCATGGATGATTTTATGCTACTTTTTTAATTTTAATTTTATGTTTTTCAATATATCTAAAACTTAGTATCATATTTTTCATTTTTGTCTCTATCTTAACTAACCAAACATTTTTTACTGTTTTACTGCCTTCTAAATATGATGAGATATATGTTTCTAGAATACAGATGATGACCTTATTTTTTAAATAACTATACATCTAAGATAGGGTGTATACAAACACATTAATTGCCCATTTTAAAATGATCATTTAGGCTAGTATATTTACTTACTGGAGTCAGGCAAGTCTAGTTATTTATTAACTGCTGAGTATAAAAAGACAGCTAGATTCTCTTTAGGTCTGTTCTGAAGAATGTAGATTCTCTTCTGGACTGCAAGGAAAAAAATATTTTTTTTGCAATTCTGGGGGGGCTTTCCTTGAAGCTTTTAGTTTTATTTAACTTTTTTCTTAGTTTAGAGCAACAAAGGTGATGGGTAGTCCCAGGGATTAATTGCATTCCTTGCTTCTGCTGTTAATTGATTGCCTGTGTTCAGTTAACATTCCTCTTTGAAGTGTTTAAACATTTCTTAATTCCTGTTTTTGCTCCTGTTTGCTTTGAAAACAGGACGTGATCAAAAGGGAAACTGCTGTTTTAGTTGTTTGTCTTATAAACAACTGTCCTATGCACTCAAAGCCAATATTTGCTACTACTCAGGCACTTTTCACACACACCATGTACTTAACTTATTTTTTCAGTGTACTTAATCAGAACATTGTGTTACATAAATTTTTCAAAATACCTTTTTTTTTTTTTTTTTTTTAATTTAAAAAAAGCTTCAAGAAATAGTTTATTGCATTCATCCCTAGTGTAGCATTTAGAAAATACCTTTAATTTCACATGTGACTATGTGGCTGCCTTATTTACTAAAAGTATTGGTTGGTGTTTTCTTGCTTCTAATTAAGGCCATTAAACATCCCTGTCCTTGGAGTGGAGCAACATATAATGCCTCACTGGAAAAAGAACTTCCCTTATTCCTCTCCCTGTAGTTCAGTTGTTCAGTTAAGAAGATTTTTCACGGAGAAGAGGAAGAGTAACCAAGAATTATCCCATCCCTTATTGCTGCAGAGGCAACTCTTCTTTTCCTGGCAGGTTATTTTTTAATGTCACAGGTGGATTTGCTAAATTGCCTTTTATTTATTTTTTTTCCCCTTTTTTCTTTTCCTGAGTAGCACTGAGCTCCATTCTCCTCCTTTTGGAGGATACAGCATTTTTTAAGATGCAATCTCAGCATAGTTTGACATGATGGAAAGGACCTTCAGCTCATGGGAATAGAATGTGTTTTTCAAAGGGGCTGTGGGAAATATAAATGGTAAGACATGCAGGCACTGCAGTAGGACTCCTTGGGTCTTTCTGGGGGCTTTAAATAGTATATTTGGAGAAAAATGGAGAGTTACATGGGAAAATAAAGGGGCATGGGAGAAAATTGGGATTCTTGCAGGGGGTCTGGGTTCAGGGCAGAGGATGTGGGGGACCGGCTTTGATCTCTGCTGTGCTCCCAAAACACCAGCCCCCTCTACCCGCCCCCTTCCCCCCTGCAACAAAGGGAGGGCTGCTGGACTTTGGAGCTTGTTAATCATTGCTCCAGAACGGCAGCACAAGGGTAGGAAAACTTTTCCTCTCCTTTTTATTCTCTCTCCAGCCCCCGGAAACCTTGAAGTCCTATAGCTCCTGCAGCAAAGTAAAGCTGTGTCTTGGGTACCAGACAGGGTACTTTTGGCTTCCAGCTGCCTCCTGTCTCCCTGGCCTGCCCAAGATCCTGCTAAGATAACAGCTACACACCCATCCAAGCTGTGAGGGCAGGTAAACACCTGGGGCAACAAGGGAGAAATAAGAAACATTGGTCCATTAGCAGGAATTTAGCCCCAGGGCTTCTTAAATGCCCTATAAGCCAGCAGTTCCCCATCTGGACAACCTGCTGTTGGTGTAGGATCCTCGAGAGGAAGTATCAGAGAGTGTCTGTGTGTGTCACTGCATAACACACCCCTACCCTGATGTTTGGCAAATGGGATGGATGGGGTCCTCTTCGGGGCCTGCTATGTGGGAAGATGTTTCCTAGCTTGGAGTCAGCACCCTGTCTCTCTCCCTCCCCGGTGTAGGGCTGCAGAGCTGCAGTGCCCCATCCCTATCTGGGCACAATGCCAGTTCACTACGTGACGTACAAAGGCATTAAATTCCCCCCTGCCTACAACTCTGAGCACAGCTTGAGTTTTGCCCACAACGAGTTCTTGGTGCGGGATGATGATGTCTTCAATGTGACCTACCCCAAGTCTGGTATGGCAGGGGTGGCTGAGGGGGTGGGGGGGGTGGGGGGGGAGACTGGGGGAGTGCTCTGTAGGTATCAGGGGAAGGTCTGTGGCAGAAAATAGGTTAGGATTGTGGAATCATCTCCAGGGGCTGTTTGGAGGGTGAGTCTTCTCTTGTGGTGGGGAACAGGAATGTTTTGGGTGAGATTTCCTTTCCTTTCCTTTCCTTTCCTTTCCTTTCCTTTCCTTTCCTTTCCTTTCCTTTCCTTTCCTTTCCTTTCCTTTCCTTTCCTTTCCTTTCCTTTCCTTTCCTTTCCTTTCCTTTCCTTTCCTTTCCTTTCCTTTCCTTTCCTTTCCTTTCCTTTCCTTTCCTTTCCTTTCCTTTCCTTTCCTTTCCTTCCTTTCCTTTCCTTTCCTTTCCTTTCCTTTCCTTCTTGCTTCTTTTCTTCCTTCTTCCTTTTCTTCCTTTTTCCTTCTTCCTTCTATCTTCTTCTTCCCTTCCCCTACAGTGATTTCGCACGGGCAAGGGAGAACCTTTTCCTAGGGAGCACAGCCTTGGTGATGAGGGTGCTGGTGAGGTCCACCCATCCCAACCCCCTGGGCAAGTCCTTGCATCTCTGCTATCCCTGGCAGGCACTGTGTGGATGACCGAGATCTTGAGCCTCATTCGCAGCCGTGGCCACCCCAGCTGGAGCCAAACCATCCTCAATTCGGACCGTATGCCTTGGTTCTCCACCCGTCTGGGCCTGGAGGCAGCCCTCAGCTACCCCTCACCTCGTCTGCTGACTTGCCACCTCCCTAGGCACATCTTCCCCAAGTCTTTCTCCCATTCCACTGCCAAGGTGGGACGGGCACCCACGCAGAGCTTGAAGGGGACTGGGAGGCTGGGAGGGCCACTGCCCGTGATCAGGGAAATCTTGGGGTAAGGAAGCCTTGGGGAATGAGAACTTTTGTGTTGGCCTAAGGTGGGAGTCCTACACATCCCCCAGATGGAAATATGCAACCCCCTATCTCACATCTTGCATCTTTGGATATTCTGGGGAAGCTCTGATAACTCTAGGGAACCAGTGTGTTCATGGACCCCTGCCCAAGGTGTGTGTGATGGAGCACAGCGTTGATCCTTCTGTGCCAGACCCCTCAATTTACAGAGCCGGTGACAGTGCCAGCAATTTACCTTTCCTCAGTAGGAGTGTCTCACTCCTGTATGCACCCTACCCCAGGTTATTTACACCCTACGGGATCCTCGAGATGTCGTTGTCTCCTACTACTACTTCTCCAAGATGTGCAGCAGCTATGAGGACCCCACGTCCTTTGACCAGTTCCTGAGGGACTTTCTCAGTGGAGAGTGTGAGTGTGGTTTGTGGCTTGCTCAGAGCATTTGTGTGGGGGGGTCTCTCATCACCTCTGACTCAGGGCTCTTTTCCTATGGTCCACTGATGATGGCTGTGAAGCCAAGCTTCCCGCAGAAGAGGGGTGAATGGCTCAGGAAGGAAAAACAAACAAACAAACAAACAAACACAAAAATACTTCTGGAGAGAGGCCCAGAGACCCACAAAGCCCTGCTGGGCTCTGAAACAGATGGAAATTCCATTTCCCTGCCTTCTTCTACAGAGTTCAGATGTCTTCAGGAAGTTGTGGTCAGCAAACCCTATAAAACCCTGGCAGGATCTGACCCATGCCCCTGCTGCCTTTTGTCTCCCATCAGTGCCCCATGGATCCTGGTTTGAACATGTCCAAGGCTGGATGGAGATGAAGGACCAGGAAAACTTCTTCTTCATCACCTACGAAGAGCTGAAACAGGTAGAGACCTTGGCGGACCCACCAGCTCCAAATGTGCTGATGTGTCACAAGCCCCTGAGTGCTAACAGGCTCCATCTGTTCCCCCAGGACCTGCAAGGCAGTGTGAGACGCATCTGCCAGTTCTTGGGACAGGATTTAGATGATGCTGCTGTCTCCTCGGTAGTTCGAAATGCCTCCTTCTCAGCCATGAGGGAGAACCCCATGTGCAGCTCTGTCCTGCTCCCTGCGGACATCATGGACCAGACTAAGGGACAGTTCCTGAGGAAGGGTGAGCAGGGTGGGCCCACGGAGGGTGAAGCAGTGGGGCTTTGGTGTCCCCAAGGGGACAGACAGACAGAGGGTGTCTGGAGGGCCACAGCACCTGCATTTGGGAATGTAGAATGGGGTCCATGCGGAACATATCTCATTTTGGACAGCCCCTCAGGGTGGTAACTGGACCCAGGAGTTGCTCCTGTGCCTTCGAGCAGAAAAGGGGCTGTGCACTGGGGTGTGCTCTGAGACAGAAATGTTCCTTCCACAGGCGTCTGCGGGGACTGGAAGAACCATTTCACAGTGGCACAGAGTGAGACCTTCGACAGGATCTATCAGGACAGGATGCAGGGCCTGAACATGGCCTTTCCCTGGGACAGACATTAGGATCCAGACCTAACGGAAGCCAGCTGAGCACTGGATAAAAACTAGCTATTGGCACCAGGGCTACCTGTCTCTTTTCTGCCACTGCCTTGGACCCAGGGATACAAACATCTCTAAACCTCGGCGTGCAAGCAGTTAATTCACACCCCTTCTGCTTGGGGATTGAACCTCCTGAGTTGTACATCTCTTGTCTGTTCCATCCCTCAACCTTTTTTGGCCTTGAGATAAGCTCTGGGCACCCACCAGGGTAGGACACATGTGTGCACACCCCTGAGAGCACACAGGTGAAACATGTCCTATCCACGGAGCACAGATCAGGTCAGCTTGTTCAGTAGCTGCAGCCAGCTGAGACATTTCCCTGGGACTTCTCACTGAATGCACTGTGGTCTCTTACTTCAAGGTTCAGTTACTCAGACTCCTTTTCCAGCAGAAGAGCCCAAGGAAAATAGAACAAATAGAGCTGTTTTAGCAAAAAAAGTTCAGTTCATGGTTACCCTTTCTCCCCCTAACTCACTCCTAAATGCAGGGCCCTCACTAACAGGTAGGAACTAATATATGCTCAGGGCAAGTGCTAGGTGCTTTTATAGCCTCCAGAGGGAGAATGCAAAGCGAGTACGCTTCACGTGTCTTAGCATGCATCTCCTCAGACACACAGAGAGCATCCTTCACGTTTTTATACCCTTACATCTCACCTCAGATCAACCAGCTGCAGTTATAAATCCTACCTTTCAGCGGGGCACAAATATCAGGTCCCAAATGAGATAACTCTTTTTACACTTGATTCAGTTCTCACCTGTTCCCTCTGTCTTAAAAACATGCACACTAATCCTGCCCAACCCTCTCTGCTAGACTGACCCACTTATTTTCTCCAGGGAAAACCAGAGCACAGCTTTGCTCACACCAGAGCCTGCCCCAGATGAGCTAAGCAGAGTAGTAGCAAACTCCTTTTGCCTCTCAAAGTTCTGGCACTATTCTGGCCAGCTCTGACTCCCTCTGCACACACTTCCCTGTCACTCCCCGGTACACCCAACACATCTGATCTTCTTCCTATAGAAAATAACTCTGGCAGGCGTGAAAAAGATCCCTTTATTTCAAATATTTTGATCTGAAAAACACAGCACATCTATCCTTACACCTAAAAAAGACAATGAGCATCTCCAGGTGAAGCACTATGAAAAACATCCAATGCAGTAGGTCTGATGACAAAAGGACAAATGGCAGAGTTCTCACTGTAAGAATGTCAATGATACTGAAGCTTTTTCCTGGCATGTCTGAGAAAGTGGTGATATTACTGAAAGATAGCATGAGCACTGATGATCAAGATGATCAAGTCAAACTGCCAAGGCACTTCATGGTAAATTAAATGTTAAAGCATACTATTAACAGCATTATCCAAACACCTCTTGCCATGGTTTTGGCTGACATAGAGATAATTTATTTACATAGAGACTTGTATGATACTGGGTTTGGGATTTTTGATGAAGATAGTGGTGATAACACACCAGTGTTTTAGTTGTCACAGAGCAGTGCTTGCACAGAGTCAAGGACATTTCAGCTTCTCATGTTGTCCTGAAAGTAAGGAGGCTGGGGGTGCACAAGGAGCTGGGAGAGGACAGAACCAGGATAGCTGACCCCAAGTGGCCAAAGGGGTATCCCATACCATGTTCAGCAGTAAAAGCTAGCGTAAAGAAGGAGGAGAAGGCGACACTTGGAGTGACGGTGTTTGTCTTCCCAAGTAAGTTACACACGATGAGCCCTGCTTTATGTGATGTGTCTGAACATCTGCCCGCTGATGGGTAGGAGTAAACTAATTCCTTCTTTTGCTTTGCTTGCATGCAAAGCTTTTGCTTCATCTAGTCAACTGTCTTTTTCTCAACCTGTGAGTTCTTGCACTTTTACCTGTCCTTGTAAATGACTCTCCTGGTAGAGAGCGAGCAAGCAGTTTTTTGGTGCTGAGCTGCCTGCTGGATTAAAACACATCACTTTTGAACACTGACAGTCATGAGGCATCAACCACCCCTCTAGAAAGCTTATTCCAGTACTGACCACCCTCACAGCAAAGAAATTTTTCCTAATATCTAGTCTGAACCTCCCCTGCTGCAGCTTTGTGCCATTCCCATGAATCCTATCATCAGCTTCTAGGGAGAAGAGGCTGACACTTCACTCCGTGCATCCCTTCCTCAGGAAGCTGCAGAGAGCAATGAGGTTGTCTCTTGGCCTTCTTGTCTCCAAACTAGACAACCCAAGTGTCCACAGCCTCTCCTGTGGGAGAATCACCTCTTTTTGCCAGCTGGCTATGCTGTGTTTAACGCATCTCATTTTTTTTTTTTTTTTTTTTTTTTTGACAAGTGGTTGGCCTTGTCATAGAAGGAGACTGATCTACTAAAGCAGGATTTTCCCTTTATGACTCATGTTGACTCTGCCTGATAACAGCTTTGTTCCTTAATGTCATTCAATAACTCCCAGGACAGTCTTCTGCACAACTTTTCCAGGATGGATGTCAAACTAACACGTCTGTAGTTTCCTGGGTCTTCTCTCATGCCCTTTTTATGTCTCAGTGTAACATTGCCTAGTTTCCAGTCAGCAGGGACCTCTACGCACTCCCAAGATCTTTGTTAAGTTGTAGAGAGGGGTACAGCTGCTTCCTTCACCTGAAGAGCACCACAGAGGAATTCCAGCCTCTCCAGCCAGTAAGGAAGCTTCATCAGGGGTCTAACAAAATGTCTCTATACTAACTAAACTAGAATAAACCAGAGGAGTTAGAGATGTAGGGCTAGGCTGGGGGTGCAGCAGGAACTGGGAGAGGACAGAACCAGGACAGCTGACCCAAACTGGCCAAAGGGGTATTCCATACCATATGGCATCATGCTGAACAATTAATATGGGGGGCTGGCCAGGGTTGTGGGGGCTGCTCTGGGACAGGCTGATAGGAGTGATAGGGATACAATGTTCAGGGAAAAATCATCCAGAAGAACAAAATCACACCAAATTACTAAGGAGAGAATATGACAGAATGGCTTATTGGGTCATAATTAAAAAGCCAACAGTACAAAATGAAATACATAGATCAAAGGTTATAGCAGGTAATAAGAATACATTGCGTAATCACATCTGCAACAAGGGAAAGAGTAAGGAAAGTTTACCAGCAATGCAGAGAAGAAGAGAAGCTAGTGAAAGTTTATACAAACCATGCTGAAGTGTTTAATTTTTTCGCACTTTCTTCCATTCTTACTAAAATATTTACTATTTTGACAGGGCTAAAATAATTACAAGTAACAATAAAGGTGGAAGTCAAGTTGAAATACTGAGTGTACACCTAGGAAAGACAGATATTTTAATCTTAATTTGAAATCCCAATCCTTTCAAAAATAACCCTTTAATATTTTTGTGAAATGGCAATGATTGTCATCAACAATGCTTGTGAGATGGGGGAGATTCCAGGTAACTGGCAGCTTTGACCTGGTGTGTATGCTTAGGAATGAATGAATGAATAAATGGATGAATGAGAGAAAAAATATGATCATGATAGGAAAGAAGAAAGGGTGGAAAGAAGGAAGGGAGGCTGGGAAGAAAGGAAGGAAGCAACCCCAGTGTATTTTAGAAGATTTAGTCTAAGTTCAGTTCCTGGAAAAATACAGAGCAGAGAGCCAATACTTCTATTTGTAGTCACCTAGTAGATAACATTCTAGGAGTTATCAGTGAACACAGGTTTGTTGAGTTTAGCTATCAAGTGAGCAATCAACTGTACAAATACAAATCGGGAATTACTGGCCAACACAGACAGACAGAACCTAAGGATCAGTATCAAAGCGCAACAGGCTGCAAATCAGTAACATATGGGTGTTGTGAAAAAACAAAAACAAACAAGCAAACAAACAAAAAAACACACACACAAAAAAACACACAAACCTCATCTGAGACTTCTATAACAAGGGTTCTCATTTACGAGTAATGTGTGTGACACGCTTATCTTCCCATGGGCTCTGGGGTCTCTGCCACACATCAGTGCCTGGGTGTAGGCATCAGTCTTTGATAAAGGTGTTGGCCAGATGCTGGCCTGCTTGAGATAGACCATGAGTGAGGCAGCAACTGCTATCAGAACATAGAAAACAGAGCAAAGATGGGGAGGGTAAAAAGTCTGCTTGATGGACAAACCCTGAAACTAAGCAGATGGATGTGAACAGTCTTCAGACAATAGGATATGAAACTCAGCTGCTGAGTTAGATGAAATGCTCTCTTTCACCACACACAGCTTTGATATTAAATGTAATAATAAAATCTGAATAAAATTTGTACTGATGCATGTCTGCAACTGAGAGTCATGACCCAGGTAGCTTGACATTTATACTAATTCAGGCCTGCTTTTCTGGTCTATTACCTCCACTTTTCATCCTCTAGACATGCTGTTGCAATGAAAGGATTTGCTAGCTCTACATTCATTTGCATTCCTTGTGAGTCGTCACCCGTTCCTACACTCCATCTCTGCCAGAGATTTTCTCTCCTTGTCTGTCATTTCCAGAGGCTATCTCAGCTTCACTCTCTTCCTTGGCTTGGGGAAGACAGAGGGGTGTTGCAAATAGTCCCTGGGTTGCACAGTCTAAGCAGAGGTGTATATCAAAGATGCACAAAATCTGCAGCTTTTTTACCAAGCTTTTTCACTGGGGTTAAAGACATCAGTAATATTTTCTGTGTGTTCAGCTGAGCTATTCTGTACCCATCTCTGGGATTCCTAGGGATGATGCTGAGCAATGGTCATACTGGTCAACCACACACATGCTGCTCATCTAAATGCAAGGAGTGTTTTCTGAGCCCCTCTTGTACAGCAGTGGAGGGTGCAGTGTGATTCTCCTATCTATCACTCTCCTTTTGGCATATCCACCTCCTCAGACAGCCTGATGGCATTTCCTTCCTTAGACATCTTCAGTACTGGTGTCTGAGTCCAAAAAATGAATGCAATCGCCTCCTAGGAGTGCTTGATGAGCTCTGCTGAGCATGCAAGATATCTGAGTGCAAGAAGTTGGTATGAAGTAGATCCCACACATGGTAGCAGCAGCATCATATCCCTGTAGCATCATTTCTATGCTTGGGCATATGACTGTCTGGGTGATCCAACTTCACAGAGGACCTGGGAGCTTGGCTTTCATTGCCAGCGACAGAGCATCCTGCTGCTTCTGTATCTGACATTGTCAAGACTAGGAGAAGTAATCACACTGACAGAAAAATTAACTAAACTGTGAACACAGACAAATATTAAAACAATATTGCACAAAGTTTTCTTTGAAACAAACATAGGAGAAAAAGGGAAAAAAAAAATCTCATCTTAGGATAAAGCCACTGCTTTCAGCACTGGGAAAAGTTTTTGTTTTTTTTTTTTTTTTTTTCTTTTAACAGACTCCCTTGCTGAACTAGTGCCAAGGGATAAATTTAGTTTTCCCATATATATTAGTACCCTATTCCTGCCTGAAGCCAGTCCTGGAAGATGAGTTGCAAAACACCAGGTGCCCCTATCCTTGCCATCAGTGGTCCAGAAAGATCTGAACTGAGAGGACATTTTTGCTCAGCAAATTCCCGAAACAGCCCAGTTTCACAATCCTATGGCTTACGGCTTACGTGACACTTATGGCACAAGGGTCACTTCCCAGCAGAGCCCCTTGGCTTCTTGCACTTTGCTGAACACCTGCCATGGGGCACAGAGGGTGGTTTTGGGATGGAGGGGAGGAGCCAGGGCCATGGGGACTTCTCAAATACCCTGTCCCTTGGGTGCATGTCCTGCCTCTTCCCTGCCCTCCTCTCCCGTGGAGACACAGAGCACACGTTTCTCCCTGCTACCAACATGAGGTTTGTCCTCCTGGCATGCCTCTGGGGTAAGTGAGGTGGGATTCTTTCCCCTCCGCTTTTGGCTTGTCATAAGTTTACCAACAGTCCTTCCCTTCCATCATTGCTTCTTCCATAGTCCATAGCACAAAACAGATATGACATTGCAGGGAAGTGAAATGCAATTGGTCGTGTCTACTTTGTAGTGAGGTGAATCTCTCTCTAGACTACCAGGGCTGCAACTGGTGACTTGGATTCACTCTGGCATCTCAGAGAGCCACAGGTGGACAGCTGGATGATGCCCCATCTAACACCAATACCTAGACACTTAAGTAGTGTCTCGTTCAGGAACTGAATTCCAACCCTTATGAGATAAGCTTTAAGAACCCTTATGAGTACTGCACAAAATGCGTGCCCTTGTTTCTCCCCTGTGGGTCCCCAGGCTTTGTGGGTTTCCATGTGTCAGGGACAGAACCACCAGACCTGGTGGCAATGGGCAGGGGGTGATCTGTTGTTGCAGTACATGGGTAGGCACTGCAGATGATAAGCTATCTGAACGTAACTGGAATTTAGAGAGAGAAGGAAGTAATTATGAATTTTAAAAGTAGCTAAAAAGAGAGTGAGTGGTAAAAACACCTACCTGGGCAATAGTGCTAATGCCACTTCTGGTGTCAGCAATTCTGCCTTTGCCTGAAGTTGTTGGTCAGTGCTTGGGACCTTGCCAGGCTGTTACATGTAGGAGCATAAACCGTTGTTTGTGTTGAGCTCTTTTTTGCTTCTGACCTTCTACAGTGAGTACAAAGTCTTCTTTTCCTGAGTTTCCAGGACAAACAGATTCTGGCAAGCTTTCCCTTCCTAACTTTGCCTCAGCCTCTAATTAATCCCCAGAGGAAGCCTCTGGGCAGCAATACCACTCTTCACAGATTTCCACCTTGAAGACGCTTTTTTGCACAGCCCCATTCTTTGGCCCGTAACTGTCCCAATTGCATATCATTCCTACCATTAATGTCTACAGTCCTGGCAGTAGTCCTGGAATTAGTTTTGTCAAGTGTCTACCTGAAGTTCAGAAGCAGCAATGCCTCTTTAATGGGTCTAGTCCTTACAAAAAAAAGAAGCAATGCCGTGGCACTTGCAGCTTATCAGATTTTCAGCAGTTTCATCCAGATGTGCACCTCTTGCCTGGCTTTTGCTGAGATCTGTGTGCCTATCCAGAGCCTCTAGGGAGAGACAAACACATCCAGATGCAGTTCAACCTGCTCTGGCTCCAGTCTTAGGATGAGCTGTCTATGCTTCAGCCACAACTCAGATCTTTCTGCTGACTATTACAGGAGCCTAGGTAATTTAATCAGTCTGCACAAAGAATTTCAGATCACCGAGTATGGACAAGATGAGTCTCAATTGATCTCTTATGATATTTTCACATTATCTGCCCAAATAATTTTTTCCCAGTACACACACACACACATATATATATATATATCTCCACATTTTCTCTCCTTATCTGAACTCTCTATCACAAATGCTCTAAAATGAGCAAAACCCATTGACAGCAGGATTTGAGAGGTTGAGAACAATGATGGGCTTTAGCAGAGCTCACAGGGTCTTGCCTCCTGTCTGGTGTTTTGCTGCCCTGAATCTCTGCACTTTGCAGAGCTGATTCAGACTAACATCCTGTATTTCTTCTATTTCAGCTTCCCTCACAGGAGTCCTGCTGGCAGGTCAGTATTTGTAGTAGAGTGGATCATGGGTCATAAATATTGGAGTCTGTTCTCAGTTATATGAATGCCTGGTGTCCCCTTGACCTATATGAGCCAATATGAAGGTGTTCCATATTTTAGACCCCTGTACTTTCCAGTCACTGAATTATTCCCACTGGAGTTCCCCAGATCCATGCAAAGGGGTGATGGTGTCTAGAGATAATCAGTTCTTGATATAGGGGTGGCAGGTATTGTGATTAGGGGACTGGTAACTGGGGTTCTGAAACAGATTTTGAGACAGATTTTGTGGCCATGTGAGTTTAATAACTGGACCAGGACTGAGTCACAGAGACAATCCTTTCCAGTCCTGAGAGCTTTTCGGGGAAAAGGGCGAAAACTTCTCAATTCTCTCTTCCCTTCTGCTATCCCAGTGCCTTGTAGCAGTGTCTGTTGGGAGACATTGGCCTTAACCATGGGCAAACTCAGACAGAAAAAGAATGTTGGGGTAGTTTTGGGGTGGCTACACTTCTCCAATTATGGTTGAAAATGAACCCTGCAATTTGTTTCTCAAAATGGACTTTTGGTCACAAAGGCACCTGCAGCATTTGGCCATTCCCAACTCAAAACCAGGTTCCCAGACATCAAAGATCTTGGATACTAGGATACACCAGGCTTTTGTTCCCCCTGGTCTGGCAATAAGGACAGCCTTCTGGGGAGCAACAGCCCTCTTTCTCATTCCCTATCTTCACCCTGGGGTGTTTGTTCTTCCCTGAAGATGTAGACACAACCAAACTTGAGATCCGTCTGGTGGATGGCCCAAACAGCTGCTCTGGGAGAGTCGAGGTGCTTCACAAGGATACCTGGGGGACTGTGTGTGATGATGGCTGGGATTTACGAGAGGCCAGGGTGGTGTGCAGGCATCTGGGCTGTGGAACGGCGCTGTCAGCCCCCCATGAGTCAAAATATGGAGAAGGGAAGGGCCAGATCTGGCTGAGTGACATGAACTGCAAAGGCACAGAAGGGTCCCTCACCGAATGCAAAGCAAAACCATGGGGAGAGAACACCTGCAACCATGTGGAAGATGCCAGTGTGGAGTGCTCAGGTAAATTCCAGATGTCTTCTATTTTATGCCACATTGTCCCTTCTGCCTCTTGTAAGCTATGGTGCAATTTCTGACTTGTCCAACTAGGAGGTTAGGGATGCAGAGTGACTTTGTTGAGCTCCATCTCCCTATCCACTTTGACCCAGAGAAGCTGCATGGTAAGTCCAACAGAGCTGGGATTAAACACAGACAGTCTGCTCCCTCTCCTAACACCTTCCATGCAGTTTTTTTTTTTTTTTTTCTTTTCTTTTTTTTTTCTTTTGTCAACCTTTCTTCTTAAGCCAGAAGATAGGAAGGGAGCTGTTGATAGGTGTTAGGGAATTTTGGTGTTTCACAGGAGATTCTGCTTTCTCCAGGTGATCAAGGGCACAGACACTTCTCTAAAACTTCTCCGTTTTTTCCCTTTTTTTTTTCTTTCTTTTTATTTCTTTCTTTGTTCTTTTTTTTAGGAACTGACATACCTGAGCCAGGGCCTGTCCGTCTGGTGGGAGGCCCAGACCGATGTGCTGGGAGAGTTGAGGTGCTTCATGAAGAGCAGTGGGGCAGCGTATGCCATGATGACTGGGACATAAAAGATGCCCAAGTTGTGTGCAAACAGCTGGGTTGTGGGGATGCAGTGCTGGCCCCCATTGGAGCCAAATTTGGACGAGGCTTTGACACCATTTGGCTGGATGATGTGAACTGCACGGGGTTAGAAGCTGATCTCTCTGAATGTCAGGCGAGGCCATGGGGGGATCACAACTGTTACCACGGGGAAGATGCCAGTGCAATCTGTTCAGGTAATCCTTATATCCCCCAACTTTTGCCAGCTATGTGTTGGGGTGCACTTACAAGTGTGGATACAATCATGGACAGTAACTAGGACTTAACCTCTTAGGTCAGAGGTTGGACTCGATGATCTTGAGGTCTCTTCCAACCTAGAAATTCTGTGATTCTGTGAACACAAAGCACTCACCTTCTGTATTTGTGTTGCTGGTGGTTTGGGGTCCTTACACCCTAGAAGAGGGCTCCAGTCTGGAAGGTTTTCTCCTGTCTGCTCACTGGGGCATTCTGTGGTCATTTTTCTCCAGTTCAGGCTTGAGGTTAAGAACATGCACAAGAGCGTGGACCATGTCCATGAGTGTGGGAGGGAGAGGTTATGTGGGGGGGGTGGATACCAAGGTATGAGTGCACAGCCTTCTGCCTTCCTGAGCATGCCCTCTCTGGATGTCTCTGCAGAATCAGGGATTACCATCTCCACCTCAGTCCGCCTGGTGGATGGCCCAAACCGCTGCACTGGGAGAGTCGAGGTTCTTCACAATGATGTCTGGGGGACTGTGTGTGACGACGGCTGGGATTTAAGGGAAGCAAAGGTTGTGTGCAAGCAGCTGGGCTGTGGAACAGCACTATCAGCCCTCCCAGAGTCAAAATACGGAGAAGGGAAGGGCCAGATCTGGCTGACTGATGTGAACTGCACAGGAACAGAAGGGTCTATCACTGAATGTGAAACCAAGCCATGGGGAGAGAACACCTGCAACCACGTGGAAGATGCCAGCGTGGTGTGCTCAGGTAACCACCTCTGAGCCCACCCCTGCATGTGCTGGGCAGTAGGATGACAGATCCTACTGTATATAAACCTGAATCAGGTATCATCCCAAGCCCCTGTGAAAGGTGCAGTGCAGTTCTGTGTATGTTTTCTAGTGGAAACAGGGGGACACAGCTGAGGAACTCATCCCATCACTGAGTGCCAGCCCTGTGATGCAGAGCAGGGGTGACCAGTGTTGACACAGTGATGTAGCTGTGCCAGGGTTGCATTAAATTCTCTCCTACACTGTGGTCCCTTGTCCCACCTCTGTCCAGCAGGGTGCTTATGATCAACAGACTCCTTGAATCAGATACCCAGTAGAGCCTGAGGTGTCCATGAAGCCCAGAAAAACTTCCTCCTGCCCTTTTCCTACAGCCTCTTATTTCTTTTGTTGGTGTTTTTTTTTTTTTTTTTTTGATTTTGTTTGTTTGTTTGTTTTCTGTCCTTCCTTCCCACCCCAGAAAAGCCCAGGTGTCATTAGAAGAACGCTGATGGCATATCTTCATTGTGCTCAGGGGCACCTGAGCCCCTGTTGAGCAGGCATACTTTCCACAGGGAATGGGGCACATAGGATACTCCCTTAACATTTTTTTTTTTTGGCATTTGTGCAGAGGTAGATGTTCCTGAGACAGGGCCGGTCCGGCTTGTGGATGGCCCAAACAAGTGTGCTGGAAGAGTTGAGGTACTCCATGAGAATCGGTGGGGCAGCGTGTGTGATGACAACTGGGACATGGAGGATGCCAAAGTGGTGTGCAAGCAGGTGGGCTGTGGGTCTCCACTGTCAGCCCTGGGAGGTGCCCGCTACGGCCGAGGGCCAGATGTCATCTGGCTGGATGATGTGAACTGCACGGGGACAGAAGAAAGCATCTTTGACTGTCAGGCCAGGCCATGGGGTCAACACGACTGCTATCATGGAGAGGATGCTGATGTTGTCTGTGCATGTAAGCCACCCATTACTGTGACACCTGAACTGATGAGGGGACAGGGTCAAGCAGTTCTGGCAAAGCCAGCAGGCTGGACTGGATGGGACATAATGGAAATCACAAGGCAGGAAGGCTCTTGCTCTCGGGAAGATGCTGTTGGAGGCAGGGAAATGAGTGAAGCAGGGAGTCCTAAGGAATACGGAACATCTGATTAGGGTGGATGTGGTGGGTTAGATGTGATTAGCAGGGCACAGACAAACACACCAGTGACAGTCTGACTATGGGATGGGTTCTGATGGAGAGATGCTTACAAGGGAGTTTTGTATAGGGCAAGGTTCCTAATGGGCAGCAAAAGGGAAGGTAGAACAGTTTTTGGAATAGGAGGTGATGACAAACATCTGTGGAGGACAGGAGGAGGACAGCTGGAACGATGTCTAGGGAGAGACACCTCTCATCTGTACTCAAGAAATATCTAAGTTTAACTCTCTGAAACCTCTGTGCATTTAACTCCTCACTTCTCATGCTCTGTTTCCTGGAAGAGAAGGCTGGACAGGCCCTGCATAGGTGAAGGAAGGAATCCTTGGGGGTTTTTGGTTGGTTTTGTTATGGAGGAAAAGGGCTGTAGGGTGTTGGCAGACCTGCAGGCTTTCACCTGGGGCCTGCACAAACTTGTTCTGTCAGGACTACATGCTGCAGTCCTTTGGATCAAGCAGTGCATTTTGCATCAGGGTGAGAGTTTGATCTTTGTGCAGCCATAACCTAATTTCCAGAGGGGCCAGTCCAAGGCTCTGGTGTCCACAGTATTCTTCGCCAATAGACCCAAATATATCAGTATAACTTAACATGAAGACCTTCTTCTAGAGCAGAATCCATGTCACTTCTGGGTGCCAATTCTGGTGCAGAATTCCTGACAGCAGATTTCATTTTTCCCTTTCTCTGCAGTTAACAAGAATCTGGAGGAGCCGGAAACATCGTGAATGCCATGCTGACCCTACCAGACCATGCTCACCTTGCCACAGGAGAAGGGCCAGTAAGATTCAGCTGAGAAAGAGAACATTTGGGATGCTAAAGAACCACCAGTGTGCCTTAACAGAATTCAAGTTTTGGCAAAACCATTCTCTCATCCATTGATTGATCTAGTTTGTTTATAACTACATTGATAGAAAACACATATCAAAATGTTTTCCCACTGAAAAGCAAACATCAAAAAGTATCAATAAATTTCCCCTAAAACTGATATCCTGTCTGTCTCATAAATTTCTTATGGACCTCTGCTGCCTGAGCATATATCTGTCAAGAAGCTGTTTATCCTACATGACGAATATTTATACCAAGTTTATGAAAGTATTTGTAAGATGTCTGCTGAGAAGCATGTGTTTTCACTGGTATTCTAACTGGTAAGAAGGACAACCATAAAAGCCTTGGAAAGGGTATTGGACATTGAACAGCACAAGTTTAGTTTTGTAGGTTTGTCTGCCCCTCCTGAGAGGGGCCCAAGGAAACTGACCCCATAGAGGAGGACACACCCTTTTTCCTCTCTCACTCTTCCTAAAAGCCAAAACTGGCACTTTCTGGGGATGTCCAATCAAGACTTAGGCTCTAACATATTGTGTATGTGTGTGTCTGATCTGTTGCTTTCCAAAAAGCAATATGCTTTGTGCCCATCAGTACCATGCGAATGCTTTGTCCCGGCAAAGCAAAGCACTAAGGTCTTCATCTCAGTATTGACATTGGGTGTCTCCAAGTTGGTCAGCAAACTCAAGCTGTTGTTATGGACAGGAGAGATGACTGTATATCCCAGTTTTCTTTGGGATAGTGTTAATTTCCTTCATAGTGGCTGGTATGGTGTGTTTTGGATTTAAGATGAAAATAATGTTGATAACACACCAATGTTTTAGCTGTTGCTGAGCAGTGGTTGCACAGTCAAGGACTTCCCAGCTTCTTGTGGTACCCTGCTGGTGAGGAGACTGGGGGTGCACAAAAAGCTGTGAGGGAACAGATCCCCACCTGGCCAGAGGGATATTCTGTACGATATGACATCATGTTCAGCAATAAAACCGGGGAAAGTTGGCTGGAAAAAAAGAAAGCTCCTTTTTATTAAACTATACTTACCTCAACCCATGAGTTCTTGCACTTTTACCTTTTTTAAATTCCCTCCCTCATCCCACTGTGGGGGAGTGAGTGAACGGTTGCGTGATGCTGAGCCAGGTTACAACACAACACTGTCTCCATTCCCGCCTCCTCCTCATGGAAGAGTTCATCCCCTCCCCAAGCAAGTCTAAAGGAGCTTGGATCATCTGCTTTTTGGGAAGTGCCTGGTTCAGTACGGCTCCAAGGAGAACAGAAATGAGGTAAAGCTGGTGGTGACCTCACTGTGACACAGAGCACCAGACAGACTCACAGAAACATAAAATTCAGGTCACATGCCTATATATATATATATTTAGATGAAAAGTGAGAAGCAACACAGAAGTGGTTCGAGGTTTGGTGGAAATATCGCAGAGAGGGGCCACTAGGTACAATCTGTTTTACTTATCAGAGGGAAGGTTGCATGAGGATTTCATTACAGTAGCTAAACATCTTCTGGGGGCGGGTGATGGCTACCCAAGGGAACCTCAAGCTGTTCGAGCCAATACAGCAAAAGCTGGATGTTTATATAATGTATTCTACAATCAGCACAAGAAAGCTTTCATGGATTAGAGGCATTATCAGCTGGAGAAGTTGAACTGGCATGGGAACGGTATGATCTCTTGGGCACCAAGGGCATGATAAGGTGAGATGTTGCAGGGATCCAAACTGACTTCAAATGCCCACTCGTGTTCTCCAGATAATCCCTCCCCCCCCCCCCCCCCCCCCCCAAGGGAATATGCCTGGAAAATTATCTTGTGGCCAAGATAAGCAATTGTGGTCAGTGGAACCCAATGATCTGCAGGCATCCACAGAGGTACCCAAATCAGACACAAAATCACCCAAGGCTGTAGAAGGATCTACAGCCAGGGGAGGAAAAGGCTTCTGAAGTTACTCTGGAGACAACCGGGCTGACTTGCCTCATGCAAGTGCCTCTCTGTCTTCATTAGCTGAAGATTCCTGGGGCAAGCATGCCCCCAGTTTGGGCACATTGTTTTTATGTTTGCATTTCAGTGTGATAGATCTGAGTTTCAGGGATTTTCTTCTGTACTGCATGCTCTTTGGCCTTCAAGGATCACTTTGGTTTGGGTTTAATAAATGTCATACACATGTCGGCTGGCACTATTTCACTCTTCTCCACTCTGGAAGATCTGTGAGGTTTAGATCCAACCTGGAAGGAAATGAATGCAATCCAGATCCGTAAAAGTAGTTTGCTTTATCCTGCAAGGCCACTGAAAGTAGTAGTATACATATAATATCCTAGTGATATTTCAAAGACGCAAATAGGAAAAATGAGCTGCTATGTGGATAGATGGGAATCATCCCTCAAAATACCAACCTCCGACTTCAAACCTCTCCCTACCCCATGGCACTTGTCAGAGACATGGAAAGAGACAGTGAAAGTGAGACAAGTGCTACTTGTCTGAGACTGAGAAGGGATGAAGGGCCACCAGTGCCAAAACCCAGCTTAGAGGCTTAATGGCTACTACTGTCTAGCAGGATGGGACATCGATGAAGGTTACCTGAACATATGACACCTGCATCTTCTCCATGGTTGCAGTTATGGACTCCCCAAGGCCTTGCCACACACTTGGAGAGGGCTGATTCTTTGCCGGAGCATTTCACATCATCCAGCCAGATACGGCCATAACCTTGCCCAAAATAAGCGGATCCTGGGGCTGACATGGCCTTCCCACAGCCCAGCTGCTGGCACACCACTTCAGCATCGCTCAGGTCCCAGTTGTCATCGCACACTGTTCCCCACTGCTGGCTCTGAAGCACCTCAACTCTCCCAGCACAACGAGTGGGGCCGTTCACCAGGCGGAGTGGAGCTATTTCTGCAATCCCTGCACATAAAGCAACCCCGAAATATAAATGCACACGTAAATGCCCTGCACCTAAACCCTACTGATGGTAGGCATGTCATGGTGTCCTAGTGCCAACCAAGCTGTCCCATGGATAAAGAGGACCTTCTGGGTGGACAGAGCTCCTCCCAGGGTTGCCTCCATTCTGTCATAGAATCATTGAATATCCCGAGTTGGAAGGGACCCACAAGGATCATCGAGTCCAACTCCTGGATCCCCAAAGGATGACCCAAAAATTCATACCATGTGTCTGAGAGCATTATCCAAACACGTCTGGAAAGAAAAACTGGCAGGCTTAGTGTTGTGATCAGTTCCCTGGGGAGCCTGTTCCAGTGCCCAGCCACCCTCTCAGTGAAGAACCTTTTCCTGATATCCAGCCTGAACTGCCCCTGTCACAGCTTCAAGCCATTCCCTCAGGTCCTGTCCATGTTACTTCTCCGTTCCCTCTGCCTACAGACTTTCTAAAACATCTTGATAAGGACTGAGAGTGGTATTTCAGTTTCCCAGTCAGTAAGAAAAGTTAATTCATCCCTTCTGAGCAGGCATATTTCAGATAGTTTATTTGAATCACTGTGTGAAACAGGGCACCATACCTGCTCTATATAAAGAGTAATATGCTCTGCAGAGCTCTGAAATAAAAATGCAATGTTGTGTACAGATATTACAGATGAAACCCATACAAAAGGAACAATTCAGGAACCTCCAGTTAGGTGTCTTCTCCCATATGAGATGCCATGAAACATCTTTGGCATTCTTCAGCTCTCATGTCAGAAGGGTGGAAATTTCACATAGCTCCTGGGCTCATATTGGCCCTACATAGATTTCTGCATCCTGTTAGGTGTCTTATTATCATTAGATACCTATGTTCTGAACATAGGTATCATTAGATACCTATGTTCAGAAACGTGATGCATTCCTAAATAAATGGGGTCACATGTGTGAGGCTTCATAATGTCCATCAGTGAATAGACCATGTTCCTGAAACCTTCTTTTGGCCTTACATTTTACTCCAGTTACTGAAATATTCATCATATGTGTTCTGGATAATTTGCTAGGAGAAACTAGATTACAGTAGTGTATATTAATATACACTTACTCTTCCTTGAAATCTCTCTTGCCTGGTGAAGACAGAAGGACTGGAAAATAAGTTGTCTTAGAAAGTGTCAGCCTACTCTTTTCTGCACTGAAACCATGCGCTGCAGAGTCAGTCAAAAAGAGAGAGTAAAATAAATACTTCGGTTTACAAACGGCCTGTTCTGTACTAGCATCAGATGACAGCATTTCAATCCATCATGACAATGAAGCCAAAGGAGGAGTAACATCATCTACCACATTTGTAAGCCTTTGGATGTAAGCATTTCAGGAGAGCAGAACTGTTCCTCTTTGCAATGCTGCCGTTTTTCTGCTCCTGACGGAGGCAGTCAGCACCTCTGGGAGATACCCTATATCTAGATATATAGAGCAGAAAGGGTTTTTTTTTCCCCACAAGCAGAGCTGTGGAACTGTACACCTACAACTCCCATCATCCAAGGTGATTCAGGTGAACTTGTGGAACATTTTTCTTTCCGCTGACTTTAGAGGGGGAGATGCACAGCCAGGTCATCTGCAGATGTGCACTTTTCTATGTTCAGGTTAGAGTCCTTTTGAAAGAGCTTTGAGTTCTCCTGAAGTTTTCAAAAACTTTTCATGGAAAGAAGGAGGGACTGCAGGACAGTTTTGATAATTTCTCCATCCCCAAAAAGTAGAAAAGAAAGGCTAAAAGAGAAGAAAATAGGCTACCAGATCTTAAAGAAAACCTTGTGAATCTTTAGGATTACCCTGAGGGATGATTGTCCTGATGTTTTCAAGCCTGGATGAAGGCCTCCTTGTCTGCCCTCACAGCTGACCTTGCTTTGATCATGAATCTGGCATAGAGACCTCCTGAGGCGTGAATTGTCCTATGATCCAAGGAGCCTCTCTACTGCTTTAACAAAGCAGGAGACTTCTTGCAGGTATGCAAGAGACACCAGAGAAAAAAATGAAAAAGCATTTAGATAAAAGTGCTGTAAAGACACATTCTGTGGTTTCAGTTTTTCAAAACATCCTGAAATGTGATGTTATTACTTCTCATGACAGCATAAAATAGACTTCCCAGTCAGCCAGAGGCCAAGACTTGCTGAAAACATTTCTTAGTTTTACATGTGATCTTTATGTAAAACTATCAGTCTGAGAGATGACTCTATTCATATGAGACTACAAACCTGAA